TGGAGAGGTGCGAGCGGTGCGAAATATAATCGTCACTGCTTGCAATGCGTCGATGCCACGTCGCAAAGGCGCCTTTCCAAGGAAAAAATCCTTGCACTGGTGGTCAGAGAAGCTGGCCTCCTTGAGAAAGGAATGCCTCAAAGCAAGAAGGACATACACCTGATCTAAGGGAGATCCTTTGCTAAAAGAGGCTTTCAAGGAGGCAAAAAAGAACCTCAAAAAAGAGATCCGCAAGTTTCGATGCCGTAGCTGGAAGACCTAATCGAGGAAGTCGATAAGTACCCATGGGGCCTGGCTTTTATAATCGTGACTAAGAAATTAGTGACGAGGCAAAAGACCCCCGGCCTGGACAATCCCGATTGGGTCAAAAAGATAATAAGTTCTTTGTTTCCTCCTGCAGAGCCATACCTTAAAAGGGACTGGAGTTTTTGCAAAGTCGAAGAGGAAGAACTCTTCACACTTAACGAATTGCACAAAGCAGGCAAAAGATTGAAAACAGGCAAGGCGCCTGGAATCGATGGGATAAGTAACGAGATCCTAAAGTTGGTATTCGACACTTCACCCCAGATTCTGCTTCGATGCTTCAATCTTTGCCTTGAGAGAGGAGAGTTCTTCCGCGACTGGAAGCGACTGAGGTTGGTCCTCTTAAGGAAAGGTGAATAACCTCTAGATAAGGATTCATCGTACAGGCCTATATGCCTGCTAGATACGATGGGTAAACTTCTAGAGGATATGGTTCTGCAGAGAATGCAAAGCCACTTGACCGAAGAGAATCGTCTATACGATCACCAATTTGGTTTCCGTAAAGGCAAGTCCGCAGTTGATGCCATCCAGGCAGTTGTGGACATAGCCAAAGCAGGAAAAAACAAATTGGGACCTGGAAAAAAGAAGAGCTTCTGCGCGTTGGTGGCAATTGACATACGCAACGCGTTTAATTCCGCAAGATATAAAGATCTCATCGAGTCGATGAAAAAGAAAAACATGCCGCCCTACTTGTTGCGGATAATGGATAATTATCTTAGCGACAGGTGGGTTATATATGAGGGAGACACCTGCACTCTGAGGGAAGAGATGCAGCGTGGGGCTCCTCAAGGCTCGAGGGTGGGTCCATTTGTAGGGAATGTACTTTACGATGATTTTCTGCAAATGGATCTGCTCGAAGGTGCGGTGATCATCGGCTTTGCGGACGACGCGTTGTTCGTGTGCACTGCCGAAAGTGAGGAGGCTCTTGGGATATTGGTGAACGAATGTCTGCGACTAGCAAAACGCTGGCTGGATACCAGAGGTCTTGAAATGGCCCTGGAAAAGACCGAGGCACTGCTGGTCACAGACAGACGTGGTTATGAGCTCCCACGAATCGTGATAGACGGATTCGAGGTCAAGTGGAGTAAGCAAATTAAATATCTTGGTGTGGAGTTGGATGGAAGGTTAAACTTCCACCACCACATTGCTACGGTGTCAAATAAGGCGATCGAGTGTGCTGCTAATCTTTTACGGTTAATGTCAAACGTAGGCGGACCCCGTGAAAAAAAACAGAGACTTGTGGCGAGTGTCGCCCACGCTAAAATGCTCTATGCAGCACCAGCGTGGGCCCTATCCCTGAGGAGTAAAAGATGTGTGACTATCTGTGAAAAGATACTGTCGGCGCAGAGATCGATAACAACGCGTATCATCTCTGCATATAAGACGGTATCTACGAGTGCTGTGCAGGTCCTTGCAAGTGTCCCGCCAGCAGATCTTTTGGCGAGGGAAAGGGAAGAAATGTTTCTCTTTTCTAAAGAAAGCAGTTCCTCGGATGAGGAATTAAGACCAAGCAAGGGCCTGATCCGCAAAGAAGCGAGGCACAGGCTCATAGAAAGATGGCTAGAAAGATGGGATGGTGAGGAAAAAGGTCGATGGACTTATCGCCTTATCCCGGCACTCGCCACCTGGATAAATAGGAAACACGGTCAGGTTTCCTATTATTTGACTCAGGCGCTCACAGGTCACGGGTGTTTTAACTCGTACCTGTGTCGCTTTAAATTACGCGAGGACGAGGTGTGTGCATATTTCCAGTTCCCTGAGGACAGCGCGGAGCACACCCTCTTCTCATGCAAGAAGTGGGACTTGGAGAGGCAGGCCATGTTCGAAGGTGTAAACAGTCAAGTTACACCGGAGAACATGGTATCGCTGATGACCCAGTCAAAAGAAAATTGGCGGCAAGTCGAGAACTTCATAATCTCGGTTATGTCGAGGAAAGATCTCGACGGCCGCCAAAAAGCGTGATTTAAATAGCTTTTAATTTGTTCGTTTGTTTTTTATTAATTTATTTTGTGATTTAATTGTCCTTAAACATTTTTTAATTTGTTTTGTGTTTTTTTTATTTGTTTTGTCTTTTCAACGTTATCTACGTGTTTACTTTTTTTTCTTTATTTTTCTTTTCTTGTTTATATCCGTTTGCAATTTTATCTTTTGACTTTTTACACTTCTTAATTTTTTTTCTTTTTTGTATTGTTGTGCTGTAAATTCCGCTTAGACTATGAAATAGTTTAAATCTTTTTTTAACTACGGACGCAGGAAAACCGCAGAGAGAAGAAGAAAGTCGCATAAGCGACAGAGTTGGAGCGCCACCCTCGAAGGCTAAAGTCTTACGACAGTTCCGAGGGAGGGTAAAGGGCTCCAGAAGAAGGGTTACGGGTTTTAGTGGGTCGGGCTGATAGTAGGTCGCCAGGTTATTAAATTTAATTTTTTTATAGATTTATTTTTCTTTTTTTTTATTTCCTTTTGTTTTATCATACCAACCCCAAAAAAAAAATAATAATAATATTAAATACTTACTTTTTTCAGCCAAGTTAAAAACTTGGCTGCCTCGTGCAGACCTTGAATATTGAATATTTTTAATATTTGAATATCAAAATACTGAATTTAATCAATTTTTTCATCACCAGACTCGGAACTGCTTGAATCGAGTTCAATGTTTTCAGTTTCATTTTCTTTATCGGCATTATGATATTTCTTCCTGAAATAAATAAAAATATGAATCTCACTGTAAACGCAGGCCTCGAATCTACGTTAAAGCGCAAAAAAATTGCTTTTAGTTGATTAATAAATACAAAATCGAAAAATTCGTTTACTTAATTAATTTTTAAAATTGAAGTTAAGATTATTAAGATATATAAAAATTCTTAAGAACTTTTGGAAAATGATTTTATTTAATTGATTCAGGTATGAAGTTTAGTTGAAAATTGTACGTTTACAAGCGTCGGTTCAGTAAATTTTCTGTGTAATTAATAAACTGAAACTTATTGTGACCACCCTGATTGGGTTTAGACTTTATCTTACGTTTTCTTTTATAAATAAAATTGTTAATTAAAAAACAAAAATTTCAATTAGCAATGTATAATATTAACTAATTCAAAAATTTGTTAGTCAGGGAAATGAAAAATTAGTTAGGGAAAATTCGTGGAATTCTGACAATAAAATTTTGCGGCCACCCTGAATTATTTAAAAGTTTAATAATTTTGTTAAAGACATATTTAAATTCTTTTTTTGTTTTTGCACGAAAATTAAAATTTTAAAAAATTTATTTTTAAACCTTCTAAACATTTTGATTTAATTTCATGTTGAAATAAATTATTTTTAACAAATTATTTATTTATTTATATAAATATATTATATAAATATATATATTTATTTTTTTAAATTATTTAAAAAAATATTGCATTGTCAATTTTGTGAATAATATAGGTGAAAATATCGACAATAATTGAATTTTAAAAAAGTAGAATGAGAAACTTAAAGTTTTAAAATTAGAATAAAATACTTAAAAAAATAAATTATTTTCAATTAAATTTTACATAATTTCAATTATTCAAAATATTTTTCATTGTATATCTCGAAAGCTTAATTAGAAAAATGATTTAAAAACATTTTACTTACAGCAGACGTGATTGCCTGTTGGAGCATTGTTCCAACCATTTTCTCATGCTTCACATTTTTAATTATATATCGAAGACGGATTAACCTTTTTTAATTTCCGAAGGTTTATTTTAAAGCTGAAATTCTAACGAAGATTTCTGTGTCATTAGAAAAATTTTATCTAAATTTTTCTAGATTTTTGAAAAAGTTGAAGTCAAGAGACAAAAAGGAGAAAATTTGATAATTTTTTTTATTTCTTTCTCACTCTACAACTTAAAAAATAATTAACGAAATGACTTCAAAGATGGCTCATTTTACGGAAAATTTAATCAGCTTTCTAACCGTATTTAAGTTTTTTTTACCTCCTTTTATTTCCGAGATATGATTGAAAAAGTGATGGCATGTTTTTTCATAGAGTCGAATGTAATCGTCCTGATACTTTTGGACGATATGTTTTCGAATCTTTAAAGAAATAGTGTAATAAAATTAATCCTAAATATTCTAAGGCGAGCACGTTTTAAGTAAACAATTAAACTGAAAATAATTATCTTGGGTCTCAACAGAAATTTTAAAATTTAATATTTCTTTGTTCACTGTTTGTTTAAAAATACACTGAATAAAAAATTTTAATTTGTTACATAATGTATTTTTATTTTAATTACATGGCATCGTGAGGAATACTTGTCCAGTGTAAAATAATTATAAATTTAGGATTTTTTTGTTACCCCCTTAATGATTCAGATTTTTAGATTGAAAATAAAAAAATGACGACCTACTACAAAAAAAGAAAAAATTGTAACCGAACTATTATTTTTGTTTATCAGTTACAATTAAAATTTAGTTTATATAATTAATCTTAAAAAAACAGTTGTAAAATTTAATTCAAAAATAAAATAAATCAAATTTTTATGTGTAATCGAGTCGATCGAATTTTTATGAATAATATCAAGAAATTGGGCTGCAGTCCCTTTACATAAAATAACTACTAGTAAATTATGATCGTCAATAAATAACAATTAAATAGATCAATGATGATAAAAATTGATTAGAAAAATGAATAAAATACAACATACACACATAAATATTCATAGACAAATTAATACAATAAAAATGAATTTCAATAACTGCGATATAATAAAACAAATTAAACAAATAAATGAAATCGCCATATAAAATCCTCAGTACTTATCGGACAGCAATAGCAACGCCGCTGCTGCCACGTGCGTTACTCTGCTGCAGTCTAAAATGTCTCTCAGTGTAGAAAATTATAGTTTACGAAAACAATTTTTTGTATAGTGATATAATTATTTAATTTCAAACAGTGGAGTTTATAAAGACTATCGTGATTGAATTCGTCTATGACAGAAGTGAAAAATCACTTCTCCAGCAAACATTAACGTGGAACAAGCACAACCTATCACTAAGACAAAGAGAATATTTCTTTTTAACAGCTTATTGATTTCTATAGTTTCCATAACTAAATCTTCAGATGTATCTGCTAGAATAGTCGATTTTGAACCCAAATACTCTTTTGACCATTGACTAAATATGCCAGCTTCTCCTATTTTTATTAGATATTCTTCAACAGATTTAACGTAAGGGGATCCTTCTTCCATGTAAAATGTACTAGGGAGAAAAGATAAGTACTCTTTTAAAACCTTTGTCAGTGGCTGTCCGTATTCATTTCTGTACTTGATGGCTGCTAACTGCGCTTTAGCATGTCTAATCATACATGATATATTTCTATGCTTTAACAAATATTCAATACATTCCTCATCACGTGCAGTCGTTACTACAGCTCTATCATAGAATTTTTTGGCATTGCCTGTAGCATCTCGAGACACTGCCAGATAAATGTTAGGAAATACATGTAAGCTTAAATTTGACGCAAATAAATCGTCTAATGTTTCTATTTCATCAGATGGCATTGATGGAATGCTGGTAGATGTAAAAGTTGAATAAATTTCTGACGAATAGAAAAAGCAATTTATAATCATTGAACCCATTACTATTCTTTCAATTAAACGTTTTGGCTCATTTGGCGTATTCCATCCAAGTGACAATTGCAATAGATACGCTATTTGCCAATTTATTGGATTAAATTGCAGAAGTTTAGCTACAATCCAAACTGAAAGTAGTAGGTAAATAAAGGTTACGACACTAAAAACATCCCATTTGTTTATCAAATTACTACTTTTCTCTCTAGATTTTGGAACCAATGCGTAGTGATATATGTTTTGATAAAAATGACTTAATTCAATAAGTTTTGAGAGACATCCAGCTGGTCTACCGGACTGATCGCCAATAAATTGAATTTCATTGTACATTAAATCTAAAAACATATCTATGTTTTTTTCCTTTATGCAGTTGAACACAGGCCATGTAGTTCTTTCTGATATTTTTTCAACCATTCTAAAATTTTTAGCTTTTGCTAGTGCTTTGACATTAACTACATCAAAGCCATCTAAATATGTAACGTGACCTGTTGAGTTTCGAAAGATATTAACGTATGGTGGATAATGAAAAAATGCAATTTTTAGAGGATATCCATGCAAATTTTTCAGTTTGTCCGGAAATAAGTTTACTTTAGAGGAGACAGTAACGTTTACAAATTTTGCAGAAAATGGATTTAAAAACAATTGCTGTGTGATAAAGTCGCTCTTGGTAGATAAAAAAGAAACTGATTTGCTATGTTTAAAGTAAATTCTTAGGACAGTTACATCCAGAAAATTTTTTGACCACATAAGTCGAAGTACTTTTTTGCAGTTTATCCTTTGTTTCTCAATAATTAAAACCTTAGGCCTTATTTTGAAAGGAGCACAGATAGTCAAAAAAGTTACAATTTTCGAAACTGCAGTAAGGGCATCATCGTAATTAAAACAGGATATGACAAACAGGGTTGATCTAGGAATTTCAAAGAATTGTTTGTTTATACGAGTTAAAAAATGATCTTTTGTAATATTTTGATCGTCAATCAGTATTGTTGGTATATTACGTGTACACTCGTTGCTTATTCTGGTGACATTTACAAATAGTAATACTTGTTTTATTTCACTATCCCTTTGCAAATAATTTGTTACTACACAATTAAATGAATTACAGTCTTCGGAGTTAGATTTGGTTTCAAAACAAATCAAAAACAGAATCAGTATCTTCAGTTTATAAAACTGTAACTTCATTGTTACCTGCAAATAAAAAAAAGAAGTAAGATGACAAGTTTACATGGATATCTATATACATTCTTATTCTAAATCTGAATCAGTGAAAATTTCACTGATTTCAATCAAGTGGGCAAGTTTTCTTTGATGAAGCAATGTAATTTTTAATACTGACAATCAGTGGTTTTTACTGATTCTCCATGAAATTTTACTGATAAAAAAATGAATAATTTATTTTCCAATAAAATATTATTAAAATTTAATAATTCCCCTACAATTTTTATATTGAACATTTTTTTCTAACTATTGTAGTTTTAGAAAAAAAATTGCTGAAGAAAAAATGCCCCAAAAGTTTAAACAACAATATCTTGAAAAATAATTGAAATTTTGCAAATCTATTTTCACAACTTATAAATGACCCCTACAACAACCAAATTGCAAAGTATGAAGAAAATCTGAGATTCAAAGTTTGCCATGATCATGGAACGTCCCAGTTATCTTTTTTTTCTTAAAGACGTCTTTAGGATAACTCTTAGACATTCAGGTTTCTTGAAAGAATATCTAAAAGAGAATCTATGTTCTGCAGACATCTTTAAGTATGACATAGGTTTTGGGTCTTTAAATGAATATACATATACATCTAAAAGATATAAAACCTATGTCCTTATGCCTTCTGGGAAGAAATATACTGAGCTAATAACTTACGCTCGTTTACGCAATGCTTTTTGTCCGAAAAATGACTAATTTTGTGCAGCTTTCGAGATGTTTGTTTTATAGAATCAGCCAAAACAATATAAAATTATTTGATATTTAAATATTAAAATGTTTGTTTTTAACTAAAACAGACACACAAATTTTTAACTTTTACTTTTAAATACTTTTGAATTTGTTGACAAATTGATGGCGGAACGTGTTTTAGAACAAATTTCTTTGACGATCGGTAAGTTTAAAATGTCAAATTTTGTTATACATGAATTTTAAAACTTATTTTTACCAAGAAAATAAAATAAATGTAAACATTAATAATAATAGGTACTTTAATATTTATTTATTCCTTACTGCATTTTTTCGTGTTGATACAATTTTCTTTCTAGTATATTTTATAATATATATAAATGTGTAGGTACTTATTTTCTCGCAAGAGCATGTAATTTTAAAAATAATAATAATAACGTTTACTTTGAAAAGAAATGTTGTAATAATAATGCAAGAAGAATTGTAAAAAAAATATGTAAAATATCAGTCTAACCTACTCAATCAATAAACGAATTATTTGAATAACGATCAATTGAAAGTTACATTTTTAACTTCCTTATGGTATGGACTATTTGACGTGAAATTGACCTATGACATTTTAAAATCCGTTAAACATATATTTTTCTCCTTTAAAAAAATATGAAACACGTATTTTTTTATTTTTGTATAATTGCACAATTTTTCAAGTTATGAATTTTCGAATTTTTTATTTGTAAAATTAAATCTATACTTAGTACCTAATAAGTCTGACAATAGTGAGTTTAGAAAAAGTTGTCACAGAATTAAAATTTTAGTTTTTCTTTAATTTTTAAGTAATGTAGAAATAGTATTATTTCGTAACGAGTGCGAGCAGTTGTCAATTTTTGAAAATAATATTCGTTTTTACGTAACAATTAGAGTTTGCGAGATAGTTTATAACTTTTTTAATTAAACATTTTTTATAATAAATTTTAGATATTTGTAATCATAAAACATCACAGATTCAAATTTTTTTGTTTTGAAAATTGAATTATTTAAATTGTAAACTTTTTAAGCCATAAAATTATAATCCCATACAACAATAGGCTTTCGGGTCTATTGTTAAAGCAGGGGTTGCAATATAAGTTTAAAATTTAACGGGAATTTCGTTGAAAATTTTGTTAACATTTTTTTATTTTCGCTTCTAAACTGTTAACAATGGTTTGTTGACATAACCTACATTTGAAACTATTGTTATAGGACTTTAAAAATGTCTACCGAAACATTTAAAAAAACGGACTGGTTTGATAAAGACTTTGGTTTAATAAACAAGAAAATTACAGGTCCAGACGGGACCTGTTCAAAATGTACAGAAATGTCGTAAAACAAAGCCAAATGAAACACATTTTATTTCGATCAATAATCGTCAGGAGACAACACATTCAATTATTTTAAAACTCACCGGAGATACGCCGACGTCCCTCATGGTTCCCTGACTCATCTTCGCAGGTGAAAAACACAAGATTACTTTATTAATTAGTTTTTAGAAAAACAGACAGGTGACAGGTCTAATGCGACCTGTCACTTTTATGAACGCCAAACCAAACTGAGAATGATTAAATGGCCGACGGGGACGCCTAAACCGATGCGCTTCTCGGCCATAGAGATAATATAAATAGAGTGGGGATGGTTTGCATGTATGCGTCCGCTTGATAGAAAGAGAAAGAAGATTTAGCACCAGTAGGTGTCTCTCTTGCGCTGGAGCTCATTGAAGGACAGATACTGGTGTTAAATCTTCTTTCTCCCTCCAACCCATTCTGTTTATGGCAGGACACTTCCCCCACACGCTGCCGCCTATACCTTCCCCACTCTATTTATAATATCTCTATGTTCTCGGCTACATGGTAAGTCTCACTCGCACTCAATAAAAAGATTTTCCGATGGTAATCGATGCGCGCCAGTCAGTAAAAGGTAATTTACCGACTGTCGGAAAGAGTTCACAAAAATGTTCATTTAGTCTCCGCTAGGGGCACTACGCGACGACGTCTGGTCAACAAGATGGCTGTGACCAGTGTTTTGACAGCTGATGCCCTGTCGATGAATTTTCGTTTTCCTGACACTCTAATATGATCGGGATTCACTTCTAATCATAAATGCCAGGAAACACTTCCCTTGCTGACCTCCTTTGCAGTAACGACTGGGAAGTGATCCGGAAGTTAGGAAATCAGGAACTCGCAGTGTTAATTTTTACATGAAATGATAAATCGAAGTATCAGTTTTCATATTATTAATTAGTTGCTTTGACCAGTGATCTGACGGTTCGCAAAAATTACAAGATTTAATAAAAGAAAATTTACAAAAGTGGATAAATAAAAGTAATATTTCTCGGAAGGAGAAAACAATCGGTGATTCCCGATTTGGCGTGATTAATATAGAATTTTTCAGTTTATTATTGACAAAAAAGTTCATTTGTACGCGGACAACAAAATGCCGCGTTACAATATATATGGTCAATTCCACGTAAAATTTCAGTCGACCTTTTAAAATTGGCAAAAAATATATTTTTTTCTTTTCTTTATTGAAAAAAACAGATACGTACTATTTTTGGAGACTCGAAAAATATTGTTTCTTTTCATTTTTTGACAAGAGAAAAAAAGTTTTTTTTATTTCTACTTTTGAATAATGGTAAAAAAATTCTTTTAAATTTTTTATTAAAAAATAAAAAAAATTTATAAAGAAATTAAGTTTTTTAACTTTGGGTATAATATTTTTTTAAACATACCTGAAAATGCTAAAAAGGTTTTACAAAAAGTTTCAGAGAAGGCCTGACAAGTTTGATGGGTTTAAATAAATAATAAAGCAGCCCGAGGATGTCGCTTGCACGCGGCCCTTGACTTGTCCTGTACGGGATCTCGAACGGATCCCTTACCAGATATTGGGACAAGGTTCCTGCGTAGGAACCTGTATAAGGACCCGTGTGAGAACCTTAATTGTCGGTGTTCCTCACTGGTTTTTAACATCAGATTTCACACAAAAATTGGAACCTACATAGGTTCCATCAACGATAGCAATAAAAGCTTTCTCGTGTAGATGTCCATAAGAAATCCCATGCAGGTCCATAAGAGGGAAAATTTTTGTGAAAAATCTAATGTTAAGTTTTCCACGCGGTAACCGTCAAGGGACCCCAACAATCAAGGTTCCCACACGGGTTATTATGGAGGTTCCTACGCAGGAACCTTGTCCCAATATCTTGTACAGGAACTGCACAGGATCCATTAGGGAATCTTTGAGGATCCTTTACGGAGATTTTAAGCTGGGCCTACTTCATCTTTGAATTAAATATATTAAATCTTGAAAGGATTTAAAAATCTGTCCAATTAAATTTAAATATGTTTGATTCAAATGAATTGTTTTCTCAGTACATGAGAGAAGAGATTTCATTCTCTGTATGATTAGGTGCAAAAAATTTATGAATACTTGTCAAAATTGGTATTTCACATGTAGAAGAAAAGGAAGGAATGTCCATGCCTGATGATGATATTTGTACTTTTTACGATTACTCTCTTCTATTTGTTCAAGCGCTATTTCAAAAAAATTATAAACCATTAATAGTAACTATAGCACGTGAATTTAATGACGGAATAAACAGAGTTAGAAATATATCTCAGAGCAAAAGAATAACATACGCTAATATAATAAAGAATGACAATTATGGGAGTAAAATGTATAATATGATATCGGAAAATCTTTATTTGTTTGAAGCTGACAAAGTGTACTACTTTGTTTACCCTGGAAACATTCTGGACAATTCTTTCACTATATACTATAAAAAATGCTATTAAGTTAATCAGTTTGTTGTAACGTTTGATTTTGTTAACGTAAAGAAAGAGTATCCTTTTTATGAAGATATTTTAGTTCCTCTAAAACCAAGTTGCACAAATTGCTCTCTGGTAGAATACGTTAATAAAAAAATACAGACAGGTGAGAGTTTTTCCGAATTATTCCTATTGCGAAAACAATTTATTGTTTGGAGAAAAAACAAAGTATATATCCCGAAAAGCATTCGACAATGATTACGCTTGTGATTCGATTGGATTTAACATTAATTCTGAAACCGAAAGTTTTTTAATGCATTTTAACACATTACTGCAACAAATTCAAAAAAATAATAACAATTCTGATGATAGTAAAAAGAAAAGTATTTTCGAAAGAAGCCTAAATAAGTGTTTTAAGTCAAGAAATGTAGTTGTCGTTACAAAAGACATTTTCTACGATAATATTAACGATCAGAATATAAAGCACCCTTTTACTGGAAATAATTATTTAAACTGGATTAAGGAAACCCTATTTTTAGTGAATGTGAATGATAATTCATTTGTCAACATTTGTAAAAATCAGCACAAAATATATATTTAAATTATTTTGTTTTATAAAAGATATATCAGGTATTACATCCTACAACATATCTGCGTGGACAAATACTCTACAACAACTTATCAATAAATTATTGGTCAAACAACTGATGTGGTTCAACAGTTTGATGTCATTGTATCAATATGAATATTTAGTGGAAATTGATTTCATCTTAATCCAACTCGAAAAGTTAAAAAAAGACATTCTAAATGAAAGATTTAACTCTCTTTGGAGGAACCTTACTTCATGAGATACAATTCAAGAGATTAGTAATAATCGTAGCTAATAGTATGCTGACAGGGGTACGGTAAATTGCACCTATAGCAGGCAAAAGAGTAGAACCAAAAAGAAAAAGAGAAGATCTTCATCATACAAATCAGTTTGTGTATGATGAAATAATAAAACAGTTTTATCTACTTCAATCCACTGATAGTTATTATTATGTGTATCCATTGACCGACAGTAGATATTTCGACGAACGATATAAAAACCAAATAACATACCAAAGTATTAAAGCACTCTCTAATGAATAAATTTCATCAACTTACTTTATTTATACTTACTAACAAATATTTACATGCGATGGTAAATGGCGCTATTGTGTTCCCAGTAATAAGAGGTGGATTAAAGTGGATTGGCACTTTTATGCTCTTAAATTCCAAAACAATTCCGTTTTTGTCCGCAATCTTAATGAATTCTTTTTCTATTGTTAAATTGATAATTTCTATCCAATTGAATTCATTGTAACCACGTGACCAGAATTTGAAACCCCTTTAATGCCCTTTAAAGAATTCAATGTTAATTAAAAGGCATTAACTCCACAACAAATTTAAGGGCATGAAAGTACCAATCCACTTTAATTCACCACTTATTACTGGGTTACAACTAAGAAACCCGAGGTGGCCCAACCGTAAAGGTGGATCGACCGTACTGTCTCTCCCTTACCTATTTCGAGTACAAGATTCCTATACATATAAGAAATATGCTATTTTTATGACATGATACCGCTTGCTATTGGTCAAGATACGATGATAACGCTTGGCATTGGCTAAAATTCGATGAAAATGCTTGTTATTGGTTCTTGCTAAGATGATAACGCTCGTCATTGGTTAGAATTCGATGATAACGCTCGCTATTGGCTAAAAGTATCGGCGACAACGCTTGCTATTGGTACATTGTTGTGTTAATTTAATTAGATTAGAAAATTAATGTTAATTTAAAGCTAGAGAAAAAACATTGAAATACAGTTTTATTAAAAAAAAAGATTTTGTTTATTAATACATTTTTTTTATTTTAAATTAAATAATTAACACGAAAATACATCTTTGTGCGCGCGCGCAGTCATGCTACGACATTTTTGTTCCCTTTTTGGTAGCGTTCGTAGCACTGTCGGGTGGGATTTCTTGTATATATAAAATATATACTAGGTATTATTACAGTAGTGTTACAGTAATGTCACCGTAATGATACGAAAAAAGATCACCGAATTCCATTTACAAAGAATTGTTTTTATCTTTCTTTGCGATAATATTTTCACATTACTGCAATATTACGGTAATATTACCATGTAATGTAACTGCAATAACTCAAAATATCACATTGGGGTGGACATATAGTTAATGTTATTGAAATTTCAATTTAATGTTACATTGGTATATTAATAACATTACATGGAACATTACGGTCACATTACTGTAATGTCATGTGTTACTGAGGTGATATTTAAGAATACTCTGGATGTTCCCCATTTCTATACAATTAGAATATCTTTAGGATATATTTGAAGGACGTCCATAAATAACATTATTACATCTAATTGATATCTTAATTTCCAAAGACTAATGAATAATCTCAAGATGTCTATAGGAGATACCTCAGATATTCTACGATATCTGTAGGATATTAGAATTCTTCGCTCTACTGGATATTCGAAATATTTTATGTGAACATTTTCAAGATATTAAAGCATATGAAAATTACTTAAATGTATTGTGGGATTCGTGTGATATTTTTAAATTATTTCCATATTAAAAAAATTAAAGTGCTCATTTAAAGCGTTTTTGTTTGAAAGAAGCATAGCCTTTTATAGTTAAAAAACAACGAATGGGCGCGCATAGCGCGCAGAAGTTGTTCTAGTATTAGAGATTTTATTCAAGAGTTGTATTTTATTTGGCAAGCTTTTCCAATTCTTTCTTTCCCAATGAACTGAATAGTATTGGTTACAATGAGTTAGTCATTCCTGCTCTACCAGACAACTGTCACTTATTTACAATAAACTGTACGAACCGCTTTCTCAGTCCCATATATTTAATTAATCTGCATTAAGAATTTCACAGACGCGCTATTCAAAATATTTTTCAGTAGGGGAGGGTAGGCTACATTGAACCGGGTTTTTTAGAGTTTCGTGGCCAAGGGCCAAAACCCTTATAGCGAGACTTCGGTGTCCGTCCGTAGTTCTTACGTCTTAAGTTTTAAGTCTTATAGCGAGACTTCGGTATAAGAAGTTCTTAAGTATTAACTCTTAAGTCTTATGTCTTAAGTCTTAAGTCTTAAGTCTTAAGTCTTAAGTCTTAAGTCTTAAGTCTTAAGTCTTAAGTCTTATGTCTTATGTCTTATGTCTTATGTCTTATGTCTTATGTCTTATGTCTTATGTCTTATGTCTTATGTCTTATGTCTTATGTCTTATGTCTTATGTCTTATGTCTTATGTCTTATGTCTTATGTCTTATGTCTTATGTCTTATGTCTTATGTCTTATGTCTTATGTCTTAAGACAACATAACAACCGTTGCCATGGCAACCGTTGCTATGTTAATGGTTGCCATAATAATCATTGTCATGGCAACCGTTGCTATTTTAATAGTTGCCATGGCAACCGTTGATATAGTAATGGTTGCCATGACAACCGTTACTATGGTAATAAAAAAAAATTTCAATCTTAAGTACAAAAAAAATTTCTTAAAAAAATTATTATTTGTTTATTTTTTTGTCATTTTAGGCCACGAAACCCTATGATGTAGGCGCCTTGCGCCTGCTTCTCTGACTGATTTTTCTAAAGTCCAAGAACTAATTAAATTTTTCAAATTTTGATCAGGTTTTTGTATCAAAATAAAACTGAAGTACTCCTTTAGTTAATACACATGTTACAAACACAAACTATTATGATTAAATAATAAAATTTAATTTTTTTCTAACCAGTTACACTTTTCTTACTTTGAAGGATCTGTGTCTACATTGAATCACCTCTAATAAAACACTACAACTTACATATTGTAAAAAATCTTATTTTCCACTCAAAAAATAAAAAATTGTTGTGAAATAGTTATTATTTGTTAATATAGGATATTAATATATTTCGATGTCAGATTTCGTAGCAGAAGTGACAGTTTAAGTTTATCTCGTTGACAATTGTGATGAAAGCATGTCTTCTAGCATTTTTCTTACTAATTAGTAGAGCAGACAACTTTACAACTCTTAAAATTGAAAATTCTTTGCTTTTCGGCTGGTTCAATGATGCCGCACTCACTGTATACACATGACATTCACAACAAAAATTGTTTATAATAAATTTATTTAAGATTTTAAATTCTTTATTACATCGGAATATTGAAGTTGACACCCTAAGCGAAATAAATCACAAGTTTATTAATTTTTAAAACTTCCTATTTAAAGAAAAACTTGATTATATTTCCACAAAATTTTTTGTTTTGTACGTGAAAAACAGTTTTTTTAGTTATTCTTTATAAATAATAAACCTACGTGCCGGAAATTTTTGGACATAGTCTGTTTCAGTAAAACTAACTTATATATTAAATAAGAAAAAATTTCACTCAGTCATTTCTCAGAAAATTGAAGTGGTTCACTGTTGACGCTGGTTCAATGTAGCCTACTCTCCCCTATATGCTACTTTTTACGATAGATTACTAGAATTTATTATTAATCCCCATTCACATTATAAAGAAAATAATTCAATTGAATATGTACAGAAATTTTATGATTTTTTAAGAAGACAACAAATTTCTTATCAAACAGATTATTTATACTTAATGAATTCCAGTGTTCATTTCTGCAGGAAATAAATAAAAGAATTAACATTGATTTCAGCATAACTGAAATAAGAGATTTTTATCATATTTTATTTCTCATACAATCTATGCTTATAAAAACATAACATCAATAAATATCACGGACAATGATAGTTTAAAATATTTTTGTATGAATTCGAATATTTTTCAGTTCATTAAATTCTTTTACTTTTTAAAATTTAATTATATAGAAGGTATGCTTAAACATATAAATGCAAAGTCGGATTACATTGAGAATATGAAAAAAATGTTATTACTGAATATCAAAGACATTAAAATGGATGCACAAAATGTTATTGTTTGATTACTTCGATATGCATGATAATGAAGGCAAAATTTTAGGACAATACATTAAACCTTTCATACTCGAAAATACTGAAAATTTTGTCAAATGGTACTGATTCGTTAGACAAATTCTATTTAGTAATAAGAGAAACTGTATTTTATCCTAGATGTAATCGGGTACTTAGTTCTTAAGTGTTGGAAACGACCAGTATTTCTGTAAAAAAGCGTATTTGCCTGGTGCAATAAGTCATATACTACTTCTCGAATTTCAAGTTCACTGTATTTCTTCCGTGTATTTAAAAGTGCAAAATAAGTTATATACAATCAATGAAAAAATTTCTAATTAATGACTTTTGTATTATTAAAAAAACTATGTTTGATAACTACCATCACGATCCAGTGTTCCTTATTTCTAATTTTGTTTATTATTTGCATTCTTTACGCAGATGAGATAAGCTTTGGAGTTTCAAAATAAAAATATCATAAAATAAAAGTTATTAAAAAGTTTATAACTTTTCATGACTAGCACACTAGCTACATATACGTGCTAGCATATCTCTTATATGGGTGATTCTTCTGAAAGTGCTACTTTTGAAGTTCGATTTTTTAACTTATTTTTTTTTAAATAATATGGTTTTTTCTATTGAACTTACTTTATTTCGTACTCAGGAGTAAGAATTCAAGTTGCGCAAAATTAATTGTTCAAAATATTAAAGTTTTTCTTCTTTTAAAAGATTGTCTTTGCGTTGCATCAATTGATTGGTTATATTTGTTTCGCGTTAGATTTTTTTATTAAATATATACACTAATATCATCCACTTAATTCATAATACAATTACACTGTTTAAAAAATAATAATCTGCACATTTTAATAATAAATATATATATTAATTTGATAGTTATTTAGGTTAATATTTTCAATTTAATGCAGGTAAATACTAAAAACAAAAGAAAAATTTGCCCATTTCAAGGAAAAGGCTTTGGAGATGAAAGCTTCGGAGATGAAAAATAAATTTTTTTCACATTTATTCACATTAGGGCGGAATTAAAATATATTTTTTTAATAAAATATACAAATTTCACAACGCAATTTTATATTATAGTAAAAAATATTTCGTCAAAGTTATTCGTATATTCAATTATTTAATAAAGAGCCAGGCTTCGGAGATGAAATTGAATTTTTGCTCGGGACAATAAGTAAAATTTGACTATTTATAGAAGGAATAATTCCTCTCCTTTTCACAAATAATATATGGGCAAATTAAACATCAGATTCTCAACTTTATTAAATTATGCATTAAAATTTTATTAAGAATACTTTTAATGTACAAAAATATCATTAATCATCGTGAGGTAATTTTAACCTAAAACCGAAGACAAAGTTTTAATATTTTTATCATATATAAAACAGAGGTCTTAAAATTTAAAAAAAAATACGTTATGACAGAAAAACATTGTACTTTCTGACAATATTTTCAAAAAAATTTCTAACAGTTGGAAAAAAGCATAGAAATTTAGTTTTCTTATAGAAGTCCTATTGGAGACATGCAAAAAAGGCTTCGGAGATGAAATTATTTTAGCTCTTGTATAAATTCAGTAGAATAAAATTGTTTAATTTCTTTTTTTTAATGAAAAGTAAGTGCTAAATTTTTATTATGAAAATAATTAACAATTATTAGTGAGTAGATTTTATAAAATTAATCGAGACATCAAAAATGTCACTTTCAGAAGAATCACCCATATTCTAAAAATATATTAATACATGTGTCGAAAGACATTTTTTAAATTATTTTTTTAGATACTTGTAACCAGTGGTAGTTCTACATAGGAACTGAAAATAATTTTAATTATTACTATTCTTAGTTGTAAATATTGATAGTTTAAAATCTCGTGAATTAGAAAAAAGCATACATACTGCATACAAACATACTAAGCATACTACATATACAACTAGCATACATATACGTGCTAGCATATCTCTTATATTCTAAAAATATATTAATACATGTGTCGAAAGACATTTTTAAATTATTTTTTTAGATACTTGTAACCAGTGGTAGTTCTACATAGGAACTGAAAATAATTGAGGCCTTGGATCCAATAACTCGCCCGACGCTCGGAGGAACGCGCAACTGCCAGTCAGTGAGCAGTGAGCGCTTCTGGGCCACTCACTGCTACCCGACTGGTATTAGCGCGTGTCTTCGAGCGTCGGGCGAGTTATTGGATCCAAGGCCTCAATTTTAATTATTACTATTCTTAGTTGTAAATATTGATAGTTTAAAATCTCGTGAATTAGAAAAAATTGAAGTCTTAACTATTGTTAATTTCAATCAAAAGTAATGGTAAATAATAAAAACATTAAAAATTATTGCATTTTTCCACTGCAATAATCATTATAAGAAAGTTATTAAACAGATCTATGCCAATTACATACATAACATTTTTTACCAAAATTCGTTGAAAACTCTTCGAATTATCTTTCCACAATAAATTGAATCCACACACACAAATTTCTCAGCGTTTAAAATTTTTATTTTTCGTACACGCGATTTTATTTTATGAACTATAGAAAAATAATGTAAAGAGAGAAATGTTGTTAAAAAATTGTTTAATCTTTATAACTTTTCATTTTCTAAGGAGGTTTTTTCATTTTAAAAGTACATTAGTACTAGTATCGAAGCAAAAATTTGTTCATCAACCAAACATGGATTACCGTAGTAAATTTTTGGCAGCATTCGGCTTAATTTTGCTACTGTCAGTTGGGAAAATTTCAATCTTGACAGAAAACGATGTAAGTTGAACTTTATATATTTACAAATTAACAATATTAAAGTCCGTATTCCGTTTGCATATATATATATATATATATATATTTTGTCTGTTCACATTTAGTTTGTCTGTTCGCCGTTAGAAGGGACATAACGCCCCCCGCTGCGAGGGATACTTGGATTTGAGTCCCGAGCAACCTTCACAGCGGGGGTAAATATTTATTTAATAATACCCAATGGGAAAAAAACCATTGGCGCACTAATGGCCCAATAATGGGAGCCACCATTCCATTATTGTCCCATTATTGGCACCCAATAATGGACCACTAATGGTAAAATCGTGGGATGTCCACGCTGATGCCAATAATTGGCAAACCATTATTGGCACATTATTGGCTGCCATTAAAAAACCAATAATAAAAAAAAAAGTTTTATAATAAATTTATTTATTTAATAATTATTTTATTTATTATTATTATTATTTATTATTATTAAAAATATTAATTTTTTTAATTATTTATTTTATAGAAATGGTTATTATTTTCTATCACATCGAAATGTGAATAACCCTTTCGTTCAGAGTCTAAAAATTATTTACCTCACATCCATCAGTGCAAAAATAGGAGAGGACGGGCAGAATAAAATTTTACAAATATTTGTGAGAATGCTGCCTCCTTATATACTTTTCAAGTTTCATGTTAGTTGCGAGAGAGTTTTAAGCAACACCTCTTATGGGGCGTTGAGCGAACTACATACTTACTACATGATAATTTCTGCAGCGTCGGTAAGTAATTGTATGTAGTTCGCTCAACGCTCCGTAGCAGGTGTTGCATCAAACTCTCTCGCAACTAACATGAAACTTGAAAAGTATATAAGGAGGCAGCATTCTCACGAATATTTGTGGAATTTTATTCTGCCCGTCCTCTCCTATTTTTGCACTGATGGATGTGAGGTAAATAATTTTTAGACTCTGAACGAAAGGGTTATTCACATTTCGATGTGATAGAAAATAATAACCATTTCTAAAAAATAATTAATTAAAAAAATTAATATTTTTAATAATAATAAATAATAATAATAATAAATAAAATAATTATTAAATAAATAAATTTATTATATAATAAAATTTAATAAAAAAAATTTTTTTTATTATTGGTTTTTTAATGTCAGCAAATAATGTGCCAATAATGGTTGCCAATTATTGGCATCGGCGTGGACATCCCACGATTTTACCATTAGTGGTCCATTATTGGGTGCCAATAATAAACCTAAAGAAAACCAATGGCTTCCAATATTGGGCCATTAATGCACCAATGGTAGACTAATGGCTATTTCCCATTGGGTAGGTATGGTTTTTGGTAGAGTTAACTTTATTCTATGTATCTGGAAAAAATTATCCATTTCTTTAATTTTAACTTTTTTTTGGTAAACAACATATGTATAGAATCGTGAGAAAGTAAGGATTTTAAATATGTTAATGAAAAATAAAACATGTTACTATTTAAAAACTTCATATTTTATAGAAAAATTCATTAACAGTTTTTCTTAATGAGGGTTTAAGGGTCCGAGCGATCCCCGCTGTGAGGGTTGCTCGATACTCATATTGGTACTGCAAATAGTACTTAACATTTAACTTATATTAACGAAGTTTAGTTTAGTTTCATGAATTCAACATAGAATCAGAGCCGATCAAATGTTTTTAGAGGTGTCAGAAAAAAAACAGTCTTTGCTTTTTAAAGTTTTTTGATAATTATTTTTGAGCCTTAATTTATTTGGCTAACTTTTTTTATGCTATTGGATGTCCATTTTCGAAGTACATAATTATATAGTTTTGTCTGATTTAAAAAAGATTTAATTATATTCATTCTGAAATGTATGAGGAATACATTCGGGATAAAGCCGCTCACTTAGTTTTAAATTTAAAATTTAGAATAAAATAATAAAATTTATAACTTGTTAAAACCAAAATTAAAACTACATTTTACTTTTTCTTTATAAAATACAACATTATTTAAATCCATAGTTGTAATTCATGAAACTAAAAAAGATAAATCAAAAACTCTTTTTTTATAGAAATCATTAGCTATCAAATGATATAAATTAACTTGGATTTAGAGAATAATTTCCTAGATTTTTACCGATTTGAAAAAAAATGAGCGGGTTTACCCCAGTCTCCTCTATTTAATTAAATTATTTAATGCAAATATTGGATTATTTAATGCGAATAAAGTAGTTAACGAAAACAAATAAAAAAATATTTAGATAAAATAAGTCGGTTCCGTTGACGATGTAGTTTGTTTTTCCTATTTCTTTAGTACAGCAGAGTTAGGAGTCTTAGGCTTAATAAGTACTCCTAGGTATCGATCCCCGTAGATTTCAAATTTTAATTTTATTGCATTAACCCTTAAAGCGCACACTTACGAATCCATCTTTAAACCGCACACTGGGTGTGCGACTCCCGGGGACTTTTAAGTGTGTTCTTTAAGCTGGAATAGGATATTATCTTTTTGAAAAATTATCTTATATAGCTCAGTACATCTATTTTGAAGGAAAATAGGTTTCATAATGATTTATTCAATTTTAATAATTAAAAAAGAGTTTTTTAAAACTACTGAAATTACCTTAAACCAAAAACTGGATGTCAGACAAGTAGAAATTTTTCGCCGTCAACTTCATCAAGTTATCAAATACACAAAGACATTTGTCAGACTAATGTCACTCACGAAACATAAAGTTAAGTACAAAATATACTGTCGAATATCAACACATGTTCAATTTTTACGAATTTAAATGAGATATAAGAGTAAAAAGCTAGAATATGGGTGTCGCACACCCAGGGTGCGGTTTAAGAGTTAATGTTAATATTTCAAAGCATGTGAGTCCTTAGAAGCATTTGAGATAAATAATTAATTATTTTACCCAATTAATGGTATATTAGTAATGTATTTGGTAAAAATAACAATGTAATAGATAATAGACAAATAAAATATTTTATACAACTCAGGCGTATTATGGTCACTTTATCTACCTGTACAGGCGCGTACTAAGTTCCCCCTTATAACACAGCAGTCAATAAAGTAATTGCTTGACCCCCCTCCCCCTCATACTGTAAATAAAAGGTTCTAAATTAGAGCTGATTTTCGGTATTAAAATAGAACCAAATGACGATTTAGTACCCAAAATTGGTACTAAATTAGTACTTTTCTTTTTACAGTGCAAGAGGCTATACATGGTTTATGGATGGCCCCTTAGTGTTAAGACACGAAAATATCATGAATGACGCGCTTTTTGAATAAGCCATTTAAGCATTACAACCACTAACTATACAGATTTTAAATGAAGTGAAAATGTAGAGAAAATCTGTTTACATAGATTCATTGTATACATAACAACAAAACAGAATCACTTCAACTCACATCTTTAATAGATCATTTACAGGTTTTACAACATTTTGAAAGTTTCAAAATGAGAGACTCTAATTGAAAGAATTAATTAGCATATTTGTATGTTACGCATGCGCAAATAAAGACCAGTGAGATTTCTAGTTCAGTCCAAGAATTCATAATCACAAAACAGAAGAATTTTGTTTACATTCTGACGTATAGGGGAAACTGGGGCTAAACCGAACAAGTCAAATATTTCCGAAACCATGAAGAATTTCAAATAATGTTAATAACCTGTGAACGCGCTATTTCGTAAAGCATATATTTTATGAGGTTTTAGAGACATGTCATTTTTCTTGTAATAATAGTTGCCATTAATATATAAAAATGTCGTTTTTCGCAATAAAAGTAAAAAAAAATTTCAATTTTTTTGGGTTTTTATCGTTATAATTAAAGTGTTATCATATGGCCTTTTTTATTAGCTGAAGGTGTACTGAGTTTAGTAGAAAAAAAGTTTAATGGAAAACGTTAGGAAGAAAAAATTTATTGCAGATTAATTATTAGATGACGGTGTGGGGCTAAATCAGAACTTACATTTCTAAAATTTAAAATGGAAAATCTAATATGGAGGCAGAATGTTACATTATCTCCGATTTGCTTAAAATTTGTTACTCAGGGGTTTTTAGGGTCGCTGATTATGAATTCAAGGCTGGATTTAAAAAATACTCAGTGGGGAGAGAGATGGGGTGGCTTAAATAATTTTGTTAGAAATTTCTGCTAAATGAAGTTTCTTTTTATTATTTTTGTTTTGCGGTGACCAAAATTGTAGTGAACTGGATCATGTGAAACAAAAAATGTCAATAGATTTAGTTAAATAACACTGTAAACTAGTCTTTAATCAAAGGATTTATTAAAGTATGCATTTTTGAGAAAATGACTGACAATCAAAATTCGTGTTTTGATTTTCACTAAAGAAACGGCCGTTGTTTTCGTCTATAAAACAACCATTTTCTATCGAAAAAAATCGAACGATTAAAGACTACATTTATATCTATTGAATAAGCCTGACAAATTTCAGAAAGATCGGTTCAGTAGATTTCAAGTTATTTTGGTCACCGAATTAAAAAATGCCATTTCGAGAAAAACGCATTTAATATTTTAACTTCAGTTTACAGTAGTAAGAAATTTTTTTTAAAAATCTATTTCGTGTCCAGATAGTACGTCTTCACATTGTTTAAGTAAAGTTTCTTTACTCAGATCAGTGTTTATATAGGTATGGATAGAGTTCAAAACATTTGTTGGTAGTGGTTTATAATTATGCTAGGCAATCGTCAACGTAACGGATTTTGTTCTTTTAATAATGTTCATATCTTAGTAAATTTTTTTCGGATCGACTTGAAACTTGAAGGACGTATTAATAGATGGTTATGCTTCAAAAATAGGCAAAAAAATTCGTAAAATTTAAAAGTTACAAGTGGGAGTAACCCCTTAAGAATAATTAAACTTATTATGAGAAACATAAATTTAACACTCCTCAGGTTAAGTTCTAAACAGAAGAATGTCAACTTTTGAAGTTTAAAACTCCTCAGGGTGAATTTGATTATTCTTTTTCATTTTTCTCCGTGTGGAATAAATATAAAGTAAATTCAATAAATCATCCATCATATGCATAACTGTTGAAGAAAGATTATTATTTGAATATATTTTATTATTTAAAACACCTTGACATTGCGTCAATTTTCAAGTTTTTTGAAAATTAAAATTTTTTAAATGCTGTAAAACATGCACATGATCTAATAAAGATGTGAATTAAAGTGGTTCTGATTTGTAGTTATGTATACAATAAATCTTTGTAAACAGATATTCTCTACATTTTCACTTCATTTAAAATCTGTTCCTGACCACCGTGACTAGCCTTGCCCCATCCTCCCCTACTGTATCTTTTGGACGTTTATAAGAAAATGTTTAATTTTAACACAGCAATTCTTTTAACGTTTAACATGTTTCTTAGAATTGTTAAAATTTCGACCTCCATTCTTACATTTGTGTTACGCTATCAGATTAAATTTTTTAAATATTATAAAAAAAGAATAAAAGAGTGACGCTAAATTTAGCCCATTTTTCGGACCGCGAAATTTTCAATCAAACATATTCTAAAATGCGCCGTATAAAGGAATATTAATTTCATAACCATTTTGAGTGGAGCATATCCTTTGTTTTTCGGATATAGTGTTAAAATGGGGGTTTAGAGGGGTTAAAAGGGGTTAAAATACCAAAAATTAAATATGCTTAGATTCGCTGGAAACTGGTTACTCGGGGGTTTTCGGGGTCGCTGATTACGAATTCAATGTCAGTTTTTCAAAATTCAAAATGGTGGATCCAATATGGCGGACGACATTTTCTAAAATTGATCAGATTCGCTTGAAATTAATTACTCAGGGGTTTTCGGGGTCGCTGATTACGAATCCAATATCAGTTTTTCAAAATTCAAAATGGCGGATCCATTATGGCGGATGACTTTTTTGAAAATCACATCTTATTGACATTTTGAATTATGAAAAACTGACATCGGATATGTAATCAGAGATCTCGAAAACCCCTGAATAACAAGTTTCAAGCAATAAGATGTAATTTTTAAAAAAGTCATCCGCCATAATGGATCCGCCATTTTGAATTTTGAAAAACTGATATTGGATTCGTAATCAGCAACCCCGAAAACCCCTGAGTAATTAATTTTAAGCGAATTTGATCAATTTTAGAAAATGTCGTCCGCCATTTTGTATCCGCCATTTTGAATTTTGAAAAACTGACATTGAATTCGTAATCAGCGACCCCGAAAACCCCCGAGTAACCAGTTTCCAGCGAATCTGAGCATATTTAATTTTTGGTATTTTAACCCCTTTTAACCCCTCTAAACCCCCATTTTAACACTATATCCAAAAAACAAAGGATATGCTACACTCAAAATGGTTATGAAATTAATATCCCTTTATACGGCGCATTTTAGAATATGTTTGATTGAAAAATTTGCGGTCCGAAAAATGGGCTAAAAAACAGGTGTTTTTAGCGTCACTCTTAGTGTGAAAAATACTTAATTTAAGTATTATTGTTTCTGTTTGACGATAACTGTTACTATTTAGAAATATGATACAAACCTATTTAAAAAAAAGTTTTATGAGTTATTATGATTTGTTTAATTTACGAAGTAGACAGAAAATTTTCCAATAATTGTTAAGTAATTATTATATAAGACTATGTTAAAATTATGCATAATTTGTTAATCTTTTTTTTAAATGATATTGAATACATTGGGCACAATTAATTAAAATTATTGCAACATTTATTTATTTTCTTACATTATTTTTTAAGGTAATCAGCATTTTCATGTTATGGCAGTTGCGCCCAGCAAGTATTTGTTTTAGCTAGTTCTATATTATTATAAGACTTATTTTCGAATTAGAGTGTTTTGATCGGATATTATTCGGATTGCTGCTGACTATTACCGGATTCTTCGCATAAAGATTTTGGATTGTTTCATATTTGTTTCGGATTGAATCTTTTAACTCGATTAAATTCGGATTATTGCCGACTGATTTCGTATTCTTTACATATTGATTTCGGATTATTCCGCATTTATTGTAGATGGATTTTTTAACGGACATAATTTTTTATTGTTGCGGAATAATTACGGACTTAATTCATAGACATTCAAGATTACATTTTTCGTACAATTTTCGGAATAATCCGTATTAATCTGTCCGTATTTAATCCGGAATTAGTCCGAAATTTTTACCAACATATTTCCTTCCAAAAACTGTGAGAATCAATCATACACGAAATTATTTTAATAGTTTTTCTAGAAAAAATTAGTGACTATTAAAATTGTAAAAAAAACTTTTTTATCCCACATGCACAAAAACGGCGCTTTCTGATAGCAGCCGACAGGGAGGAAAGTCATTCATTTCTTCGACCGTATGAAAATGGCGGCCGTGTTCTCCCAAGGGCAAGAAAATTAGCTGTTCACATGCATTTTTCTTGCCCAAGGGAGAAATCGGCCGCCATTTTCATACAAATCGAACAAGTGAATGACTTTTACTCCCTGTCGTCTGCTATCTGAAATCGCCGCTTTTGTGCATTAGGAATAAAAAATATCGTAAGTAACACGAGAATAAAGGCAGCCAATTTCTTTACGATGATTTTTGTGACACTCGTTCCGGTCTCGGGGCGCCTACGGCGCCCTCGACCTCCACTCGTGTCACAAAAATCACCGTAAAGAAATGGCTGCCTTTCTCCTCTTGTTGCTTAATATACTATACTTCAATAGTCTAATCATAACTTTTATATTATACATTTCCTATTTCTCTTATTTTTTTATTTATAAATCTGGTAAATAATATTTTCGTAAATAAAGAAACTTTAAAGAAAAAAAACATTTTAGATTACTTTTGGGTCAAATTTTTGCAAAAATATCAATGGGTCCGTCAATTTTTCTGAAACTTGGTGTAAAGGTAGTGTTGTGTAAGAAAAGAAAGAGGATAAAAATGTTTCTAAAATTTTGGTTTTTACTGGACATTAACCCTTGTGTCCATACCCAACAAATTCTACGTTGTCTCGCACCCGCGGTACCCGGGTACCCACTAAAGCAAAAAATTTATCAAAAATAATCTGACCAGCAGAACCAGAGGTATTTTGTCTCAGCGCTCCAGATCTTCGATATTTATGTTAAATATAAGCAATTTCTTCAATAAAAAAATTTTTTTTGTTATAAATAAATAAGAAATTAGTTTAAACTATAGATATTCAGTGTCAGCACTCTGGGTGGCTGAGAGAAATTGTTTAAAAATTCATTAAATTCACTTGAAATCTGTTACTCGGAGATTTTCGGGGTCGCTGATTACGAATATGATGTCAGACTTTTAAAATTCAAAATGGCAGATCCAATATGGCGGACAAAAATTTAAAAATTTCATTAGATTCACTTGAAATTTGTTACTCGGGAGTTTTCGGGGTCGCTGATTACGAATCTGATATCAGATTTTAAAAATTCAAAATGGCGGATCCAATATGGCAGACGAAATTTTTAAAATTTCATTAGATTCACTTGAAATCTGTTACTCGGGGGTTTTTACGGTCGCTGAAAACGAATATGGGGTCAGTTTTTAAAAATTCAAAATGTCGGATCCAATATTAGTAAACGCCATATTGGATCCTCCATTTTGAATTTTCAAAAACTGACATCATATTCGTAATCAGCGACCCAAAAAACCCCCGAGTAACAAATTTGAAGTGGATCTAATGACATTTTAAAAATGTCGTCCGCCATTTTGAATTTTCAAAATCTGACATCATATTCGTAATCAGCGACCTCAAAAACCCCCGAGTTACAAATTTCAATTGAATCTAATGAATTTTTAAACAATTTGTCTCAGCCACCCAGAGTGCTGACATTGGATACCTATAGTTTAAACTAATTTTTTATTTATTTATAACAAACAAACAAAATTTTTTTTTGAAAAAATTGCTTTTATTTAACATAAATATCGTAGATCTGAAGCGCTGAGACGAAAATTTAATATTTACGTGAGTTAAATAAAAAAATGTGTAGTCGTGGGTACCCGGGTATGAACACAAGGGTTAAAATCAATTTTGTTTGTTTAACTATGTTTTTTTCATGTTTTAAAATTTTTTAATAAAAGTTTTTTCATATTTAAATATGGTTTTCCATATAATAAACCATATGATTTTTCATAAGTAGTAATTATGAATAGGACAAAATTTTTTTTCCTCTTTCTTCTCTTATACAACACTACATTTACATTAGGTTTCAGAAAATTCGACGAACCTATTGCCAACATTGATATTTTTGAGAAAATTTGTCACTTTAATAATTTAAAAAAATATTTTTTCATAGGTAATATTATAACTTCACATGTAGAATATTTGCATTTTGCAAATGTTTTTCTCTTAAATGATATTAAAGAAGAGTATAGTGGTATATTGTCCATCAAGAATTTGTTTGCAAAAAAATTATTTTTTCTTGAAGGAATAAGCTCCAAAAATTCGGAAATGTTTTTCAAAGTAGCCATTTTACAGGTAGAAAAAAAGGAAAGAAACCAATCATTGTCTGATGATGATATCTGTACTTTTTACGATTATTCCTTTCTAATTGATCATTTGCTATTCCAAAAAACTTATAAACCATTAATAGTAATCATTGCACGTCAATTTGCTGACGGAATAAACAGAGCAACAAATATATCTCAGAGCAAAAGAATATTAGACGTTGAAGAAATTAAAAACAACAATTATTTAAAAAATATGTATAAACTGATAAAGGAAAATTTTTATCTATATGAAGCTTACAATATATACTACTTTGTTTATCCAGTAAAAATTCTAGACAGTTTTTTCACCATTTACTGTCAAAAAATGTTATTAAGCGATCAGTTGGGTGTTACCTTTGATTTTGTTAACGTAAAGAAAGAGTATCCTTTTTATGAAGATATTTTAGTTCCTCTAAAAACAAGTTACACCAATTGCCCTCTGGTAGAATACGTTAACAAAAAACTACAGACAGGTGAGAGTTTCTCTGAATTATTCATATTGCGAGAACAATTGTTTAGAGAAAAAACAAAGTACATATCCCTAAAAGCATTCGACAATGATTACGCTTGCGATTCAATTGGATTTAATATTAATTCTGAGAGCGAAAATTTTTTAATGCATTTTAACTTATTACTGAAACAAATTAAGAAGAATAATAACAATTCTGATGAAAGTAAAAAGAAAAGTATTTTCGAAAGAAGTCTAAAGTGCTTCAAGTCGAGACATCTATTTGTTACAAAAGAAATTTTTAACGACGATATTCAGGAAAAGAATCTAAAGCACCCATTTACTGGAATTAATTATTTAAACTGGATTAACGAAACTGTATTTACACTGAATGCGAATGATACCTCATTTGGCAATATTTGCAAAGATGAACACAAAATATACATATTTAATTTATTTTGTTTTATAAAAGATGTATCTGATATTACATCCTATAACATATCTACGTGGACAGATACCCTACAACAATTTGTCGCTAAATCATTGGTAAAAAATGTGAAGTGGTTAAACAAATTGATGTTATTCTATCAATATGAATATTTAATTAAAACTGATGATATTTGAATCCAATTTGAAAATTTGAAAAAAGAAATTCCAAATGAAAATGGGAATTGGATGAGTGTAATGAGTACTGCTTACAACTTGGTTTCAAATTTGATGGCAAGTAGTTTATTATAGTTAATAAATAATCTCCCTCCATATATGTATAAAAAAAATTTTTTTTTAGAAAAAAGTCGGGCAAAGTATACAGCTTATCTGTAGTAAACGTAAACTTAAACATAAAAATTTATTGCATATTATACAAATTTGTCTAACAATGTTGTGATTTCAAATTGAACTTGGATATTACAAAATGTCGTTAGTAATAAATTTTCTTATATTAAAAAAGTAGTGAAAATATGATTTTTAATTAAAAATTAAATTGATTTCATTATAATAATTAAAAAATTGACTTTTTTATAGAAACAATTTTGCTGTATTTGCAATGATTTACTATTTGATAAAAAATACTGAATAAATATTCATACATATTTTTTTTTGTCGAAAAAAAAGTTTTTTTCTTCAAAAGAACCGGGAAAAAATATTCAAAACGTATTGAGAAATATAATACACAATTATTAATTTTAAATATTTGTTTCTATAGAGAAAAAATAATAGTATGAAGCCTTTGTTAAGTTCGCCCTGTTTATTTTACAATTATGTGGACACAATTAATGCCTTACTTCCTGAGATGGAACTCAAGAAATTAGTAATAATCGTAGCTGATAGTATGCTGACAGGAGTACGGAAAACTGCTTTTATTGCAGACAGACGAGTAGCACCAAAAATAAAAAGAGAAGATCTTCATTATACAAAACAGTTTGTGTATGATGAAATAATGAAACATTTTTATCTACTTCAATACAATGATACTTATTATTATGTTTATCCACTAACCATTAATAGATATGTCAACGTGTTGATCACCCATTTCGAGTACAGGGTAATTAAAAATTATTCTAAACTTTTGTTTTATTATGTAAACTTTTCCAAACATTTTCCCCCTAATGAATTTATTAGCATTGGTTATAATGACTCAGTAATTCCCGCTCTACCAGACAACTGTCACTTATTTACAACAAACTGTACGAACCGTTTTTTAAGTCCCATATATTTAATTGATCTGCATCAAGAATTTCACAGACGATATTCAAAATATTTTTCAGTATACGCCACTTTTTACAAAAGTTTCACAGAATTTATTAATAATCCCTATTCACAATATGAAGGAAATCATACGATTGAATATGCACAGAAGTTTTACAATTTTTTAGAAACGCAACCAATTACTTACTATACACATTATTTATTTAATGATTTACCGTGCTCATCTTTGCAGGAAATAAATAAAAGAATTAACATTGATTTCAGCATAACTGAAATAGAAGATTTTTATCGTATTTTATTTCTCATACAATCTGCTTATAATAACATAACATCAATAAATATCACAGACAATGATAGTTTAAAATATTTTTGTATGAATTCGAATATTTTTCAGTTCATTAAACTCTTTTGCTTTTGGAAAATAAATTATCTTGAAGGTATGCTAAAACATATAGATACGAAATCGTTTTATTTTGAGTATATCAAATTGTATGCTGAAGAGGAGAAAAATGTTATTACTGAATATTTGTCAAAAACATTAAATTGGATGCACGAAATGTTAAAGTTTGATTATTACGATATGTATAATGAAGGTACAATTTTAAGACAATCAAAACTTTCATACTCGAAAATACCAAAAATTATCACAAATGGTGCTGATTCGTTAGACAAATTCTATTTAGTAATAAGAGAAACTGCATTTTATCGAGGATGTAAAAATTATTTGATATTGAAATAGTATATTTCGTAACAACTGCTAGCACTAGTTACGAACGATATTTTTCATAACAAGGTGCAAAAAAGTGCCCTTTTTTACACCGCGTTATAAAAAATTAGATATAATATTAACATATGTAAATAACTATTTCATGTGTTTTGTTCTATTGAAATATGAAATACTTATTTACATGTTAAGTACATAATTATATTGATCAGTTCTTTGACAAAATAAAAACATCTATGACAATACATTGACTCTGTTCTACAAAATAATCATCACCATCTATATAAATAATTATTTTTTTATTAAAACCGACCGTATCGTAATGAATAATTTGTCTTTATTTAAAAAACAAGAGAAACAATTTCGCTTTTCACTTAGATTAATCTACTAAGTTTAATGTAATTCTGATATGCACTCCTAAGTAACTGTTGTAATGTAATTAATTATAATTTAAACAATAAAAAATGTATGATTAACCCTCCATCCGTCGCATCTTTTTTTGTAACGCGATCCGTCGCAGGTGAGCAAACTGCTCACCATCATAAATTAGTCCAAAATTGTTGTAAAATGACAAATTTTTTTGGAATGTTCATTAGAATTTCTAAACAACTTATTAGAAGTAAAATTAACTTTCATTTTCAGCTAATTATTTAAATAAGAAATTAATGACAAATGAAATTTGTTTCACGCAGATGAATGAATAGGTAAATATGTTTACAATAACAAGTTTGTGCAGGTTAAGAATTTAAAATAAGCACAAATTCTATCAACTTATAAATAACATGATTGAGACTTAACATAACCAAAATACCATATTTACAAATTTCATGAAAAATTTCATCAATCATAAATTTCATGATTTGAAACTTTGAAAACGAAAGTTTCAACGGCGTATTACTAGTGTTGCATAACTCCCCACCTTTTTCTGAAAGGTCAAAAAACAGTGTTTTTGAAAAACAAGCAAGAGTCAGTTTTGAATTTTAATGAATAAATCATGCCAAAAGATATGTTAGTAAATGTACTAAAAGCTGTATATGACAGAATTCGATAAAAAAAATTTCTATAGTATTTTTGACCCGAAAACAAAACCCGTTGTACAACTACCCATTCTCCCCTATATATATATACCCAATCAGCACATAAGCTTGCCACAAACTTGCATTAAACTTGCTGTGCAAGGTGTGTAAGCTTACAGCGCAAGCTCGTGACAAGTTTGTGACAAGTAACAAAATGTCCTATTGCTGCAAGCTTACACTGCAATCTTGCTACAAGATTATGATTTAAGCTTGCTGCAAGCTTGTGAGGCAAGTTTTCGACAAGCTTATTTGGCAAACTTGCTACAAGTTTGTAGTGTAAGTTTGTAGTAAGCTTATTGCAAGCTTGCTGCACAAGTATATACAATTTAATTGAATCAATTTTAATTTTTTCTGGAGATTTTCTTATAAATTTCAAAATATACACTCAGCAACATATCCAGGTGGCAAAGAAATTTAGTGCGCAGCCGTAAATGCCATAGAATTCAACTGCGCATCGTGTCAAGTTTTTTAATTTATCCGGCAGCTTGCAGCAACTTTGTAGCAAGTTTATCCGGCAAACTTGTAGCAAGTTTTCCAAATAAGCTTGTCGAAAACTTGCCTCACAAGCTTGCAGCAAGCTTATATCATAATCTTGTAGCAAGATTGCAGTGTAAGCTTGCAGCAATAGGACATTTTGTTACTTGCCACAAACTTGTCACGAGCTTGCTCTGTAAGCTTGCACACCTTGCACAGCAAGCTTAATGCAAGTTTGTGGCAAGCTTATGTGCTGATTGGGTATATATATATTTTAAAATTTTTACACTTGAAATTTATGATTATAGACATATCGAATATAATTTTCCAAATTGGTTCGATTTTAATTTAATTGTAAGAATTTAGATAATATTTCCAAGCTTGAGTACTTAGAATGCAAAATCGATAAATTTGGTATTTGGACTTATTAATACTTAATTATTTGACGCAATTAAATGGATATTAGTCTTAAATAAAAATAATTAATTATGAAGAATAATGGCATATTTGATACAAATAAATATTTAGTTATTTTAAAACAATTATTTTATTGATGCAAATAAATATTTATTTAAATTAAAAACCATGCATTATTGAATCAAGTAATTTTCATAATTGAGATAAAGCAAGATTTATTAGATCCAATTATTCTATTAATTTGACTTAAGTAATTCGTATTTGGTGCAAATAACTATTTATTTGATACTATAAATTAAAACATTTACATATGTCCAATATTTATTTACTTAGTTCAAATAAATAAAAACAAATAAGTTTAAATACAACCGAACGAGCGTTAGCAAGTAAGGTATACGTAGCTAGTGAAATATAAATTTATTCTTTAAAAATTAAATGTGAATTTACTCTTTTAAAAATGAAATTTTTTTTTAAATTGAACTTTTTTAAATTGAATGTAAATTTATTTTTTTGAAAATGTAATATGTAAATATACTCTTAAAAATTAAATGTAAACCTTTTTAAAATAAAATGTAAATTTTCGTTTTTTAAATGAAACTTAACGATTTTAATTAAAATAAATGTAAATTTACTTTCTTTAGAATATTTTAAATGTAGAATTACTTTTTTTAAAATTACGTGTAAATTTAAATTGGATAGAATTCGATGTAAATTACCTTTTTTAAAAATTAGATATAAATATTTACTTGAAATAGAATTTAATGTGAATTCACGTTTTTAAAAAATTAATTATGTAAGAATTTTTAAAATTAAATGAAATTTAATTTCTTTGAAAGTTAAATGTAAATGTAATTTTTTAAAATTAAATCTAGATTTATTTTCTACAGAATTAAATGTAAATTTACTTTTTTACAATTAAATTTACATTTTCTTTTTTTTATAGTGTAATGTGAATATATTATTTTAAAAATATAGTGTAAATTTTCATTTTTTAAAAATTAAATATTTTATAATGATAATTGAATGAAATAATTGGATAAAAAGGGATCTAAAAAAACCATTATATTTATTTGGACTAGAACAATCATAAAATATAAAATATCACAAAAATTTTCCTACAAAATATCTTTATATTTATAAAGATTTATATAATAAAAATTTACAGTAGGTTTGTTATAAATATCTCCTTATTTTTTCATTTCGCACTGAATCTCCTCCAATGTTTTCCCTTTTGTATTTGGTCCAATGATAAATATAATAATTGGCATTAAAATGCACATTAGTGAAAAAAACCAAAATATTAAAGAAGAACCAAATAATTGTAATAATTCTTGAAATTTCATCAGTGCGACAAGTTGTATAATCATGTACATAATATTACTGACACTGATTGCCAATGTTTGAACATCATTTGAAAATAGTTCACCTTGAAAGGCAAAAAACACATTGCCAATACCAATGACATTTGCAATTTCTGAAATTGTTATAAAAACTAATGGAAACCATCCAATTTTGCTAATGTCATAATGTTGTGTATCAAGGAAAAAAAATAGACCAACAAAACCCAATGATAATGAACCAATAATACCGCAAATTAATAATAGTTTTTTCTTCTCAATTCTATCGGTAAATTGTGTACTTAGAAGAACGGCAACAACTTTAATGATTGTTAATAAAAATGATGCTTGATCACCATTTATAATTGATCCACGATGTGTTAAAAATTGTTCGGTGTAGATTAAAATTGGTATATGTCCTGCTAAAACATCCATACAGCATGCACAAATGAGTATTGTAAGTCCTTTTCTATTGTTTCGTTCGGTAAATAATTTCAAAAATTGATTCTCCTTTAAAAAATTGTGACAAATTTTGAAAAAACTTTTCCTTGTGTCTTGATTTAGTTTCAACTTGTCGTGATTCATTATTAACTTATCTTGATTATTTAACTTGTTTAGAATGAAATAATCCTTGTCGATAATGTCAATTTTGGTCGTTGTTTTGTTCCTTAGGGAAATATTGTCATCTATAAAATTCTTTTGAGCTGTTCGGAAAGTGTCGAATCCGTAGGGCGAAGTAATGGACGAATTGATTTTAACTTCCTCCTCCTTCCATTTATTCATTTCGATGAAGTAGTCTGATTTTGGCATGATGAGAAAAATGACGATGAAAATAATTGGTATTGTCGTTAGAATGATGTTCATTTGAAGATAGGTGCAAAATAAATTAATTGTTATTGGTAATAAATTGCCGAGATTCGAGGATAGATTCATGATGGTGAAAAATTTGGTTCTATTAGTGGAATTTGTTATTGATGTTAAGTATTCGACTAGTGTTGATAGTGCACCACAATAGGCTAGACCGCTTATGAATCTTGATAGGCAGATGATTGTTAAATTTTCGCTGAAAATTAACATTAGCCATGATATTGTTTGTGGAATGGCGAAAATTAGCAGAGTTGATTTTGTGCCTAAATTATTGACGAGCAGTGGATTTAGAATGAAACCGAAAAAACTTCCGAGTATCGATACAGAGGCAATGGAATCAAAATCTGTTGATTGAAGTGGTGATTTTAGTTTTTCACTTGTTAGATAGGGGAGGGCTGGAGATGTCCAACTTTCCATTGCGTTGAAACCCAATGCTACGAGTGTGGCTGTAAGGGCAAAAAATTTTTATTATTACTTATTATTGTGTTTAACATAAATTTTTTTTGACATAAATATAGATTTGACATTAAAGTTCGTTTAACTTTGATAGACAAAAAAGTATTTATAACAATTCTTATTTGGAGGCGCATGATTTCAGCCAAATTATTATATTTATAATTGTCATATATCCGAATTTTAAACTTCATAATCATCATCTACTCGAAATTTAGGTGTCTATAATTTGATATTGACATTATTATAATATTGAGAATTGATATATTTGTTATAATTTACTTTTAGTCAAATTTTTATTTTATAGATTTTCTAAGAATTAAAAATATAAATTACAATAAATTTCGCACTATGAAATTGTATGTATAATAATTTTTTTAAGTATAATAATTATTTTTTATAATTTCTATGGAATCTAGTTATAAATTAACATAATTTTTAACTTGTAAAATGGAAAGTAATATAATTATTAAAAGTATAATATTTACTTTTTATAATTTGTATGAAATCTAATTATTATTTGAAATAATTACTGTTTTTCACATTTTTCAAATAACCGAAATTTAAATCCTCGAATTATTATTTGACATAATTTTAAATTATTTAAAGTTTTATTTCTTATTATTTTTATTGAACAGAATTATTATTTAATCACTTTTATGTCAAATAAAATTCATCTTAAATGAAATTTATGTCAAATAAATTTGTGTCAAATGAAATGTATGACAAATGAATTTAAGATCAAAATAAAATTTAAAACAAATGTATTTTATATCAAATGACATAATATTATATATTAAACAAATTTTACCACAAATGAATTTTCTGTCAAATAAAACTTGTTTATTGAATTCATTTTTCACCATTTTAAACAATTTAAAATTGAATTTGAATAAAAAATACAATTTTATATCATCAATAAGAAATATTTAATATTAAATTTCATTTGTTTTTTTTAATTGTTTGTCGAATTCTTTCTTAAATTAAATCGGATATTTTCCATTATTTAACTATTCATTTTTTTTTATTTATTTTAAGTTAATTATAAATTGTATAATATAACAATTTTTTTAGAACAAAGTTATCGTTGCTTTTTAAATGTTAGGTATTATTATTTTTCTTGCTTATTATACTTACACGTGATACCAGCTACGTATTGCATAAAAATGACACCTCGGAATTGTTCATCAAATTTAGTTTCCATCATTTTTATTTTTTCTTGTTTTAGTATTTGTCGAAAAAAAGAAAATTTGTTTTCTGTAGTAAATAAAAAAGTGTGTTTTACGTTGTATTTTAATTCGAAATAATTAATGATGTATTTGTCATTAAAGAACAAAACATTTTGGGATTCACTGAAAGAGAAAAATATACGAGAAATAAATAAATTATCAAATTAAATAAATAAATTATTAAATTAAATAAATTAATTAAATAATAATTAAATAAATCAAAATAAATTAAAGAAATAAAATTGTTTAAAAAAGTAGTACAATTTTTATTATGTCTATTAATTTGTTTATTTTGGTAATTTGTAATTTGTAACTGGTAATTTGTGAATTAAATATTATTCATTTCGTATACTTTTCTTAGTATTATATATTATAATTTTATTAAATATTATTCTTATTTACTGTGTATTTTTTGTTACATTACTTATTGAAAATAATCACGTGTATTTACATGTATCTATTTGGACATTTGTTATAAATGTGTAAATACATGAGAACAAATTATTACACGTGGAAATAAAATTTTTTTTCCTCATGCAAATTACACGTGGTTAATTTTTATTACAGGTTTATTACTTTTTCATAGAGGAAATATTTATTTATTTATTTAAATATATTTTTTTAAATTACTATTATATTTAAAATTAATTTTATCATTATTTTAATAATTTGTAATTATTTAAACTATATTAGGTTGCTTCTTCACCTTTAATATTAGGTTAATAATTTAAATTTACTTACGTGTTAAAGTTGTAAATTTTTAAATTTCTAATCTTTTATTCCTTTTTAATATAAAAAATTTTGATAAGTAATTCCTTTTTTTCAAATAATATTCACACTTTACATTTGCAAACTATTAATAAAATTTATAGTAATAATAATTATGATTTTAATAATAATAATAATAATAATAATAATAATAATAATAATAATAACAATAATAAAAGTAAATAAATATTAATAAATTTATAATAATAAATAAATAATTTTTGAATAATTAAAATATTAAGCAATAAAAGTTACGTGTTCAGTCTTATAAGGGGAGATTAAATAAAGTCACTTTAATGAGTCATTGGAGAGAAATAAAATACAAAATTCAAGCTAGACAAATATATAATTAAAATTATATGTAATGTGTCAGATATAAATCTCTTTACAAAAACATGGTGTATAAATATTATATATACAAAATCAAATCGAACCTTAATTTTACAAAATCACAGTTATTCTTATTTTTCTAATATTTCTAATATTTTTTATATTTATAAAATTTATAAATTTTACTTTTTGTATTTATAAATTTTAAACATTTTACTTTTTATATTTATAAATTTTATAAATTTTATCTTTTATATTTTTCTATTTTACAATGATTTTTTCATCATTATTTGATTTTTTACTTTTTTCTATGTTTAAAAAAATATAATTTACCTAAGTGCAAAATTAAAAACGGTCCAATAATGGCCTAATATTGGCTGCCATTACTCCCGCAGTATTTTAACGCGAATATTACAGAAAAAATATAGTGAACTTGCTGTGTAATAATGACCATAGCATTGTCAAGAAAAAACTAAAAAATTTCTGATAAAACGTTTTTCCCCCTAATTTCTTTATTATTTGACCTAAAATTAGCTGAAAATTCGTATACTAGTGTATTTTTACAGGCTGATCACAATAAATGTATTTAAAACAATTGAATCGTGAATTTCGAAAAGGGCTCAACTTGAATTTTTTCCCACTTTTTTGCATTATTACATAATATATATCTATTGACGTTTTTTTAAAAGAAAAACTTCATTCGAGGTACTTTTAGCGAAAAAAATTTATTAATGTGTTTTTTCATTTGACTTATAATCTAAGATTGTTTGTTTTCTAACCTATAATGTTGAATTGTTTTTGAGTTAAAAAAATTTAATACATTTTAAAATTAAATAAATAAATTATTCCTCGATAGTAAAACATTTCATTAATATATTTTTATGATTAAAACGATTAAATTTTGTTTTATGTATTTCGAAAAGGGCAACTATAATATCAATTTTCTCCAACTCACTGTTGTTAAGAACAATTCTTTTATCATTTTCTCATATAAAATAGCATCTACTTACTACAAAAAAAACTGAACTCTTCTGACTAAAGCTGTTTGAAATAAATAGTTTTTTGTCTCCTGTAAAATTTCAAAAAACCGAGTTGAGCCCTTTTCGATATTCACAATTTATTTAAAAAAAATATTGAAAATTTTTTTTTTTTAATTAAAATACGAAGAACAAATTTTCAAAATCTTTCCTCTACTTATTGCGACTCTACGATGTCTCAATATGTCCAATTTTTTTATTTATTTAAAAAATTGTGTTTACCTCTAATTATGATTTGACGTGTAATTTTTAACTAAAATTATGAAGTTATGTTCTACCAGTTTTCATTTTTGACATAAAAATTATAATAGTCTTTGACCCCTAAATTTAGACCTAATTTTTAAGGTTAAATTACCCTCTTGACTTGTTATTTTTTTAATATTAATGTTTAAGACGCTCTCACAGCTCTGCATGCATGCCAATGCATGCATAGTTGTCATGGTAACACATGAGAGTAAGTAAGTCAGAAAATTCAAATTTCATGTTTTTTCTCTCTTACTCTCATGCTGGCAGTAGAGGTGTGCGAGCGCCTTTAGTTTTTTTTTGAGGTTATGCTTTACCTAAATTTTTTAAGTGTATTTTTGAACATGTTCTTTTTTTCAGTTCAGTTTGTATTTCATCAACAGACTTTCCATTTGTTTCGGGTGTAATATAAAAAATAATAACTGGAAATAAAATAGTGCAAAATGCAAAAAAACATAATATAACAGTTATACCGAGTAAATTCATTAATGTTTGAAATTTAACTAATGACAAAAATCCCATTAATACGTAAATAAGACTTGTTACACTAATACCTAAACTTTTAACATTATCATCAAATAATTCGGCTTGAAATAAAAAAAGTGTATTGCCCACGCTTATTGAATTTGATACATCGAATAGAGTAAAAAAAAATATAGGAAACCAACTAATCGATGAAATGTCATAATTTCGATTGTGTAGACAGAAAAATATCGCAACAAGAATCAGTGATATTGAACCAATAATTCCACCGTAGAGAATAAGATTTCGTTTGGCAATTTTTTCGACAATTTGGGTACTTAATAGTATTGCTAATAATCGGATGAATGACAGGAGAAGTGATGCTTTATCGGGTGATAGGACTGCATTGCGATGTGTTAGAAATTGTTCGGTATATGATACCAGGGGATAGTGACCTGAGAATATGTCGGCGGCGTTTAAACAGATTATTATTAGAATTGATCGTTGATTATTTGGATGCGTTATCAGTTTCCAGAAGTTTGTTTCTTTGATGTTGAATTTGTTTTGTTTTATTATTGTTACAAATAGTGATTCTCTTCGGTTGGGAGCATTTTGGTTTGATTTTTCAAAATTCGAGGTGGAAGTTGTCGTGTTTTCTGATATGAAGGGAATGTTAATGATGGTATTGGAATTTGTTGTTTCTATTTTGGATTCGGGTTCGTTTATGATTTTTTTGCTTGCTAATTTGATGTCTAAAAATTCAGTAGTTGTACATTTGGTATTTGCAAATTCTGTAGTTGTATGTTCGGTACTTTGGCTAGCTGCTTCTATGAGGTTTTCGGAAACTGCTTCTTTAGTGTTTTTGCCACTAATATCTTTAGTGCTGTTGCCACCATCATCTTTAGTGGTTTTTGCATCATCATCTTTAGTGTTCTTACCATAATCATCTTTAGTGGTATTGACATCATCATCTTTAGTGGTTTCCTCACGACTATCATCTTTAGAGTTATTGCCACTATCATCTTTAGTGGTTTTTACACCATCAATTCTACTTCTTGATTCCCTTTTGCCAATACTTTTGTCACCATCATCAATGTCTTTCTTCTGCTCTGTACCGAATTGAAAATTCGTTCCTGCTCCAATTCCTACAGCTGTCGATACATCACCATTTGTACTTTGTTCTTTATCTTTTGCTGATGCTTCAAAATCATGTTGCCTCGGTTTATTTGCCTCAGTCGTGAAACAACAAAATTTGGAAACATTTTTTCTTTTTGCCGAATTCTTTATTCTATTTGTTACATTCCCATTGTTATCCATCATCGTAGATTCTTGAGAAAAAGATCTAATAATTTCCTCCTTCCTTCTGTTCATTGCGTGAAAAAATATCGACTCGGGAATAAATAAGAAAATAACAAAAAAAACAACTGGCATCATTAGTAGGCCAATATTCATGTGATGATAGGATAAATATGAACTATACAATATTGGCAATAAAGAACCAAAACACAGTATAAAATTATTAATTGTAAAGAGTATGTTACGATTGCCGAAATTGCTTACGTCTAAAATGTATTCAGTCATGGTGCAAACTCCACCTGCATAAGCTACTCCACCGATAAATCTTCCTATACAGATGATGTGTTCTTTTTCACTTAAAACTGGTAGTAACCAGGAGATAACTTGCGGTATGCCGTACAGTAACATTGTTGTTTTTTTGCTAAAATACTTTAAGATATTTGGATTTATTATCAATCCAAAGAAACATCCTAATATCGATAAAGATGATATTAAATCAAATTGTTGCACAGTTACAGGAACGTCACGTTCTTCACTTGTCAAATATGGTAAAGCTGGCGATGTCCAAGAAATTGTTGCACCGTAGCCTGCTGACATTATGGCAGCTGTTAGAAAAAGAAAATTTTGTATATTAATTTTTTGTTAAGAAATTTAATTTACTTGAATCAGATTTATTTAATTTAATTTTGAAAACCCTAGAAAAAATTATTGTATCGTGATAAAAAACCAAAGAGTACCCCAAAAATAGCATTTTTCAATTTTCAAGGTCAAATTTCTCGAAAACCTCAGGTGATTGAAAAATTTTGATTAAGGATTCGTGTTCATAAAAAAATCTAGAAGAATTACCCTATGCGATCCCAGAAATAATAAAAAAGTGAAATTCTTTTTTTTGTTTTATTTAAATTTCCCTTCAATTTTTGTGATACATTACCTAAAAATCGTGTATTTTCTTTCTCAACCGTCAGTAATTTCTTTAAAAAAATAAGGAAAAGAAAAAGGGCATTTATAATAATTAGAGAATTAAATAAAAATTTCATGAAAAAATGAAAAAGACAAATTTTATTTCTAAACCATTTTCTACAAAATTCGCTCTCAGAGAAACGATTAAAAACTACAAATACCAATTTTTTTTATTGTTGACTAAAATAATAAGCAAATTATTCTAATAATCGAGGGAATAATTAAAATTTAGTTTAAATTTCACAATTCAGTTCTTTCATTGCTAAGAAATTGTTTTTAACAATATTTTTTCTTAAATTAAAAATTTTTTTAACTTTATTAATTAAAATTTTTTTATTTTTTTACCAACCCGTTATAACAGCTGCATATTGTATAATAACAGTTTTTGTAAAGCTTTGATTATCCATTTTTTTCTTGGAAATTAAAATTCACTTTTTTGATCAGAGAGTCATTATTTTACAGACACGTGTGCACGAGTACTCTATTGAAAAAATATGAAATAACTTTTTTGAACAAAACTTTGTAGTTATAAAGTCAAGTTGAACAATTCGTGCTACTAATTGATTCTTATCAGCTAGATAAAAATCATATAAAATACTAAAAAGCGAGTCTTCGTGTATTTTAAATTATGTCGTGTTGTATTCAAGTTTTTTAATTGAAAAAAAAATTTTTTTACACATTTTTTTTGCAAAAAAACGTAAAATGATTTGATAATGAAAAATTTGATTTAATATTTCTATTATTTTATTATATTTTCCTCTGTTATAACACTAAATACATTTATTATAATTCTTAGTTAAATAATCTTTAACGTCCGAGATCCCTTATAAATTAAGGCAAATTAAACGAAAACATTCGGACAATGAATAAAATATTTATTTACTCCAACGTTTTGAAATCTAAATGATTTCCTTTTCAGGGAGTCGATCCAAAAAAATATACAAAATTAAAATAATAATAAAAAATATTTAACAATAAATAAATAAAATAAAAATTAATGGATAATTGTCTTCCAAAAAAATCATTTTGGTTTTTCGTTTAATTTGCCTTAATTTATTACAATTCTATATATTACAATGCACAACAATTATTCTTTTGTACAGTTTTAATACAAAAATTTTTTTATCCTAATTTTCTTTTTTTTACAATTTTTTTTAAATTCGCAATTTTATAACTTTTTTTGTAAAAATTATGAATATTTCGAATTTCATTGATAAAATTATTTATAAAAATAATTAAATGTTTTATTGTTTGTAATAATAGAGACTCTGGAACGGATGAAAGGAACTATACCAGTCAGGTAACAGTGAGAGGCCTATAGTCCCTTTCAACCACGTGCACGCGTAGCAGGCATTTATCAGTTCCAAACCCTCAATTATTATGTATAATTATATGTTTGATAAAAGTTTATTTCTTTATTTGTTTAAAAAAATATAGAAAAATCATTAATCACTAAAGAAGAAAATAGATAAAATTATGCAATTTAGATTGAAATAAATTATTATTGTTATTACATAAAAAAGTATATTTTCATTCATAATTTTTCTTTAATTGCTTTTAACAATTTATTTAAACAAATTAATTTTTAAATAAAATTTGTAACGTTCAAATTTATTAATAGAAAAAAATATAAGAATATTATATTTTCTTTATTATAATATTATTATACTTTATTTACTCTCCCTGCATTATACAGGGTTCGAGACACCATATTTTACATACCAAACTTAACCTATTTTACATTATATCTTATATACTAACGCAACTTAAAATTACCTCAACTTAAAAACTACCTATAATTACAATCTCAAACTCCTTTACCAAACCAAAAGCCAGTGCCAGGGCTTCCGTTTCCAGTTCCGTTTTGCCCTTTTCGGTATCTTCAGCTGAATTACTTCTATTTCCCACCCTACGATTACGACTTTATATTAAACCCTCCTTCCTCTTTTCTCTCGCTACTTCCAACTCATTCATCCATCTCTCACCCTGCCCATTTTCATCCAATATACATATTACTCTCTTCCGTTACACCTTTCCAACACATGCTCCCAGTCTTCCCTTTCATACCAACATACTCTACATTTCCTTTCTTCTTCATCCATCCAGTACTTACATTCTCTCATTCCTTCACCCATTCTGAATCTACATACTCTACTCCACCTTTTATACTTCGATCTTATCCCCAGGTATTTCGGTATTCCCTCTCTTTTAACTACTTTATACCATTTATTATATCTGGATTCGGTAATTCTTCTCCATCTTTCTTCTTCCTCTCTCTTACTCCAACCCTCCATCAAATCCCTGCCTTTTCCCCTACCATTTCTTCCCTCCCGTATAGCATCCCTTCTTTTCCTTTCTCATCTTTTGCATCCCCTTTCTCCCTCTTTAATCAAATTCCAACATACTTGTGCTATTTTACTTCCTCCTCCTCTCTCCAATTTCTCTTCAAAATTCTTCGCCCTCCTTCTCTACCTTATCACCATATTCTCCCTACCCAATTCCTCCCTTTATATATACCCCAGGCAATTTCTGGATACCCCCATCGTCCATCTAAAAAATTTCTCATGCATACACGGAGAGAAAAATCAAGCGTTTTTAGTATGGACAGTTAACCTTATTTAGTAAAAGAATACACATGCGCAATAGGCGTAAAATTTCTGCTGTATTTGTATCAATTTCTACGTTATCAGCATAAAAGTTCTACCTTTAAACGCATGGGACGTCAGTATACTACGATTGCAAGAGATCCATGCTATTTTAGTATATGTTTTATGCAACTGAGGTATAAGGACACGCCTCTTAAGCAGGGCGTTCATACAAAATTACCATAGGAAGTCTCCATACTAAAAACGCTTGATTTTTCTCTCCGTGTACTTTTCCAACTTTCCTATTTCACTCCATCCCCACACTTCCACTCCGTAACTCACTATCGACCATACCAACGCATCAAACAACCACACTCTTTTTTTCCAATCATCCTTGAACCTTCTTTTTCCAATTTCCCATACTTGCCCCATTGCTTTACCCCCCTTTTCCACTCTCATAGCCACATTCAAATCCTGCTTTCTTTTACTCATAAACCAATACCCTAGATAACAAAACTCATTCACCTTTTCCACGCACTTTCCATTCATCTTCCATTGCATCCCTTCTTTGTCCTTTTTCTTACAAAATATCAGCACTTTCGTTTTCTCCACATTCACATTTAAATCTTTCTCTCTCACATACTTCTCAAACTCTTTCATTAATATTAAAGGAGAATAAATAATGATGATAATAATAATAATAATATATATAATCTATTCCTTTCTCTCTTAGCACCCTCCACAATATCCCCCTATTTACCGAAGGGAATGATGCTTTCAAATCTACAAATGTAGCCACTAATTTACTATTACCCCTCCCCAAATTCCTATTTACCAGATAATTCAGGACATATACATTGTCCATCTTCTTTTCTCAAGCCAGTTTGGTTATGCGGTATGCATTCAAGTTCCTCTACTTTTTGTTCTAGTCTTCTTCTTACAACCTCTGCATACACCTTATAACCAACTAGCATCAACGTCATCCCCCCAATAATCCTCTACCCTTTTTCCCTCCCCTTTTTTTACGATCGGCGCAATCAATCCCGTTTTCCATGCTTCTGGCCATCCTTCCCCCTTCCAAACCAAATTCACCACCTTCTACATTTCCTCCCTTACAACATTCCCCCCAAATTTCAAGCTTTCCCCCTCCATTCCATCCTCCCCCGCTGCTTTACCCCTTTTTAACCTTCTAATCGCCTCATTTACTTCCTCTCTACTTATTTCCATCTGTTCCTTATCCACATCCCTGTTCCTCCCTTCTCCTCTAATTCTGCGTTCCATCCCCCCACTTAATCCCTTAAAATAATTTGTCCAGTTTTCCATACTTATCTCTTTATTGATCTCTTTTCTCCTTTTCCTCTCTCTATTAATTACATCCCAAACCCTACCCTCCTCAATTGCCTTTTCCACCTCTTTAGTGTACCATTCCCTTCCCTCTTCTTTTTTCCTTTTAATTAACCTCCCATGCTCTTTTTGCCTTTTATTATAATCCTTTTTACAATACTGCCATTCCTCCATTCCTTTATGCTTTCTCTTAATTCTTTTCTACTCCTTTCACACTCTTCATCCCGCCAGCCCCTTCTGCATTCTACTTTTTCCCCTCCTTCACTTTCCATATCCTTTTTTATTTTCCCAATAATCCTTTTCAACCTCTCCCATCTATAATTTACCCCCCCCCCCTCTTCCTCCTCAAACTCTTTACTTCTCTCCTTGAACTTCCTTTCAAATTCCATCAATCTTTGGGTATCCCACTTTCCCATCTAGTCTTTCATACTTGCTTCTTTCCTCCTCCTTTCCATTCTTTTCCTCTGTCCTTCTATTTCCACTATTAGCGGAAAGTGTCCAGAATCCGTCTCGCTTCCAACTTCCATTTTCTTTATTAACTCCTTCGCGTTATCATCTGCTATGACGTAATCGATTACTGTCTGCCCCTTTCCTACAAACGAAAACTCCCCTTTCCTATCCCCCCTTGTACACCCGTTGCAGATCGACCATCCTCCCTCACTTACTATACTCAGCATTTTCGTACCCTCCTTATCTATCACCTTATGCTTTGACTTCCTTTAGTACATTTCCTTCTCCCCATTCCAATAACCCCCACCCAACTCCCCCGTCCATGCATTAAAATCCCCTCCCATTATAGTCCATTCATCTTTCCCTCTCTCCATCCATTCCTCTACCGTCCTGCATCCCTTACTGTCCCCCCTTCTTCTGTAGATCCCCACCACATTTAAATTCTGTTCTCCCACCCTTATTTTCTTTACCATGCTATCCTCTTTCATCCATTTCTCCCCATCTGTGATCTCATTAATGCTGTCTCTTACCCCCGATATCATTCCTCCTGAACTCCTACCCTTCACGTGATCCCTTAATGCTTCCTGCATTGTCCATTTGTATTCTTTTGGCAATTTTCTCTTTGTCGCCTCCCAACCCTTCCCTTCCACCCAAGTTTCACACAAAAATACTTCCCATTTTACTCTTCCCATTTTCCCAAATCTCTCCAAAAACCCTCCTCCTTATTATTTAACCCCGAAACATTCCAAAATATCAATTTAATGTTGCAGGACCTATTCCCATCCTCTCTTCTTCCTCCCGTCCCCGTTTACCAAACCCCCCTCTCCTCTCCTCTACCACCTCTTCTGTTCCTTCCTTCACTATCCACTTTTTCCCTTTCATCCATAGATTTATTCCCCAGCTTACCATATTTCCCTTTCCTCTTTCTTCCCATGCCTTCCCTAATAATATTCTATTAATATTTCTTTCTCTTCTGGTTTTGTCCTCCTCAATTCTTATTTTCGAACCTCTCAGTTTACTTTTTGCCCTCATAACTTCCTGCTTTTCTTCCTCACTTCCAACTTCCACCAACCACATTCTCACCTTACCTTCTTCATCATCTCCACCCAATGCTTTTACCGCCCTAACCTCTACTCTTACCCCGATTCTTTCCAATACCCTTCCTACCCCTTCTCGACAATTTCTTCTTTTCTCCTTAATTCCCTTTATTATAATATTCTTTTTTTTCCTTCTTTCTCCATAAACTCCATCTGTTTTTTGAGCTCCTTCACTTCCGTCTTTAATTCCTCTATCCCTTCTACGTTTCCAGCTTTCTCACATTTTTTCATCTTTTCTACCCTTTCTTCCAGCCCCTCTAACACTTCTATCCTCTCTTCCAACTTTCTTGCCTCCTCCCTTCTTTCTTCCTCTAACTCTCTGACTCCCTTTTCCATACTTTCCAATTTTTCCCACACGTTATTCTTCTCTTTTCTATATTCCTCTTCATACTTTGTCCACATCTCTCTTATCTTGGCCATCTCCGCCCATACCCCTTCCATCTTCCTATCCATTCTCAAACATCTGTCCTCCTCTTTTTTCCTGTTATCTTTTAACTTTTTTCTCACGCTGTCCAACCCTTTTCTCGATTCTTCCCCCATTTTTTTCAGCATACCCATTATTTCCTCAAATCCCTTTCCCTCATCCGCCCCTTCTTTCTTCATTTCATCCTCCATTTCCTTTTTTTTAATTTTTCCCCTCTTAATAAATAATCTTTCATAAAACCTATTGACTCTACACTTACCGATCTCTCCTTCCTTTCCTTACTCGATTTCCTCCCCCTCGGGTCCTTTTCCCACTTTGCCTTCTCGCGCTTTTTCTGTAACTGCTTTTCCCTCTTGCTATTGCCAGGCGACTCAAACACAGCTACACTGTAAAAAAATCTGGTGTAAAATAACACGAAACTTGTAATTTCACACATCAAAATTATAGGTTGTACGTAGTAAATTTATTTCGTTCCAAAAGTAGTTTTACTATTTTTAATAATTTTACATTATACGACTATGTAATTTAATAGTTTTGTGTAAATTTACTACGTCCGACGTAGGAAAATTTGATCACTATGTCCGACGTGGTATTTTTACATTGCGTGTATTTCTACACTTTGACGTAATATTACGTCGCACGATCTGTATAATTACATGGCGAATGTAATTTTCTTATTCCTTTAAAATTTTCAAAAAATTTTCAAGTTTTTATAAATAACTCTAAAAAAGTGTATATAATGTACATTTATAGAAAGTATAATATGCTAATTTATAAGTAAATAATAATATTACAAAAAGTTTTGGGCAATATTTCATAAATACAAAAAGTTACGACTGAAAATATTATTTCAAAAAATATTTGCAGGTTATGTAGATTACAGTCGGCGTGTAAAAATACCACGTCGGACATAGTGACCAAACTTTCCAACGTCGGACATAGTAAATTTACACCAGATTTTTTTACAGTGTATATCACTGTCTGCCTCGCTTACAGATTCCCCCCAACTCACTATACTTGCTGCCTGACTCGACCCACCTGTCGTCTTACTCTTTGTCTCAGCTTTCTCTGGCCCAACCGACTCTGTGTGCCCTCTCTTGTTCTTAGGCGGAGTCACCCACAACGACATCCCCTATCTTACCCACCTAACCTGCTGTACTTCTCCTTTCCTTGTCTCTCAATCTCCCGACTTAGGCTGGAGTCCCATGGTAGCGTTTTGCGTTGCGTTTTGTAACTAGGCAATGAGTGCAAATAGAGCAAACCTATATCTGTATCTCTCTCACACTCATGGCCTAGTTACAAAACGCAACGCAAAACGCTGCCATGGGACTCCAGCCTTAGGGTGAAGTCCCATTGAACCGTTTTGCGTTGCGTTTTGCAACTAGGCCATGAGTGCAAATATAGACAACATATATCTGTATCTCTCTCACACTCATGGCCTAGTTACAAAACGCAACGCAAAACGCTATCATGGGACTCCAGCCTTAGGCTGGAGTCCCATGACAGCGTTTTGCGTTGCGTTTTGTAACTAGGCCATCAGTGTGAGAAAGATACAGATATAGGTTTGCTCTATTTGCACTCATTGCCTAGTTACAAAACGCAGAATGAGTTAAAGAAGGATAGGTATAATGTTTATCCTTCTCTAACTCATTCTTACGCTTACGGTTACGATTGCGGTTCCGGTTACAGATCTATTCTGCGTTGGCCTTTACTCACACTTTCTAACCTTACAATTTCTCAAAGTTCACTCTTTTACCTTTTTCTCAAACATACAAACGCTCACTCACCTATACTTTTTACCATTTATACTTCACACACTGCTGCACACTTTTTACCACTCACTTTACCCACCCCTCACAATAACCTTTAAAATTTCCAAAAAAATTAACACTACCGCGTAAACACGTGTACTATCAGTCAGCACCGGAAACGGAAGCCCTTTCTTTATTATAATAAATTTTTTTTATAAAGAATATATAAATTTTCTTTATTTGTTTATAACAATTTGTATATGAATTATTTATAATTGAGTTTAATAATTTAGATTATTTTTATTATAGTTTCAAAATTGACCCTTTCAAGTCAAATAACCACATATATTATTCTATTCGAAAGAAGCAATTTTGAAACTATAATAAAATCTAAATTATTAAACTCAATTATAAACAATTCATATGCAAATTGTTATAAACAAATAAAAAAAATTTATTCCCTCATTTAATTTTTATTGTATGTAAAAATAAAGACGTAAAAAATTATATTTAAAAACTAATTTATTAATTATTTAAATTATTAAATTGTTATAAATAAATGGAAAACATTGAACAATAACAAAAAAATTATGCCGTTATTAAATTTCTATTCTTCTTATAGCAATTAAAAATTACGGACATAAAAAATTATATTTTAAAATTAATTTGTTTTAACAAATTGTATAAACAATTAAAAAAAATGATAAATTATTATAAAAAAATGTTATGTTATTTAAATTTAATTGCAGGCACGATAACTAAAAATTATATACGTAAAAAATTATATTTCACAATTAATTCTTTTAGATAAATTGTTATAAACAAATGATATTAATAATTATTTTTGAATTTCAGTTTCGAGTTTTGGACCTCAACAATTGTTGAATTTCATCTAAACTCTTTCCCTTTGTTTCGGGTGCAATTTTATAAATGACAAAAGTTTGAAATAAACAAAATGTCGCAAAAATTCCGAATATCATTGAAATATCAAAAATATCATTTAACAATTGATAAACAATTGAGGCGGTAAAAGTGAAAAACATAAGTGTCACTTTAGTGAATGTTATCCCAACGCTTTTCACATCACTCGGAAATAGTTCACCTTGATAAATTAAATAAATATTATAGTTTCCATTTGTCAATGAAAAATCAAAAATCACTAAACCAACGAGAGGTAACCAATCAAAATTTTTAATATTCATATTTGTTTTTAAATAAAAAAATACACCAACAATTCCAATTGAAAATGACGCTAAACATCCGAGTGTAAGAAGAAGTGTTCGTCGTTTAAATTTTTCTATCGTAAATGTACTCGACGCTGAACTTAAAATACTAATGGCGGCCAATAGAAAAACGGCGTCTTTTGCCGGTAATAAAGATTCATCGTAAGTTAATATATTTTGCGCAAAATATTTCGTTATTCCATAACCGGAAAATACATTTTGCGCTGCGCAGGCAATTGTTATTAATAACGCTCGACGATTACTTGGAATTGTGAATAATTTTTTAAGTCCACTTGTATTTTCGTCATGTTCCTCTGTTTTGTTTTTCAGATTAGTTTCCATTTGTTTACAATTGTCAGCATTTTTGAGGTTAGTTTCCACTTGCTCCCAAGCGTCGCTTGTTTTGAGGTTAGTTTCGATTCTTTTTTCGCTTTCTTCCAAAGCTTGTATTTTGAGGTTAGGTTGTATTAATTTTTCTAATTTAGAAAAATCATTTTTTCCATTTAGAAAATCTATTCTTATTTCAGTTTCTTGATTTTGTGACAAAAAATATGTGGAATCTGGCATAAATATGAATGTGACTAGAAATGTTATTGGCAACATTAGGAGAAATATATTCAGTGTATTATGTGAACAATAGGCGCCAATTAGAACAGTGAGAAAACTGCCGATTGACATTGTTAATTTGAAAAGTACCATGAATATACCACGATTTTCACGATTGCCAATTTCTGATAGGTAGAATGTGAGTGCGCATGCGCCGGCGCCATAACCTATGCCAGCTAATATTCTTCCGAGATATATAATGATTATGTTATTTTTGGAAAAAATTAACAGTAACCATGATAATAGTTGTGGTACACTGTAGAGGAGGAGTGATTTTTTTCTACCTAGACGATTTATTATCAGGGGATTTAGTAGAAAACCTAAGGCACAGCCAACGCTTAGTAACGGAACTATCCAGTAGATTTCTGTTTTAGTAAAATTTGATTGGGTGTGGAAATAGGGAAGTGCTGGTGATGACCACGCAACTGCTGAGGCGAGTCCTAATGATGTCATTGATGCTGTAAAAAGAGAAAATTTATTTTATGAAAAATTTAAAGTCTATTTTGTGAGCTCTATTAAATTTTTTATTTGTATTTTATTACTGATTACTATTATCATAGTAAAATATCGTCTTAAACTAAATAATTAATCAATTAAAAGATTTTTGTCGAAACTATTTTTTGAATTTGGCGCCATAATCGAATGACGCTATTGTTATTTTTTTGTTGCGCGGTTGGTACCCTTAGGCTGAAGTCCCATGGCAGCGTTTTGCGTTGCGTTTTGTAACTAGGCAATGAGTGTGAGAGAGATGGAGATATATGTTTGCTATATTTGCACTCATGGCCTAGTTACAAAACGCAACGCAAAACGCTGTCATAGGACTTATCCCTTAGGCCGCAGTCCCATGACAGCGTTTTACGTTAATAACGTATTACTAATTATTACAATAAAAAATGAAAAAAAATTGAACGTTTATTATAAGGAATTAATTGTATATAAATTTCTCTTAATTTGTGGCATATTTTAAATAATAATAAAAATTCACAATATTAAAATATGCCACAAATTAAGAGAAATTTATTTACAATTAATTCCTTATAATAAACGTTCAATTTTTTTTCATTTTTTATAATTAGTAATACGTTATTTTTAAATTTTAATCAATTTTAAATATCCCGACAGAAAAATGATTTTTCGAAAGCGGAAAATTGAGGTGTGAACAGTCAAATGTTTCTGCATATGCATGCATCATGCAGACATATAAGATCGTGTGGCTGTACCCCCTGCTTCAAAAAAATTATTAAAATGTATAGGATTTGATAACATTTCTATAAGACAGGAATTGAAATTTTAATCAAAATTAATCAAATACAAAAATTCCAATGATTTTGAATACTATGTGCGAATTTTAATTAAACTAAATCAAACATTTGGATAAAATTAGAATCAAATACAATACTACATGAAATTTAAATACTTTATTATCAAGAACGTCCGATTAAAATTCAATCAAAATCTATTAAACTAGAATTCTAATAAATTTTAATCAAATAAATAGATTAAAGTTCAATCAAATCCTATCCACTCGAAATTCTTATACTATTCTTTCGTATTGAATTTATTATCATCCTATCCAATTTTATCCTTCAAAAAATTATATAAATTCCTATCAGAAGATTAGAAAAGAATGTTAATCAAATCCTATCCACTCGAAATTCTTATACTATTCTTTCGTATTGAATTTATTATCATCCTATCCAATTTTATCCTTCAAAAAATTTTATACATTCCTATCGGATGATTAGTATAGAGTATTAATCAAAACATATTCACTAAAAATTCTTATGCTGTTCTTCCATGTTGATTTTATTAACATTCTATCAAATCCTATTCTTTAAAAAGTATTATGTATTCCTATCAAAAGATTTATGTAAATTGTCAATCAAATCCTATATACTACTCAAAGTTATACTAATTTTTAGGCTCTCATTATTCTATACTGCAATTTTGTTATTAGTTTTGTTATTTTTATTAGTTTTCAGACACCAAAAACGTAGGAATATGAAAGTCTGTCCTCTGGGTCACGGAATGTTTATTTTGTTGGGTGCCTGTGTTATTTAAAAGAAATTCTATTTAAGAAATTTGTATGTATTACATAAATTTCACTTGGCCAAAAATTAATTGAACAAAATTTCTATTTTATCCAATTTTTATATTGTTTAAAAATTTGATAGAAATTTATCAAATATATTTATTTAAGTTTGAAATTTTGGGAAAGTGGAAATTTGCTTATATGAAAATTTGGTCAAATAAACGATGTACTAATTAAAATCTCTAACATATGAACATTCTAACAAATAGAAATTGTATTAAACAGAAATCCTGTTAAATTAAATTCTAGTAAAGTGCAATTTATGGAATTTAAAAAATTGCTCTAATGGAATTTCTCTTAAATAATATTTCGAAGATATCAAAATTCGATTAAGAAAGAATTCTTTTTAATGTTTTTATGCATATTAAAAATTCTTCAAAATGATAGTCTGTTCAATAAACATTCTAGTTATTTTATTAGTAAAAATACTGCTATTTCAAATTTTGAGAAATAATTATTACTGAGTGATATTATTAAAAAGTAATATTAATTAAATAATATAAAAAGTTAACAATAATTTCTAAATTTCAATCCTCGTAAACAACTGATTTTCCACCTATAAGAGATAACCATTTATTCTAACTAACGTTTACTTACTGATGAATGAATGACTTTGTATCAATAGCAACAAAATGTTTTAAAATTTAAATTTATATTTTTATACAAAAAATCTTTTTCTATCGGTAAGCATCACTATCCTTCTAAGTAAATAAGTTAGAAAGTTTTATGGCTCTTTACAATTACAATGGTTGACATTGGACCGATATCATATGGAAGTAATTTAACGCAGACCTGGACTCGCTTGGGACTACCTGGCTCGTCGAAGATGAAATATAAGGAATTTTTTTTGCAAGGGTTCTTTGAATTAATGAATTTTTTTACACCTCGAAAAATTGAAAAAGCAATGTTGTCAAATATTTATCTTTTTTCCAATGTTGTCACTTCTTTGAATTTGAGTATCATCTTGGTTTCAGAACGAAAACGTATTTAGTCTTAAGGGTTCTCTCCAAGGTTCTCTCTCTTGCAGTAAATGGTATTTCGATAGTTTGGCAGGCGTTTTATGTTTTATTTATGTTATTTTTTATTGTTTTATTTTTTCTATTTTATCAAATGACTAATAATAGTGTGTACAAGTGAAATAATGACGGTAAAAATTTGTTGATACGAAGTTTAGTGCAAAAAATTTAATAAAAAATTTAATTTAATTTAAAAATTTAATAAAATAATATTTAACTCCAAAATTTGTAATTTCATCATTTACCCAAAAAGTTTTTTTTACTAGTTGTGTACCAGAAAGTCCCCTTAATAAATATATATAGCGAGCATAAACAACATAAAACATGAGTGTAGGTGTAGATTAATGTAGATTTATTGTATTCATAATATTATACTATATTGTTGTGTTGATTTTGTTGAACTAAATAACAAAATTTTATCTAAAAGTATTTTTGAAAATTTGATTGAAATAATATGTAGAAATTTTTACCTTAGCAGTTTGATAAACTTATTAAAAATTTAATTTAATTTTCTATTTAATTACTTAAAATTTTTTATAAATAGATAAATAACAGGTAATTGACATAAACTTATATTGACATTTTTTGAATAATAGTAAAAAGATTTATATATATGCGCGTAAAAAATGATTCAGTAAAACAAAATATTGAGTATGATGGACTTTTTGACATTTTTAAGGCTGCGTCTACAATAGAAAAAAATAATGTGTAGAAAAATGTGTAATTTGTAGTGTAATGTGTATTGTTTTTAGCACTGCCAACTGTCAGGGTCAATTACACTATACATTACACAATTTTCTACACCTTATTTTTTCTGTCGTAGACGCAGCCTAACAGAAAATCTATTAAAGATTCAAGCAGTGTATATGTTTATAAATTTTTCCGTATGGGAGACTAGGTGCAGTTGTTACAATTTTAATAAAATCAGTTACAGTGATTAGAGTTTAACTCCAATTTGTTTTGTCAAACGATTAAATCAAAAGTATATTATCTAGTTTTAAAAGGCCGTAATTGATTTAGCTCTATATCTATTATTTAATTAACTAGAAGCATTTGGTGTAAATTGTAACAACTGCACAAAGTGAATGTCGGTTGTTACAATACCAAGAATCATCTATAACATTTTTAAATTGAAGACAAATAATTTCTTATAACAACTTTTATTAATTATTCATAATTTTTGACTCAACGTAATAGTGCGTAAGAGAGTGTCATAGAGATGGCAGCTCTAATATTGTTTCGAATTTTTTAAAAATTATCCGTTCTCATCATCACTTGTAACAACTGCACAACAGGTACATTTTCTACAATAAATCACTTTATTAAAAAAGTATACACTAAATGTGGACAACCAAGGCAGTTTGTTAAAGCTAAATCCTCATAGAATTTATATTAAAAAATTTATTTTGTTAAGTATAAAGGTCTATTCGTCATTTAAAAAATATCAACCAGAGAAATATTTACTATTGGCCTCTAAAAACCAATGTGGCTATTTTTTTACTTGTAAAGCTTGCATATAATTTTTAAACATATTGCAACAAGTTCGTACTAAAAACTAAACATTTTTTCCTTTGGAATTCCATCGCTATAATGAACTGTCTCTGAGCTATTCCATTTGTAACAACTGCACACTGTAACAACCGCACCTAGTCTCCCCTATCAAATATAAGTATCCAATTTGATAAACATTTTATTAATAAAAAATTTTGGTTGAAATTGTAAAGGAAATTTTTTTTATAGAAAGTAAAAGTGAAAATATTTTGCATGAAATTCAAAGTGAAAGTTTTTTTAGTGAATGTGAAAATACTTTTTGTGAAATTAGAAGTAAAAAGTTTTTGATTCAAAGTAAACATGTGTTTTCTCAAATTGAAAGTCAAAATATTTTTTGGGAAATTAAAAGTGAAAATTTGTTTCCAAAAATAAAATTATGAATCTTTTAAAAGTGAAAATTCTTTGGGTGATATTGCAAGTGAAAATTGATTTGATGATATTTTAAAAGTGAAAATTTTTTGAGTGAAAATGAAAGTTACGTGAACATACTCTAGGTTTGGAGAACAGTTCGAATACGATAGAATCTTATTTAACTTTTTTCTATTCAATCCTATCAAATAGAAGTATTCATTCCAATAGGCTTATTTCCCAAAACAATTAATAGAATCTTATTCGGTATGCCCTAATTTCGGGATTTATAAATGAATAGTAAAGTATAGAAAATTCTTTCTATCAAATACAAGTATTTATTTTGATAGGTATTTTCTATCCAAAACAATTCATAGAATCTTATTCAATATACTTATATTTACGGATTTAGAAAACGGATTGTAAAGTATAGAAACTTCTTCCTATCAAGTCCAATAAAGTACAAGTATTCATTTTGATAGACATTCTATCCAAAATAATTGATAGAATCTTATTCAATAAACCCAAATTTACGGATTCAGAAAACGGATAGTGAAGTATAGAATAGTATTTTCATTTGAATTTTATTATTATATTGTAAAGTTCAGTGAATGAATAAACAAATGAAGAAAGAGAGGAGACAAAAGGGAAAGAAGAGGAAAATGCAAAAAGGGTATTTTTTGAAACATTGAAAAGACTAATTTCACTAAATAGGCCAGTAACCAAAACCAAACCAAATCTATTTTCACTATCATTTACAAAATGATACATCTAATATTAAAAGTCAAAATGCAAATTGTTTTTTCTAAAGCAAAGAGAAGTAATTAATAATTAATTTAAAAGAAAAATTTAATGTATTTTTAAAAATGAAAAATTTTATTTTCTTTCTTGATATATACAAGTGACCTTGTGGGTATAAAATTAATGAAATCAAATTATAAACTTTTGCTTTTTGGTAAAAATAAATAAAATTAAGTATTATTATTGATTTTGTTTTAAAACTGCAATAATTTAAAATAATAATAATTTTTTAAGAGGATAATAATAATTTATAAATTTATAAAAAGCACTGCTCGTGTAGAAAAATTAATAAAATGAAAAATACAATATTAATAAAATAATAGAAGTAAATCAATATTTCCTTTCGGAGGAATTTCCTTAACAAAAAAAGCATTTGTTTGGTTATGAAATAGAAATGATAATGAGTTTCAAAAGATTAGTTATTGGTTACTAATTATGATAAAAATGATTTTCTCGAGATTGCATTGAGTTTAATGAGGACATAAGGTCATTTTGACAATAATATGAAAAATGATTGTAATGAAATATTTTAAAATACAAAATTTTTAATATTACTCTAATTCTAGTTATTAATGTTATTAAAATTATATATTATTATTATTAATATTGTTACTATTATTATTATAAATATATAAATTTATTTAAAATTCAGAAACAAATATTTACCTGGAACAGTTAAAAATTTCAGTACATCAGCAAAATTTTGAGTTGTTTTATTTAAAACTTTCGCTATTTTAGAAAAATTTATCACTATTCCAGATGAATGTTTTCTCCGGGAGTATTTTATGAATTTTTCCAATTATGATAACATTTCAAGTTTAATTTAAAAATTATAATTTAGAATTAAATAACCTTATACAAAAAAAAGAAAAATTATTATAAATATCTCTTCAACAATGCCATTTATGTTCAAAGAGATAATCTTTTTACTTCATTAAAATGAAAATATTTTTACATTAAATAAATAATTTTGACGTCACTTACCGGAAATTGCTGAAGTGTATTGCAAAAAGCATAATTTCCTTTTTGAAACCATATTTAACTTTTCTAATTGCTTAGAAATAAAAAATAATATTCTATTATAATTTCACACACACTTCTTTATAATTTAAACTCTATTATGTCATTGTTATATTAATTGCAAAGCAATTTTCACTGATTTTAGCGAATTTATTTTTTAAAATAATTTAATTAAAAAGTAATATTTATAATAACTACAAATAATAGAAAGAACAAATTTTTCTCCGAAACAAAGGAATTAATCGCGTGAATCAATAAATTTGAATAGGAGAGAAATTTCCATTGAAATAGAATGCAAAAGATGTGTTCTCATTATGCGTTAAGCATGGACAATGATTTCTCATTTTTATTATCAGTTTGATTGATAATAAAATATTGAATACGTATTACATTGGCCATTGACGGATTTTAATGCGCGCTTGATAAAATTAATAATAATTTGAACTTGACTTTCTTTTAGATTAAAAAATTTTTCCGTTTTATTTAAAAGCGCCACATACGTACGTGCATTTTATATGAATTTTGTTTATGTTTTTTGTTTGTTTAAAAACTCTTTAAGAAAAAAGTTTTACATTCTTGTCATTATTACTATTCTTTAATTATTATTTTATTATTAACTATTGTAATTATAATTATTTTTTTTATTACTAATTATTATTATTAGTTTTCATATTTATATTATTATTATTATTAGGTACTATTATTGGTGTTTTGTTCCTTAATTATTAAAATTTACACGACAAAGAATTGTTAATTAATTGTTTAATTAACACTAACTCAGTAAACAATTATATCTAATTAATTCATTACGACTAATTAATTACAACTGTTTAGATAATAAATTGAAACTAATTAATTATAAATAATTATGCATTCATTAATTAATTATAATTAACTAGACCTGATTAGTAAATTGCAAATAAACAACTGATTTGTGAATTGATTATAAATAATTTATTTATAACAACTGATTAAATAATTAATTGTGACTAACTAATCGATTGAAAGTAATTAATTAATTATAACTAATGAAAAACAACTGATTAGTTGATTAATAACAAAAAATTAGTCAACTAATTAAAATTAATTAAATTATTACAACTGATTAATTAATTGTAACTATTACATTGGTTAATTATAGTAAATAAATTAATTTTAAGTAAATAACTAATTAATTAATTATACCTAACAAATTTACTGCAACTAATTATATTTAATAATAATCTACATCTGTTTAATGAATTAATTACGATTAATAAATTTGTTCCAACTTAATAATTAATTAATTAATACTAATTAATTATTTAATAAAAACTGATTAATAAAATAATTACCACTAATTAGTTAATTATTAGTAACTAATTAATAACAATTAATTTATATAATTATTTTTTTTTTTTTAATTTAATTTTTAATTTTTATTAAATGAATCGACTACAGGAAAATTAGTAAATTATTAATTAAAATTATTATTATTATTATTATTAATTATTAATCAGTTGCAATTAAATAGTTAGTTATAACTAACTATTTAATTGCAACTGATTAATTTTTTATTACATTTAATTAATTAATTACAACCAATTTGCGAATTATAGGTAACTAACTAATTAATTGTAAGTAATTAATTGCAACTGATTAATTATTTTTTTCCAACTTATTAGTTAATTAATTAACTAACTAATTAAAAGTAATTAATTAATACTAATTAAATAATTACAACTTACTAAATAATTACATCTAATTTATTAATTGCAACTAATTGAATTTTGAAAAATAATTTATTTATCCACTTGAAATGTTTTTTTATTTACAAATAATTTATTATTGAGAGATAATTTTTGTAATTAATTTTATGTAATTACAATTTATTGTTGTAATTAATTCTACAATTGATGCATTGTCGTAACTAATTAATTAACTATAACTACTGCATTGTCGTAACTAATTAATTAACTGCAACTAATGCATTGTTGTAATTAATTAATTAGCTATAACTAATGCTTTGTTGTAATTTAAAAATTAATTACAGCTAATACATTATTGCTTGTAATTAATTACATTAAATTAATAATTAGAACTAATTTAATTTAAATACAAATATTCATTACAATACTGATAATATAGATCTAAATAAATAGGCAACTCGCAAAATAAATAAATTTCGAAATACTGTTAAAAAATTGTTATACAACAAAAAATCGTTTTTTCCCTAAAACAATTTGAATTTCCTCATTACTTTTGCCCTGTGTTTCAGGCGTAATAGAGAAGACAAAAATTGAAAGAATAATACTAAAAATACTGAATATCAAATAAATCATTCCCCTTCCAATAGCGGCCATTAAAACTTGAAATCGAAAGAGACAAAAATATGAGAATGCCATATATGAAACTTTACAAAACATTACACCCATACTTTTAACATCGGCAGTAAATAATTCCGCTTGATAGACGTAAAAGAAATTTGAACAACCAATTGACATTGCTAGTTCATAGCAAGTTAGTATAAAGCACGGTAACCATGTGAACATGGAAATATTAAAATTTCCTTCCTCCACAAAAAAGAAAGCACACAATGTAATGTTCGATAGTGTTCCAATTATACTTGTAGCAAAGAGAATATTTCTTCTGCCTGTTTTTTCAATTATTTTCGCACTTATTCCGGAGGCGATTATTTTTGCCAATGCCAGAAACATTGTCGCTTTTTCTGAATCGATTGGAGACTCCTTGCTTGTTAATAATTGTTGGGTGAATGTCCAAACTACCATGTGACCCGAGAGTACATCTTGAGCCGCTAGACTCACGGTTATCATCAATGCCTTTCGACTATTTCGTGTGGCTATCATTTTCCAAAAGCGAGAATTTTTTAATGTGGAGAAATTTTCGTTTTCCTTTGAATAATTATCGGCTTTCAATTCATTCTCGGATTGAAAATTTTCCCATGTTGAGGGATTTTTATTATGAAAATTTTCGCATTGGGAAGTTTTGGTTTGGAAATTTGTATCTTGTAAAGTTTTGATATGAAAATTTTTATCTTTTATATATTCCACTTGTAAGTTTTTGTCTTGTAAAGTTTTAGTTTGTAGATTTTCATTTTTGAAATCTTTTCGTTTTTTATGTTCATAGTTTAATTTTAAAGAAGAATTATTTTCTCCAGTAATTTCTGCTTCTTTGGAAACAAAAATACCTTCAGGATTCAAAATTCGTTTGGTTTGTTCGTAGCCTAAGTTTAAAGAAGAATTATTTTCACCAGTATTTTCAGCTTCTTTGGAAGCATTTTCTTCTTCTTCTTTGAAAAAAATATTTCTATGATTAATTCCTGTTTGTTTCAAAGACCTCATTTCCTGATTCATCAAAACCTGATTCTCATAATCGAATGATTTTAAATCTTCGCTAATTTGTTCCTTCTCCTTCTTTATTTGAATTTTGGAAAAAAAAGATGCTTCCGGCATAAAAATGAATGTAATGGCAAAAATAATTGGCGAGGCTAGAAGAATGAGATTCATGTATTTGTAGGGTATGTAGGCACCAAAGAGCATGACGAGAAAGAATCCTAGACCCATGGCAAGATTGAGATAGGATATGAAGATGCCTCTTGTTTTTGATGTGCCAATTTCGGAGAGATAGATTGTTAGGGCACAAATACCGGCTCCGTAGCCCATGCCTTTGAATATTCGGGCAATGTAGAGGGTGATTGGTGATTGAGCAAGATTTATCAGTATCCATGCTGTCATTTGTGGTATGGTGTAAATCAGGAGGGTACGTTTACTGCCAAATTGCTCGATGATGAAGGGATTCATTATGTAGCCGGTGATGTAGCCCACTGTCAGTAGTGATGATATGATGTCACTTTGCTCCTTTGATAATGGAATTGGTGAATTTTCACTTGTCAGGTATGGAATTGATGGTGATGTCCATGTCATTGCTGCGCCATAGCCGACGGCAGTTATTGTTCCTAAAAATTATTTTTTTTCATTAGTTTCAATTTCATTAACAATTATTTAGCAATTAAGGAACAATTAACACATAACATTTTGTTGATTAATATTTTTCTTAAATTCTTTTAAATTTTTTGTTTATTTTGAGGCTCAGAATTTCTGAACCGTGCCAATAATTTTTTGATAAAGATATTTTTATATTGCATATCAATAATTTTATAGTATTTTTGTACCAAAATATAACCCCAAAGTTGATTTTGCAAAATTTAAATTTTTTTCAAGAGTTATCGTTTAAACAATTTCTACGCATCACATTATTGAAAAATTTCTTCCTAGCGTTCAATTTGATGAATTTTAATAAAATTTTTTATGAGTAATATACAATACAAATCATATTTTCGAACAAAAAATATCTATTAGATTTTGTTCATAATTTGTTTAAAATAGCAACAATTATTATAAATAAATAGAAATAAAATAAACTTCTCCGCCTAATTTCGTATTTTTTCTGGTCAATTATGATTCCCTGTTTTATCACGAGTATTTACAAAAAAAGAAAAGTCAGTATATTGCATTAGGTAAAAAGTTATTAATATTTTTGTGACCGCGTTTGCTGCGCTCCACAGTCGGATAAAAAGACAGATATTGGTTCAAATTAACTTTTAGACCACACTTTTTAACCAAATTAAAAATTTTTTTTATCTCTAACTCAGAATTAAATTTGTATACTGTAGGCGCAGTTATGCCTGAAAGAAATTGTTTTTTTATAAATTTACTGCAGCTTGTTGCAATTTCACTTTTTTAAATGAAACTGATGTTTTGCGATAATTTTTTCTGAATTATTCTTAATTATTTTAGGAACATTTTTGGACAGAAATAAATCGAATTTTTACAATTAAGTTTTCTTCTAAGCTGCCCAGAGATTGTCATCTAAAATATATTATTTTTTAAATAACTTTATCATTTTTATAAACAAATTGAATAAACAATTATATTCATTAAACATTTTTGGTCAGCAATTAATCGTCTGTTTTATAAATTAAGATTAAATTATACCTACAGTTAATTTCTTCTAATGAAAAGGAAGTTTTGCTTCAATTTTTCATATATTTACAAGTAAATAGCATTAACAATTGAATTTGATGAAAATATTTTAATAAAAGAATAAAACGTTTTGAAAACTTGTTTAAATAAAGCTTGCTAAAATTTTTTTCAAAATTTATTTTATTTCTGTTTAAAAACGTCCCTACAATGCAACTGTTTATTAAAATTGTTTAAATAACTAAGAAAAATTATCGCAAAACATCAGTTTCATTCAAAGAAAATTAGATTGCAATAAGCTGAAGTAAATTTATAAAAAAAATTTCTTTTAGATATAACTTTGCCTAAAGTGTAATTGTTTATAAAAATGATAAAGTTATTTGCAAAATAACTAACTTTTTCATAAGGAGAACGTCTAGTCGATTTAGAAGAAACGTTAATTGTAAGAAATTTTATTCATTTGTGCCCAAAAATGTCCGTACAGTGCAATTGTTTGTTGAAATTGTTTAAATAATTAAGAAAAATTATTGCAAAACATAAATTTCATTGAAAGAAAGATTAATCGCAATTAGCTGAAGTAAATTTATAAAACAAGTTAATTATTTTTAGTCAATATCTTCGCGTAAAATGTAATTGTTTATATAATTTGTTTATAACAATTTTTAATTTTTAAAACAATTTTTTATACTACTTACACACCCCTAGACATAAAATGTATGCAATATTGAGTAAGTAAAAACAATTTTTTTTAAATATATTCAAAAGTTTAAAATATCATTTTTTAACACTTTTCATTAACATTAAAAATTTATAAAACAAAATTTTTAAAATCGACTTTCACAGATCATTTTAGAATTTAGTTCTGAGTTAGAGGGAAAAAAAATTTTAATTTGGTTAAAAATTGTAGTCCAAAAGTTAATTTGAACCAAATTTTGTCTTTTTATTCCACTGTGGAGCGCAGCAAACGCGGTCACAAACAAAATTAATAACTTTTGACCTAATGCAATATACTGACTTTTCTTTCTTTCGTGATAAAACTCGTGATAAAACAAAGAATCATAATTGACAAGTAAAAATACGAAATTCGGCGGAGAAGTTTATTTTATTTCTATTTGTTATAATAATTGTTGCTAATTTAAACAAATTATGAACAAAATCTAACAAATATTTTTTGTTCGAAAGTATAATTATTGTATATTACTCATACCAAATTTTATTAAAATTCATCAAATTGAACGCTATAAAAAATTTTTTCAATAATGTAATGCGTAGAAATTGTTTAAACAATAACTCTTAAAATTTAAATTTTGCAAAATCAACTTTGGGGTCATATTTTGGCACGAAAATACTATAAAATTATTTATGTGCAATATAAAAATATCTCTATCAAAAAATTAGTGTCAGGCTTCAGAAATTTTGAGCCTTTATTAATATTTTATTAACTTTATGTATTTTGTGTATTTTGTTCATTTTGCTTATTTTGTTTATATATTTTATTTACTTTGTTTATGAACTGCGGGATTTTTTTATTTAAATAAATAAAAATTTTATTTTGTTTGTTTTTGTTTATGGGCTGTGGGATATTTATATAAATAAATAAATAAATATATACGTATAAAATATAATTAAATGAAAAATCAAATAAATAAATGGGTAAATAAATAAACAAATAGATTAATAAATAAATCTGAAAAGTGAACAGCAATTGCTTAGAAAGTTAGCAATTAACTAAAAAGTAACAAATAACAAAATAATAATAATAATAATATTGAATGATTGAAAGTATATTTTTATTGAAACTAATTCTGTATTTTATTTACTTATTTATATTTTCATTTAATTCTCTATTTATTTATTATTTATATATTAATAATAATTAATTATTTACAATATTTATTGAAAGCAATTCATTATTTAAATCAATAAAAATATAAATTATTGAGATAATTAACTAAATAATAAGTTAAAAATTCAAAAACAAGTTCAATAATGTTTGAATAACAATTTGTAATCAAAAAACTCACCAACAGTAGCAGCAACATATCTCATATATTCTGAATCCTTTTTCTTTGGCATTCTTTCTTTTTGGCGCAATTTTAAAAGTTAATTTAATACAATCTTAAATAGAATTTAATTAATTGCCCAAAATTAGTATCTAAATTATTTATCATTCAAATAGTTCTTTATAAAAAAATTTCTTTTTTTACAAATATCAAAAGATCGGAAAAAATTTTAAAATTCAAATAAAATTACAATTTGTTTATAACTTATATATTTGTCTTTGACAATAAATTTTTTTTATTCAATATAATTTATTTTTGGTTCTTCATTGGAAAAACTTTGTATTTATTACCTAGTTTTGCTTTTGAGAAAATTGTAATTTTTCACTCTTAATTAAATATTCACTTTCTTTTTTCAAAAATTTAATTTTTTTCAAAGTAATAATATGTATAGCACTTTTGAAAATTTAATTATTAATGTCAAATTTGCGAAATAACGTTTTAAATTAAAGTTATAATTTAACACACAAGGGAGTCATGTCGTAGGAGGGAAAAAATTTTATTTCCATTGGTAAGGAGAGAGAGAGAGAAAGAGAGAGAGAAAAATTATTGTATTTAATCAAGAATTTACATAACAATCTTATCATCAAGTTTAATAAATCTTTGATGATTAAAAAATGATAAAACTAGTGCAAAACTGATTTCTATAACTTTGTCGTCATTGTTACTATTACAAAAAAGTTTTTTTAGTCTTTAAATAAGTAAATGAAGAAAGTAATAAATAAATAAGTTTATTTATTATCCATTCAATTATTTATTAAATAAATATTAATTTTAATTTTTCATAAAAGATTTTCTATTTAATTAATATCAATTATTAATAATAAATTATAATATAATAATAATAACTCCGTTAAGAAATCATGAACGGGTACGGGTCCCAGGTATCTGAGTTGCAAATTTGCCACTTAGTTAAAAAATGAAAAAAAACTAATTACCTATAATAGTTAATTTGTTATTAATTATATTAATATTGATTATTAATAACTATAATGTAAATATGTTATAATTATTTATTTTTATTATTATAATATTATAATTCTTAATAATCCATGTTAATAATATTTAATTAAAGAAAAATATTAATTTTAATCAAGTATGTAGATTTTGCAATTAAAAGGAATAGAAATTAATTTTATTTGTCGAGTACTGAATGATAATACATAGTGAAATGGGAAAGAGGTAGAGTGGGGGGAAAATTGTCAACTTCAACTCTGCGATTGTCATTGATAATTCCAAAGTAAACGTTTGACGTGATTGTCTCTTTGAGCTTTTTGTATCTTTGCCACACTTTGTCACACATCTATTAAACGATTTCACAATAATGACAATACACAATGGAAAATCTTGAAACTTTAAATAATTTTTCCACTGAATAATTTTTTTTTCGATCATTTATCCTAACTTTTCCAATAGTTTTAAAGAGAATTATTTTTTTTTGATAAATTATTGTTTATTAATATTGTTTGTTATTTATGTGTAATGTTTAAAGAATATAAAATATTACGTTTACTTTTTAAATAAAAGATGAAGAAGAATGCTTTCTTTACATAAAGATTAAATAATGTTATCGTACAGTAGTTAATTATCGTTTGAGCATTATTATTTTATTAGTTATAATAATTATCATTCAGTAATTGATGACAATGTGTTTAAATGAACGTAATCACTTTTTTTTATAATATTTGATTGTTGACAATTTGTATATATGATAAGAAATTAGATAATTCAAAAAAATCAGCAAATTATTGAAATTTTAATAAAATCGAACATTAATTGTTTAATAACATTCGTACAATATTTAATAACTAATAATTATTTGTTAATAATATTTATTAACTATTAGTTGTTTGTTAATAATATTCAAGCATTGTTTAATAACATATAATGTTGCAATAACATTTTGCAATAAAATTTTATAGTTTGCAATAACATTTTACACTTTATAATAAGATTTAAAATTTAACAATAACATTTCATAATAACAGTTTAAAATCGTTTAATAAAAAGTATACATTAATTTAACATTCTCATATAGTGAAAAATTATTATTTTGGTGAGAATAGTTATGCAGAATTAAATATAGAGCTCAATTTGAAATAAAAAGAAAAGTCGTTTTTGGAGGTTTGGCTTACAGTAACCACGCCCTCATTTTAAAAACTCCTCCTATGCTTCCTATTGAGAATATTATTAGTATGAGGGCGTTGGTAAACAGTTTTAAAATTATTGACTAATTTCTATCTTAATCGTACCCAATTTTAGGCGTGTCAAATTTTTAAGCCCCACCTACAAAAAAAATACGAAACTAAATTTTAACTAAGCTGGTAGAATAAGCCTCTAGTGGGCGTGGTTTAAGTATAGATAGCCTTTCGAGAAACCCACTTAATTTAAGGGGGTTTTTACATTAATGATCGATTAACTATAGGCAGTAACTAGTTTTCTCTTTTTTTACAAAATATATATAATAAAAAAAGGCGTGACTTTTACATTAGAAGTATGTCACTAATTCCATATGGTTTATACATTTTTGGGCGTGGTTTGTTTTTTACTGTTCCAAAGATATTCTAAATTGGGAAAATTTGAAGTCCTCCTCTAATCTAAAGAAGCCACGCCTTCGAAAAAATACTTCATGCCTTTTTTAAATGGAGGACACGCCCCTAATGGGCGTAGATTTCTTTCTGGTATTTTCTCTAAAGAATTACCCGCCTATTAAGAAATATTTCCGGCTTCCAATAAAAGTGGAAGAGGTCTACAGTAATTGTGTATTTTTATTGGTTTTGCTTTCAGGAAAGAAGAAACAATTCTCGTCTAATGGGCGTGGCTTTTATTAGTATTGAAACAAGGGGGCATGTCTTCCAAGGAGTAAGTCCCGCCCCTAATGGGCGTGGCTTTTATTAGTATTGAAAAAGGGGCATGTCTTCCAAGGAGTAAGTCCCGCCCCTAATAGGCGGGGCTATCGCTTTCTTCATTAGCGTTTTACCGATTTTGTTCCAAAAAAGCCACTTTTTGATGAATATTTCCAGTCTTTTTAAAAATAAAACACGCCTCTATTGAACTCAAGCCATACCTTCTGGGCGTGGTTTACAATTTAGAACCACCCTATCCACAGTGAACCAGAGTTTTAATTTGAGTTTCCTAATAACTAAAAATTTATTTTAAAAAATATCTAAAAATTACTCAAAAAAACAAAGCTAATAATTTATTATAAAAATTAATAATCAACATTTTTTTAACAATATTTGAATTTCTTCAATACTCTTTCCCTTTGTTTCGGGCAATAAAAAAACAGTGACAAAACAAAGAATAGTACCACATATACAAAATATAAAAAATAACACGTAGGCACTAAAATTTTCAATTAACACTTGATACATAATTATTGAAATGAAACCAAAAACCATGTACATATTTTTTGCAAATGTCACGGCCAGTCCTTTCACATCATTAGTGAATAATTCACCCTGTAGAACGTAAAATAAATTACTCGTTCCCATTGAGACGGAAAATTCGTAAATAATTAAACCCACAAATGGTATAAATGAAAATGATGTGACATTAAATTTTTTTTCCTCCATGAGAAAAAATATTCCAATTATACCCTGAGAGAGTGATGACAATATACCGGTGGTGAAATAGAGTGTTCTTCTTTTTAATCTCTCGATTACTTGTGTCGCAACAATACAGGAAAATAATTTCATTAGCGATAAAAATAATGCCCCTTGTTTCGCTGTCAATAGAGAACCCTTGTAACTTAACATTTGTTCGGAAAAATATGTTAATGTCATGTGTCCTGATAGTGAATCCTGCGCAACAATACAGACAATTATTGTCAATGCCCTTATATTGTTTCTTGTCGTGAACATTTTCCAACAATTCGATTCCTTTAGATTTGAAATTAATGTCTTTTTCACCTCTAAATTTGTATTTTTGGTGAAATTTTCTTTTAGCAGAAAATTATCCTTTTGATCACGATCGTGATTTTTATGGAAAAAATTATTATCATTCGGAAAATTATTTTCTTTCTCTTGTTTTTGGACAATTGAACAATTATTTTGCAATAATTGAGAATTATTATCATTTAAAAGAATTTCATTCTCGTGACAAGTTTTTTCAATAATTGAAGAAGAATTATCGTTGGTAATGGAATTTTGATTTTTTTCCAAAAAATATGATGAATCGGGTAAAAAAAAGAATATGAGAAGAAAAATAATTGGCATTATTAAATGACCAAGATTCATGTAATTATAATTTACTGTTGCACCCAATAGTAAGGTGAAAAATATTCCTAAACTCAGAGAGAATTTGACCATTGTTAAAAATATTCCTCGATTTTTTGGTGTTCCAATTTCGGATAAATAAACAGTAACGGCACAAACACCACCACCGTAACCAATACCGCCCATTATTCTTGCAATATAAATGTCATTGTAATTTTTCGTGAAATAAATAATGAGCCATGAGATTATTTGCGGTAGGGCAAATAGCATTAGTGTCCATTTACGACCAATTCGATTGATAAAAATTGGATTTAGAAAATTTCCGATAATCAAACCTATTGGTAGAAGTGGTGCAATCAATGATGTTTGTTCCTTAGTGATGGGAATTTCGGATTTTGTACTTTTTAGATAAGTTAGAGCTGGCGATGTCCAGGACATTATTGATCCGTAGCCGGCTGATGTGATTGAGGCTGAAAAGAAAAGAAAATTTTGTTATTAGTTTTTGTATTTAATTTATGGGAGAAAACATTTTTTTCTTATTTATTATTCTTATTTTATTATTTTGACTAGTATAATTTTACTTTTTTTATAGTTATTTTTGAAAATATTAATAGTAGAAAATTGTGAGAAAAGACTAGATTAAAGAGAAGTGAAGGTTAAAAATGATAATATAAGAAAGTGTAGAAAATAGTAAAATAGAAAAAAGTACAATTTAATAATTATCTTGATTGATTTAATATATCTTGAGATTTAATATGGAGATGCTACTCCTCCACCTGCGAACGCCAAGGTCACCGCTAGATGGCAGTTTAGTTGACCAAATCAGATTTTACGCCACCCAGTGATGACCTTGACGTTCTCAACTGGTGAAATTAAACCACCATTTTATCCCTTAGAAGCTAATTAACAAATGAATTGAAAAAGTAATATATAAGTCGAAAAAATTAATTAATGAATTTATAAATTAATTGCAAAATAACATTTAAATATAAATAATAACTAAATATAAGCATTATTCATTCGTTAGTTAATTAAAAAATTAAAACAATTATTAATTGTAATTGTTATTAAATGTTATTAAATGTAAAAAAATCAACTATATATTAAATTATTAATTAATTTAATAACTAATTAATTAATTTATCTGTTAATTTAATAATTTATTAATTTATTAATTATTTATTAATATTTAAAGAAAAACTTTTTCAAGGAATTTTTCTAGCCAATTATAATTTTAATTTCCCTACTTATCGATAATCGGTTTGAAAATCTTTTTCTTCGCATATTTTTTTCACTGTCATTTAAATTTACAAAAAGAATAATTAATTTGCACATTTTTTATTAATTACCTGTTATTGCAGCTCCATATTGTAGTAAAACTTGACTTTTTTCGTTTGGACGCATATTTCTTGTTTTTATTTTTTCTATTTACGAAATTTTCTTCTTTCCAATTTTTCTTTTGTGTTGTTGCTGTCAATCTTCTTTTCCTTGCTTATCATTAATCGGAGACATTATTTAAATTGATTTCTTAAAAATCATATAACAAACAAATAAACAAAAAAACGCATACAATATTATATTTACTTCTCCTCCTTTCTTATCTAAAATTGTGAATATTAATTTTCAAAATTAAATTAATTCATTTCTTTCGAGGAGAAAATGGCAAAATTTGTTTGTTTGTTTTTTAATTGTAACAAGGTTGTTATTGAAAAAAAAAAAATATTTCTTGTATAGTTGAAGACAAAAGTTGTTTCCAAACTGACAAGAAAAGTTTTAAAAGACAACCTATTAAGATTCATTTTGCGTTATTTCTTATCTGTTTATTCAATCGAAGACAGTTATTTCAACTGCGGGTGCAAAAAAAAAAGCAAAAAGGATGTAAATTCATCATGAAAAAATTTTTCCAAGAAAATAATTTACATACAATATAAACAATCATTTTTTATTATGCAAAAAATCGGTTTTTATTCAGTACAAAAGTTTTTATTTTTGTTTATTTTATACAATTTGTTTATTATTCTTATCATCGCAATAATATTAATGAAATGCCCTTAATTGTTAATATTTATAGTTAATATTAATATTATTATTTACTAACAATGTTTATTATTTACTTTTACTATATTTACTATCAAAATTTATCAATTAATAGCAAGCTGATATATTTATAACATTTATAATTTTCATAATTTATAACTATTGTCCTAATTGTTTTTTAAAATTAATATTATTTTTGTTATTATAACTATTATTACAATTGTTATAATTAAAATTATTATTAATATTACATTCAAGCAAAGTTGATAAACTTCAACTTTTTGAATAATTATAATTAAATACAATAATTAGTAAAAATATAATTAATAGTTAATGATTAAAAGATGAATAAACAAGAAAATTCCTTATAAATATTTGAATTTTTTTTAAATGTTCGTTTTTTAAAGTTTCTCACCTATATCATTAAAAAATGTAATTATTGAACTATTTTTTGAATTATGAAAAATTTAATTTGACAAATTTTGTTTGGATAAAAAATATTTTAACTCAAATGCTAAAATAATTAATTTACAATTTATAAAAAAATTAATAAATAAATATTAATCAAATATCAAAACAATAAAAATAATTCAAAATATTTCAATAATATATAATATATATTTTTTGTGTAATATTCTTGTAGGAAATTTTTATAATATGAACATGATAATTTTTGCGAATACTTTATGAGACTTTGTTCTCAAAATCTTATCTGTGCAAATTACTAAAACTTCGTTTTCTGATTTTTTTCTCGAACAAATATTCCCTTATTATAAATTTGTATGTATTACTTTCTTTTTCATTAAAAGTTTTTTTTTGTGATATACAAATTTTAGAATTATTCTTTCGTGAAAGAATTTATTTTAAGAGGAAGAAAGTAATTTTTTTTCAAAACAAATTTTACGAAAAAATATTTTTTTAAAATATTTAACAATTTTTTTATTTTAATTTAGTAAAAAAAAGTATTTATTTAAAAAAGTCATTAAACATATTTTAATATAAAATAATAGTTAAAGAAATATTTTTAATGAATAATAAAATTTTTTTGCAAACTGGAAATAATGAAATTTTCATGAAAATAATTTCCAGAAAAAAATAAAATTTCTTCGAGAAATATTTCTTAGAAAAAAAATCTTAGAAACAGTTTTGAAAGAAAATATTTTTTTTAGAAACTTTTTTCGAAAAATATTTGTCTCAAACAAAAAATATTGATTTTCAAAAAATATTTGTTTTAGAGAGAATATTGTTTTTGAGAAAATATTTATTTTTGAAAATATTCGTTTTTGAAAAAATATTTTTTTGGAAAACGAGTATTATTTTTGAAAAAACATTTTTTATAGAAAATTTTCTTAAAACAATTTTTATTTTAGAGAAAATATTTTCCAAAAAAATATTATTTTTGAGGGAGGAAAAATATTTAATAAATTTCTTTTTTTTAATTTTATAGAGAAAAGTATTTATTTAAAAAAGTTATTAAAAATATTTTAATATAATAAAATTACTAGAGAATTAATTCCGAGAAATAATAAAAAAAATTTTTGCAAACGTTTCGAAAAACATGTTTCCAAATATTTTCTAGTAAGAACAAAAATTATGAAAATATTTTTTTAGAAACTTTGTCTGTAAAAATATTTGTTTCAGTGAAAATATTATTTTTGAGAAAATTCTTTTTTTAAAATACTATTTTGTAGAAAACATTTTGAAATAACACTTTTTTTAAAAAAACATTTTTGAGAAAATATTTTTAAGCAAACACTATTTTTTGGGAGAATATTTTTAAAAAAAATATTATTTCTAATTAAAAATTAATTTAAATATAAACTTTTTTTCGTCTTAAAATAATTTGTATTTCTTCAAGACTTTTGCCCTTAGTTTCAGGAATAATATAAATACAAAGACAAGTAAAAATTACACAACAAATACAAAAAATAGCAAATATCACATAATTCGAAAAATTCTTAACTAAAAACTGATAAACTAAAATTGTCAAAAATATCACAAACATATGATAAATTTTCGCCACTGTCACTGCCAATCCTTTCACGTTATTTGAGAAAAATTCACCCTGATAAATATAATACAAATTACTCGCTCCAATTGTACTTGCCATTTCGAATATTAAAAATGCAAAATACGGCAATAATCCCAAAATTGAGGAAATATTTAATTGACCATTAATTTTTAAATAGAAAAATATTGCCAAAATTCCCTGCATAATTGCTGTTAAAATTCCAGTGACAAGAAGTATTGTTTTACGTTTAAATCTCTCAATTAATTGCGTAGCTATCATTGAGGCGAGAAATTTGATTGTTGCAAATATTAATGCACCATTATTTGCCGACAATAATGAACCGTCGTATGTTAATATTTCTTGGGAGAAATATATTAGGACCGGATGTCCCGATAGGCAATCGAGTGTTGTTACTGTGAAAATTATAAATAGACCACGTAAATTACTGCGAACTGATAATAATTGCCAAAAATTGGAATTTTTCCATTTTTTACTATTTTCTAAATTTTCTATTGAAAAAATACACTTTGATTTTTCTGTGATATTTTTGTCGTGAGTATTTTTGTTTTGATAAATTTTCTTCTCTTCTTTTTTCTGAAATGTGCTTTCTTCTTTTTCGGTCGACTTTTTATTGTTTTCGTTTTGAGAAAATTTATTATCTTCTTTTATTGAAATTCTCTCGTTTCTCTCTTCTTTTATTCCCGATTTTTGACTGTCTGCTTTTTTCAATTCGTTGGCATTTTCTTCATTTGTGGAAAATTTATTGGTATCTTCTTTTTTTGCAGTTTCGTAATTTTCTTCTTTTTGGATAAATTTTTGATATTCTTCTTTTCTAGAATTTTCTTTGTTACCTTCTTTTTTGCACAAATTTCCATTATCTTCTATTTTAAAGAAGTCCTCAATATTTTCTTTTTTTGGAAATCTCTCATTATCTTCTTTTTTCAATTCATTGTCTTCTTCGTTTTTTACTTTATTATCTACTTTTTCATTAGAATTTTCATATTTGAAAAATTTATCTTCTATTTTAGCTGATTTTTGAAAGTCTTCTATTTTTGGAATTTTTTCGTTATTTTCCTTTTTGAAAATTTTATTATCTTCTGTTTTAGCATTTTTTTCATTATCTTCTTTTTTATAAATTCTTTTCCTATCTTCTGATTTGCATGAACTTTCATTATCTTCATTTTTAAAAAATTCCTCATTATCTTCTTTTTTCGATTGACTGTCTTCTTTTTTTACTTTTTTATTAGATTTTTGATATTCTTCTTCATCTTCAGAAAATTTATTTTTTTCTTTCAGGACAAATTTCTGATAATCTTCTTTTTCAATTGTAATTTTTTCTCTATCTTCTCTTTTGAAAAATCTGCTATCTTCTGTTTTATGAAATTTTCGATTTATTTCTTTTTTATCAAATAATTGACAGTCTTCTTTTTTAAGAAATCTTTCGTTATCTTCTTTTTTGAGAGAATTTCGATAATCTTCTTTCTTCAGATGTTCCTCATTATCTTCTTTTTTAGTAATTTTTCTAGAAACTTGTTTTGATTGGTATTCTTGTTTTTTGGTCAATTTTTTATATTCTTCTTTTTCATAAAATTTGTTGTCTTCGTTTTCAGCAGATTTCTGGGAGTTTTCTTCTTTTAAAATTGGTTTTTTATCTTCATTTTCGAAAATTTTTGTGTTATTTTTATTTTTTGGAATTATTACGCTAACTTCTTTTTTTGATGTTCCTTCATTATCTTCATTTTTAAAAAATTTATTATCTTCTTTTTTATTAAATCTTTGATTGTCTTCTGTTTTACAAGATTTTTCATCATCTTGTTTGCAAAATGTTTCATTGTCTTCTTTATCTCTGTTATTTCGTTTATTGTTGTCTTCTTTAAAATTTTTTTTATATTCTTCTTTATTTTTATAGTCTTCTTTATAATCTTCTTTTAAATCTTCTTTGTAAACCTCCTTAATATCTTCTTTAAAATTTTCTTTATAAATTTCTTTATAGCCTTCTTCATAATCTTCTTTTAAATTCCCCCCCAGAAAACAATTTTTCTCCCCCTGAGAAAAAATTTTTTCACTTAAAATCATAAAATTCGTTGGTTTGGATTGACATTTTTTTCCATTCACTTCATCGTTCAATTGAAGTAATGAATAATGCATCATCTTCTTTTCTTCACTGTGACGATGATTTTTTTTATAAAAATACGATGAATCGGGCATAAATGGAAATAGAATGACAAATAAAATTGACATCAAAAGAAGACATAAATTCATATTGAAGTAGGATGAGATTGCACCTAAGAAAATGGTGAAGAAAATTCCAAAACTTGAAGAGACTTTAATGAGGGTTAAAAAAATACCGCGATTTTTACTTGTTCCAATTTCGGAGAGGTAAATAATTGTCGCACAAATACCACCGCCATAGCCAATTCCACCTAAAATACGTCCATAGCATATTGTCTTTGTGTCTTTTGCTAATAAAATTAGAAGCCATGATGATATTTGTGGTAGGGCGAATAATAATAAAGTCCACTTGCGACCTAGACGATCGATGAAAATTGGATTTAATAGATTGCCAATAATTATTCCTATTGGGAGTAGTGGAGCAATCCACGTGATTTCTTCATTGTTTAAGGATAAATTTGATTTGCCTGATTTTAAAAATGGTAGTGCAGGCGATGTCCAGGAATTCATTGAACCATAGCCGGCTGATGTGATTGAAGCTAAAAAATTAGGAAAACATATAGTTAACGATTTTTTCTATTTTTTTGTAAATTAAAAAAAAACTTGAAATTTTTCCTTTTTACAACATGTGAGGTCATAAAGTTAAATTTTACACACTGAAAACTGTGTGAAAAGTGACACTTTTTCTAACTATGTGTGTAAAATATTTACTTTTTAACGCGAGAAGTAAATTTAATTGTGAAAAGTATAATTTTTTGTGTGGAAAAAAGTGAGAACTGAGTAAAATTCAGAGTACGGAAAAAATCATTTTCCACACGGAAAATTACTTATTGCTCACTGTTTAGAATTCGCACTGTAAATTTCAGTGTGCAAAGAAATCGCTTTCCGCACCAAAAATTACTTTTCATTTGCATGAAATAAGTTTCAGTGCGAAAAGTAGTTTTCCATGTGGAGAATGAATTCTTTTGTAAACTAGTTAAAAATGTGGCACTTTTTGTACAGTTTTTTAGTTTCACAAATAACAATTTATTTTCAAAATATTTTTTAAAAAGTGTTTTAAACTAAATGTTAATTTAAAATATTTAAAATTTTTTTATCGCATTCTTGAAACTTGAAAACGAAAATTTAGACTTGAATTCAGTCTTAATTTTTGTTTTATGACAGTCTGTGTTAATACTTATACATTGAGATAAAACGGAAATCAAATCAAATAATTCTTGATTGCAAGGTAAATTAAATTAAATCTTTAGTTTTGTACTGAAACTTTCTGTTTTGTTATTAAATATTCTTTTAAAAATTAAAGTTCAATTATTAGAAAATAATTTGTTTTCTATGAACTAAAGGAAAATTTTTTTGTTTAAATAAAATGTTTCTTACCCACTATTGCAACAATGTATTGTATCAAGAATCCGGCTTTATCCTTTCTTGGCATTTTCTATAATAAAACTTCTATTTTATTTTGCTGTCAATTTTGTTTTTGAAAACAAAAATTTTCTCTGTTCATTAGAAATTTTCACATTTAGAAAAAAAATTTGTCTTCGATATGGTCGGAGGTTTTTTTTTCCATTAAATAGTAATTAACAAATTTTCTTTGTTATTTTTTTGGTCATATAAATTTTTTATGAAAATTATTTCAATGAATTTAATTCTTCATATATGAAAATTTTTTTGTAAATAATATTTGAATACATACAAATGTTTGTTTATTAAAAATATTTATTTATAAAAATCATTTACACGCAAATAAATAAAATATTTATACTATTTCAATATTTAATATAGTAAAAATTGTAATTCTTTTATTGTACTTTTTTTAATTTCAAAAATTATTGAAAGCAGCGTGTGTAAAATTTATTATTTTACAAATATTATTAAAAGAAGTGACATTTTCTTTCGTCCTCTCATTGAGATGTGAAAATTTTTTTCCAACATTCCATCGTAAACATTTTCTTTAAACTGAAATTAAATCAGTTGTTGCTCATCACGAATTTTGTAATTTATTCTCCTTTTTTTTTTTAGGAAATTTTCATTATTCTTATCTTTTGTTTATTTTAATCGTATAAAACGTCAGTCAAATTTTAAGTAGTATTAGAAACATACACTGTGACGAAATATATTTGTTCAAATAAAAAAAAATTATCATATAAGTAGTTAGGTACAATAAATTATGTGAAAAATCCAAAAATAAATTCAGACTCATATTTATAGACATGTCGATGTAATATAAACGTAAATGTTTCTTTGAAAACAGTCATTTTTCAAATTTAATTTCTTATTTAGTGATTCATACATTCAAGTTTTTTAACAGTTAACTAAATATTATTACAATTACTATATATAATTATGAATAATTTATTATAATCAAAGTTTAAAATACTATAAAACAAAAACATTAAAAAACTTTATTTAAAAAAGTTAATAAAAATATTCATAAAAAATGTACAATATATTTATATCCTATATATTATAATAAACTTTGTATAATTTGCTATAAAGAAAAATAAATAAAAATTCCTAAATATTAAAATATTTTTTTATTCTTCAATGAATTTTGAATTTCCTGTAAACTCCTTCCCTTTGTCTCAGGTGTTATTTTCATAATTATTGACAGTAATACAATAGAGTTTATCGCATAGATACCAAAAATGACATGTATACCAAAATATTTACTTAATTCCTGATAAAGTAAAATATTTATGAATATAAAAATTAAACAAATCACTTTACAAACAGTAATTGCAACAGTTTTAATTTCACCAATAAACAATTCACCTAAATAAATAAAGAGAAAATTTGACACTCCAATTGTAAAATTAAAATCAAAAAATAAAATTCCAAATATTGGCAACCATGAATATGATGAGGTGTCAATTTTTAATGATTCTAAAAAGAAGACAGTGCCAGCAAGTGTTAAGCCAAATGTACCCAATAGTCCCGTGTAGAGAAGTATTCCTTTACGAGGGAATTTTTCAATTAAATAAATACTAATTAATGAGGCAATTAATTTCACAAATCCAAGTAATAAACTCTCCTCTTCAATGGACATTGATGATTTTGTATTTTTAAAAATTTGCTGTGTAAATAATTTAATAACAGATGCGCCTGCAAAATGTTCCTGTGCCGCAACACAAATCACTATTAACATTGCGTTACGATAAGTTTCAATTGTTATTAATTGCCAAAAATAGGAATTTTTTATTTTTCTTATTATGGAATTTTTTTTCGGTTTTTTCTTTTGGTTCGATTTTTTGTTTATTGTTGTCTCTTCCTCTTCGTCTTTTTCTTCTATTGGTTTTTTTATTTTTGCTTCTTCTTTTTTCATTTCATTCCTTTTAGCTTCTTTCTTTATTTCTTCATTTTTAGCTTCTTGTTTCATTTCCTCCTTTTTACCGTCTTTTTCTATTTCTTTCTTTTTAGCTTCCCTTTTGATATCTTCTTTTATTTCTTCCTTTATACCTTTCTTTATAGCTTCCTTCTTTACTTCTTCCTTTGTAGCTTCCTTAACAGCTTCCTTAACAGCTTCCTTTTTAGCTTTCTTTGTAGCTTCCTTTTCTATTTCTTCATTTGTAAATTCCTTTATAGCTTCTTTTTTTATCTTTACATCTTTTTTATCTCTTTTTATTATACCTTCAATTTTAACTTCATTTTTTCTTTTGACTTTTCCTGTCTTATCTTCTTTTCTTATTTTTATATCTTCTATTTTCTTCATAGCTTCTTTCGTTTTTGTAATTTTTTTTAAACCGTTATCTTCTTCAGATCTTTTTTGGCTATTTTTAATTTCTTCTTTTACATTTCCGATTTCTTCTTTCCCTAGAAAATTATCTCCTTCCTCTTCTTCATTTCTCTTGATAGCTTCAAGTTCGCAATCGACTCTTCCTTCGAATACAACCCTCTCCAATAGCTTCATTTTTATTTCAATATCTTCAGCACTCTCAATATCTTCAGTATCTTTAATTCTCTTCAAATTCGTTAGCGAATATTTGAAATAATCATTTTCCATTTTCCAATTTTCTGGTCCATTGAGTACCACCATTTCTTCACCTCGTTCTTCATCGTCATAATCAGCTTCATTTCTTTTAAAATATGACGAATCGGGCATAAAGAAGAAAACAAAGACAAAACAACTCAATGTACTAATAATAATTATGTTCATGTAGTAATAGTGAAAATAGAGATCGAAGAGAATCATAAAAATAAAACCGACACTAACAAATAATTGTATGAAGGCAAGAAAAATGCCACGTTTACTTTTTGTTGATATTTCCGTTAAATATATTGTTAATGAACACAGTCCACATGCATAGCCAATTCCACCTAATAAACGTGCTAAGAAAATATAATAAGAATTTTTGGCAATTATTATTAGAAACCAAGATAATAATTGTGGTATTGATGATAATAGGAGAGTCCATTTTTCGTTCGCTAATTTATGTACGAATGGTAGTAATAGATAGCCAAATATTTGTCCAACTGGTAGTAATGGTGTTATCCATGATTTTTCATTTTTTGTTATTTGTAAATTTGATTCGGAACTATTTAGATATTCGAGTGCTGGTGATGACCAACCGACGATACAACCCATTCCAGCTGCCGTGAATATTGCTGTAAATTGATTATAAAAAAAGAAATATTAATGTTACTCTTATTTCTATTGAGCTTTATTATTATTATTTTTTCATTTAGTTTTCTTTTTATCTAATTCAGTTATTTATTAACAACAAATTGTTTAATAGTTATGTTCATTATTATTGTTTAACAAAATAAAATTTTTATTTATTATTTTATTCTTTCAGCTATTATATTTATTATGTCTTCAATTGTTATTTAATTCTTATTAAAAATTACTTAAATGTTTATTTCGATTTATTTAACATTAAATTATTTAAACTAAATTTTAATTATTAATTTTTTATTTTAGTTATTAGAAATTATTTTTTTTAATTTTATCTAATTCTCATAAGAAATTAATTAAATGTTTCTGTTTATTTCTACTAGCTTTGCAGTTAATTATTTAAGCAAAATGTTACTTTTTATATTTATTATTAGTTTATTATTATTATTTTAGTTATTTAAAATATTTATTTAAATGTTATCTAATTGTTATTAAATATAAATTATATGTTTCTTTTTCTTTTTATTTGTTTAACGGTAAACTATTTTAACTAAATTTTTATTCAATATTTTCATTATTACTTTAGTGATAACAATTTTTTTAATTTATATCTAATGCTTATATTAAAAATTAATTATGTTTATTTTTATTTGTTTAACAGTTAATTATTTAAACAAATTTTTATTTATTATTTTTATTATTAGTTTATTATTATTGTATTATTATTTTAATTATAATAATTATTAATTATATTTTTAATTGTTATCTACTTTTAACTACACATCAGTTAAATGTTTATTTTTATTTCTATTTGTTTAACAGTAAATTATTTAAATAAAAATTTTATTTGTAATTTTTATTGGTTTTGTTATTATAATTAATATATATTTATAATTTTTATATACTTCGCAATAAAAAAATTAAATATTGTTCTTTAACATATTTGTTTATTAACAAAAATTGTTTAATCAAATTGATACACAAATATTGTTAAAGTCATAAATTTGAAAAAAAGATTGTCTATTTATGTAAGGAAATAAAACTTTTTTCTATGAAAAATAGTTTAATATTTTAATTTTAGTTATTTAGAGCTATACATAATTAATAAATAAGTAATAAGTAGTAATAATAGTTGTAATTATTAGAATAATGAATAATAAATAATAGTAATTACAATTTTTTAGTTATTAAATTTATTAAGTAAATAAATAATTATTTATAATAATTTTTAACAGTTATAATAAGAATAATAATAAATAAATAATTATAGGTATTAATAATAAATATATCATCAATCGAGAAAAGTTAAAAATGATTATACATATAATTATAATTATTTGCCTATTAAGGGAATTTGAACCATTATGACGTCACAGTTTAAAAACAAATGCTTTCAACAAATTGTGACGTCATAATGATTCAAATGCCCTTAAGTTGATTAAATTTTATAAATCAATTAATATAATTTATTTACTAAATTTATTAAATAAATTCAGCAATAAAGTTGAAAATAAGTATAAAATTTAAGTTTTAATAAAAATTAAAATAAACCATATAAAAAAGCAATTGTAAAACCTACCTGCAACAAAAGCAGCACCATATCGCAACGACAATTCCACTCTTTTGTCTCCTTTCATTTTTTTGTATTTAGCAAAAAAAAATATATATATATATATATATATATTTATATATATGTATATTTTTGTTATATATTGTTTATTTTTTTATTTATAGTTATAAAATAAATTATATATATATTATGAAAGAAAACTTTTAACATGACACCATTTAATGTTGAGAAGTAGAGTAATACTATAATATTATTCTCATTTTTTATTTTGTTTCTGTAACTTATCAGAAAAAATTTTCTTTTATCTAAAAATTTAATGATGTTGAAAATTTCTAATCTAGATCATAATTAGTTTAAATCTCAATGAAATTTTTTGGATAAGAAAACAATTAGCTTTCTATTTTAAAATCAAAATTCTTCACAATGTAGAACTATACTGTTTGGTTCTAAAATTTTAATTTTTTAATTTTATTATATCATTTCTTAAGGGAATTTAAATTTTTTTTCTCTTTTTAACTTTCGCCTTTAGTGGCGCTGCTGTTGCTAACTTATCGTTATAAAGACTTTGTTATTAATAAAGACGTAAGTCTATATAACTTAAAAAATTGTTCGCATTGTGCTATATTATAAATTACAGTAAATAAAGTCAATTAATAATATATTAAATTATTTTTCTATAAATTAAATACAATAAATTACATATTTTCTCATTAATTATTTTAAAAATAAAAAATACCATTTTTTCTGTTTTTTGTCCTGAAAAGTCTCTTTTTCGTTTTTTATTATTTTTATTTTATTAAAAAAATTTTTATTTAAAAAAACATTTTTCTCGTTTTTAACAATAATTGTATTTCTTCGACACTCTTTCCCTGTGTTTCGGGTGTAATAATAAAAATCAAATAAGTCCCCACTGCCGATATTGTCGCAAATAAAAAAAAGATCACATGCAAACCCAAATTATCAATTAAATATTGAAATCTCACCAATGCCATGAACATAAAGAAAGTTATCGTTATCTTTGATATTGTCACCGCTTGACTCTTCACATCGCTCATAAATAATTCACACTGAAATATATAAAATAAATTCAAAAAACCAAATGCATTCATAAATAAATAAACAGTCAATCCCAATAGTGGCATCCATCTTAATTTTGAAACATCGTAATTTTCATATTCCATGAGAAAAAATACTCCCACCATTAGCATTCCAATTGTTGCCAATATTCCAGATACGAGAAGAATTACTTTTCTTTTTATTCTCTCCACCAGGGGGATACTCAACAAACAGGCAATTATCGTTATTCCCGCCAAAATAATCGTACACTCCTCGGCTCTCAGGGAAAAATGACTGTAGGACAATAATTGTTGAGTGTTAAATAAAATTGGCGTCGAGCCCGATAGGGTTATCGTTGCTGCTAAAATAATTTCAATCAACAATGCTTTTTGGTTATTTCGATTATTTACTAGTTTGTAAATTCTCATTTCGTTCCACTTGAACCCAACCTTAAAGTTTCCCTCATTTTCTCGGTCGTAGTTTTCCATTTCGTCTGTATTCATTAATTTCATCATTTTCTCATTATCATCATCATTATTTTTTTTATTCTTACCAGTTTTATTATTAGTATTATTAATAATATTATTTTTCCTCTGAAAATATGATGAGTCTGGCATAAAGACAAAAGTGACGCAAAAAATTAATGGCACCATTAGCATTACTAAATTGAGTGTATCAAATGTTGAGAATGCACCAAGTATCATGACGAGGAGGAAACCAAGATTTAAGAATATTGGTATCATAACGAGAAATATGCCACGATTTTTTATTGTTCCAATTTCAGAGAGATAAACCGTTAGACCGCAAATTGCGCCGCCATAACCAAAACCGGATATTATTCGTCCAATTAAAATTGATGGAAATTTTTTTATGAATATTATTAATAGCCACGATAATATTTGTGGAAATGTGTAAATTAGAAGGGTTTTCTTTCTGCTTGTTCGATCGATTATTATTGGATTCACTAGATAGCCGAGAATTAAGCCAATTGAAAATATTGACGATATTAAGTCACATTGTTCCTTTGTCACTGGTATATGGGACTTTTTACTTGTTAAATATGGAATCACTGGCGACGTCCATGATAAATTTAGACCATAACCTAGAGCCGTTAATGAAGCTGTAAATAAATTTTTTATTTTAATTTTTTTTCTATATCAATTTTTATTCCATTTTAATTCTATAGAAAATTAAAAAAAATGACAATATAAAAATGAAAATGTATTTTAATTTTTATAATGACATTTTTTTAATTTTCATTCTTTATTTACTAAAATTGTATTGGCAAATAAGAATATTTTTTACCAAAACTAAAGTAATTTATTAATGTTTTTAAATAAAGAATTTAATTGTTTCTTTTCCAATTTCAAATTATAATTAAAAATAATATAATGAAAGTAATTGAAAAATAATAATAATTTTAGACAAATAATTAACTAATTATTGGATAATTTGTTTTGAATCATTTTTTAAATTTGGTGCCATAATTCGGTGGCGCTGTTGTAAATATTTTTTGTTGCGCCGTTGGTACGTTTGATGACTTCATCCATATCGAGAAATCATAACCTAAAAAGTTTCCTTCAGTAAAGTGCGATTAAAATGTCAATACAACTTTTTTGTTTCAATTTCAAATTAAAAATTTTATTGTTATATTTATTGTAATGTAGTAAAGTGAATAAATAGGCAAACGAAAAAAAGAGTAGACAAAAGAAAAAGAAGTGGAAAGTGCAAAAGGGGATTTTGTTGAAACACTGAAAAGACTATTTTCACTATCATTATTTACAAAATGATTTTCGACGCAACTTATAAAAACTCGAAATGTTCGTTAATATTTTTTTTCCAAAATAAAAAGAAGTGATTAATTCACAATTGAGAGAAAACTAAAAAATGTATATATATATTTTTAGAAATGTACGGAACTTTTTTTATAGAATATTTTATCATAATTTTTAAATAAAATTGAAATAGATTAAAAGAGCAGAGTTTATTATTTTTGTTATTGTCAATTTCATTGTTGTTATTATTATATTATTGTCAATATTATTTTCTATACCTAATTCTGTTAATTAAAAATAGTTACTTGCCTCTGATTATTATTGATGTTATTTAACATTTTGCTAATTCAGAAAAAAATTACTTGCCTATTATTATTAATTAATATTATTAAATTTTTATTATTATTATTATGTCACTTTAGAGGATTTTCCTTTCGTATATGATTTGCCAATTATGGTTATGAACTGATAAAGAAAGGCTACTTTGATGGACGGAATGAAACGTTTTTAATTAAATAAATATAATTAATTATTAATAGTTAATTACTTACATTAATTAATATATTTATTTGTTTATTTATTTCATTTGAATTCAATGTTTTTGAAGAGGATTCCTCTAATTTTGAGATTACTTTGTTTAGGGTGTATAATTTAACATTTTTCTAATTACAAAAAAACTTGCCTGTTACTATTATATTATTTAAAAATTTTCTAATTAGGAAAAACAGTGACTTGCCTGTTATTGCGGCGGTGTATTGAATAAACGAAGACGCGTCCTTTTTGCTCGAACTCATGATCGATTATTATTTGCAAATTCGCGAAAAATGAGAGAATTTGAGTTTTGCTTGAGACATTTTTTTAAACTGCAAGGAAGAGTGATTTTTTTGTCATCGACGTCACTTTTATCTTATTTGTCAGAATGATATCTATGTTAAAATGTTTACCCTCTTTAAATCATTTGTATTGGTGGAACTCTTGTACGATATTGATATTAATGAAATGACAAAAAGAAAAACGGAAGAGAAATGTTACACAATTTCTAAAGATGATACTACTGATAATAATATTGGATCATGTTTTACGTCCTTCAGTGAATAGAAAATAAAAACAGAGAAAATTTATTTTCTTGAGTAGTGACAAAAAAAATGTTATATTTTTTTTGTCCTCTTATTTTAAAAAAAAATGGAAATTTTCTTTTGAGAAATTTAAATCGAAACGGAAGAATACATCAGTCATTTTGAATTTATAGAAGAGGGAGAGAAACAATTTTTTTTGTCGCATCATTGAAGTTGATTTAAAAAAAACTTGTGATAAAAAAATGTACAACTCACTGCAAATGTTTGTAAATATTTAACTGTACTTTCTGTTGTTATTATTTTTATAAAAAAAATTTTCTGCATTATTTGAAGTGATTTTCATTGAATGACAATAATTTTATTTTATATAATACACGGGTTCACATTTCACAATAATTTACACTTTATAAATGTAAAAAAAATTCTAATACTAAAGTGTTAATGATAAAATAAGGTTAAAAAATAATTAGAGCAATATTTACAATAAACAATAATTTTGAGCAATGTACAATATTGATATAATCTATATCTAGAAATCATAACCTACAAAGTATACATAATTAAAATATTCAATGCAACATTTTTGTTTCAATTTCAATCGAATATTTTTATTTTAATATTGTATAGTAAACGAACAAAAGAAAAAAGGAAGGAAAAAAGTGAAACAAGAAGAAAATGGAAAAAGGGGTTTCTGTTGAAACATTGAAAAGACTATATATTTCTTGTACTATTTAGAAAATAATTTCGATTTTTAACTATAATTAAAATTCGAAATGCAAATTAATAGTTTCTCTTCAAATAAGAAAAAAGTAAACAATTTTTAATTAATTAAAAAAATTTTTTTTTATTTATTCCTAAAATTGCGGAAAAGAATATTTTCTTCTACATTTACAAAAGTACTTCGTGGGCATAAATTAACCTTCAAATCAGATTATAAATTTTTTCACAGTAAAATTAGATGAAATTAATTATTATTAATGATTTTGTTTTAAATTTACTGTAATTCATAATAATAATAACAATAATGATAATACTAATTTTAATACTGCCAGTAAGACTAATACTGATGATAATATAATAATATTGTTATTAATACAATAAATAATTATAATTATTTTAATTACAATTATTAATTAATAATTATTGTTATATATAATTAATATTATTATCGTATCAATAATTGAATTTTCATTAAATTATTATACAAATTAAATAAAAATAACAAATAACTAACATTAAATATTAATAACTCCAAATTAATCATATTTTTATATCATAAATTAAAAGATAAAAAAATCTATTCATGACAGAAAAAATTATAGCACGTATTGTTTTCCGAGAGTTATTAAAAAGTTAATTAATTCGTTTCGATAAAAGCAAGTTTTTTTATAATAGAACAATTAAAATAATTGTTATTACACATTGAGTGGACAATAAATGAAAAAATTATTACTTATCAATGTTAATCATCCGGATACAAAAGATTTATATGACAAGAAATTGACGTCTTTGTTATAATTAGTAAAAAAAAATAGTTAAGGCAGAAAATGTTCTATATTTTTTATTAATATTCATTCTACTAAGTGAAACGTAATTTTTTTGTATAAAAATATAACTTTAAAATACTGTGAAGTATAATTAGACAAAATAAGGAAAAAAAAGAAAAATTCTTAAAGAAAAAAAGAAGTTGTTGGTTAAATTTCGAAAATTTTTAATTGTAATAAAAATAGCAAAATTGACAAAGGTGCGTCGTTTATATACCACGTGGTATTTTATCACTTTTTGCCCCCTCCCCTCCAAAAATTGTCCACGTGGTATATGGATGACGCCAAAGAAAACCAAAAATAAAATAATTAATAAATAATTGAAAATTTATTATTTGAATGTAATAATTAATTGAAAATGATAATTATTTGCAAATAATAATTAGTTGAATAAAATAATAATTTAAAGACGAAGATTAGTAAATAATAGTTAATTTAAAATGATGATTGAAAGTAATAAAAAAATAAAAATATTGCTAACAATGTAACAAAATACAAATAATTTAATAAAAATGCCAGTAACATAATAAAAATGTTAATTTACTAATAGAAATGTTAGTAAAATAATTTTAAAAAAGTATTAATTATTAAAAATAAAAAATCACATTAAAGAAAAATCTCATGTAAAATCGTCAGACTTGTCACCTAAAAGTTTTTGAATTTCACGTCTACTCTTGCCTTTGGTTTCCGGTGTTATCCAATAAGTAGCACACGATCCAATTGCACAACAAACACTAAACATCCAAAATACCGTATAAATACCAACAGCATCAATAACCAATTGAAAATTTAATTTCACTAAAAATGTAATAATTTCATACGATATATTTGTACAAGTAACACCTTGTCCTTTTATTTCATTTGAAAAAAGTTCACCCTGATAAACATAATATAAACTACTCATACCAATACTACCGACAACTTCATAAGCTGAAACGCCAACTAACGGTAGCCACGTTAATGATGATACATCAATTTTCATGTAAAATTTGAGAAAAAAGAATACACCAACTGTAAATTGTGATAAACTAGCCAAGAGTCCAGTGATTAGAAAAATTTGTCTTCTTTCAAATTTTTCCACGACAAGGGTTGAGAAAAATGAGGCACCAATTTTGAGGCCCGATAGAATTAGGGCTGCGTATTCGGCTCTTAGAAATGTGCTGCTGTATTCGAAAATTTGTTGCGCAAATGAGACAATCGCCATGTGGCCTGATAGAATTTCGGTTAGTGATGCGCTGATTATGATTATTAGAGCACGACGATTATTTTTTTGGAAGAATAGTTTGTGCCAGTTGCTTTTTTGTGATTTTAGGTTGGCCTTTGTATTTTTGGTTTCGATCGGTTTAATCTGTTGAGGGTTTTTGTAATAACTTTCGGTATTTCCGTTTTCAATTAAGCTGATTCCGGTTTCGAAAGGATTTAGCGGAGGTTTGAAGATGTTCGCTTTTTCTGCATCTGAAGTAGCATTTTGATTTTTGCTAATAGTTTCTGAATTTTTGATAATGACTTTTGAATTTTCGTCAGCAACGGAATTTTCCACAACATCTGAATTTTGAATAATACTGTTTTTATGTTGGCAAACGTTTTGAGCAAAACTATTCTGATTTTGGTCAACATTGTTTGGATTTAGGCAAATACTATTTGGACTTTGGTAAATACTGTTTGAATTTTGACTAATACTGATAGGTTTTTGATCGACAGAATTTTTGACAACACCATCAACATTTGTAGTAAAATCTTCAGAATTTGTACTTTTTGCAGCAGCTCCTGAAGTTTTAGCAAAACTGTTTGGATGTTTAGCACCATCTACTATTGTATCAGCATCTGTAGAATTTTTACCACAATCATTTGCACTTGCAGCACCAGCTTCTAAATTTGCAGCAACATTATTTGAATTTTTAGCACCACCATTTGCATCACCAAGAACACCACCAAACTTCACATCATCCTTTAAATCCCCCCTGAAACAATTCCCAATTCCAAAAGTACAATCACTATCAATTTGCCTCTCATCACCATCATTGTCCGTCAATTTTTCCTGTACGTATTCACCTTTCTCAGTGAATTGATCCGTATCCGGCATAAAGAGAAACGTAAGCAAAAAAAAGAGAGGAATTCCAAAAATAGCAAGATTCATTACATCATAAGTGAGAAATGCACCAAAAATCATAGTCACAAATACACCGATATTAAAGAACATTTTAACAAATGTCAAGAAAAATCCACGATTATTTTCATCGCCAATTTGTGATACGTAAATTGCCGACGAGCATAAACCACCGCCATAGCCAATACCACCGATAATTCTGGCCAAACAAAGGACAATCCAATTCTGCCCAAAGTAAATGAGAAGACATGATAGCAATTGTGGTAGAGCCAGCAATAGAAGGGTTCGTTTTGATCCAATTGTATCGATTAGAAACGGATTTAATATATAGCCGGTAATTATTCCAAAACTTAGAAGTGAGGCGATCCATGCTGCTTCCATTTCCGTTACTGGGAATGATGATAATGTGGAGTTTGTAAGATGCGGTAGTGCTGGTGATGTCCAGGATATTATCATTCCATATCCGGCTACTGTTGTGGATGCTGTGAAAATTAAAAATTTTCTTTCAGTTTTGCGAAATTATTTTGTATTTTTTTTTTAAATCTGGGTAGGGGAGAGTGGGGCAAAATGGGGTACCTTTTTGAAATTGTCTGTTTACAGAGAACCAAACGAATAAACCGATTCAGCTAAACTTCAAAATTGTTCTTTGTACACTTAGCTTTGAGGAAATTATGATAATAGCGGAGAAAAAAATTTTTGAAAGAACTTATATCGTATTTTCTGAGAAAGTGCCAAAATCCCATTTTGCCCCACCCGTGGGGCAAAATGGGGTGGCATCAAATAACTATACAAAACATGAAATATTTTTTCAAAATTCATTAAATTCTTGTTGTATGAGATTATAAACACAAACAAAAAGTAGGATTCTATATTACTATGAAAAAAAAGTAATATTTATTAGAATTTAACAAAAAAACATCGGTATTGCAAAATATCAATATATCGATAGTGAAACATCGATAGTATAAATGTCTCGAAACAAAAATATCGCTTCTTCTGCAGGAAACCTTTAAATATACATAATATAATGTTTTTAAATAGTTTTAATGAAACGGCGTAGCTTCCGGCATGCCCCACACTTAGGTACCCCATTCTGCCCCACACTGCATATTAAAACAAAATGCAATGTTTACAAGTTATTGTAAACAATTAAACAATCTATTCTATTGGAAATTACTCTAGAATAAGTACTGAAAAAGATCCCACACTTGCCAAACTAAATGCATTATCCCAAAAAGTTTTGTAAGCACTTTAATTTCGAGAAACATTCATATTTTTTTTGCTTAAAACTTAAAAGTTGTATAACTTTCAAAAAAAAATTTTTTGTTGAGTGTCTTCATAATTAATAACAGTTTCTTATCAACATGAATTATATATGTCGAGGATAAAATAATTAAAAGTACCTATCATGGAAAAACAGAGGTACCCCATTTGACCCGCCTACCCCATTTTGCCCCACTCTCCCCTAGTGCGTATAATTAAATTGAAATTGTCTCAAAAATGCATCAAATTAAAATTTTTAACTCTAATTTGAAAATTTGTATGTATTAATTTTTTAATGCATTATAAAGTATTTCAATGTAAATTAAAATTTAAATAAAATTTTTTTTAACAATAATAATAATTTTGATTGTTAAATAATTTCGAGTTAAATAATTAACCAATTAGATGATTGGTTTCGAAATAAATATAACTTTTCTGTTCTAATATTAAATTAAAATGTTTTATTTTATTATTTATATAGTTAAGCATTGTCTATTATTATTTATCCAATGCACATCATTAGAACTCGGCTGTCGATAAACCGGTTGTACTTAGAAGAGGTTTTCTACAGTTTCCCTCTCCTCTGGTAAAAAAAATCCAATTAGACGGGTGGTCCAGGCAAATAAAAAAAAAAAAATTCTACGGATATATATTATAGAAAATTAAAAAGTTAATTTATTTTGTTGAAATTAATTGAAAATAATTTCCCAATTTAAAAAAAAATTATATAAATAAATTTTCAACAACTGTATAAAGCATTCTTCTTATTATTTACAAAGTGATTACGGTAACATCAAATTAAAAATGTAGTTAACAATTTTTTTTTAATTAAAACTAACAAGAAACGATAGAAAATAAAAATTTGTTTCTAAAAACTAAAACAAACAATTTGTATATATATTTCTTTTTGATAAAGTCGATTGAAAATCAGAATAGAATAAAATTTTAAGTTATTTTTTAATAGAAATAATTAATAGTTAACGGTAAAAGATAGAATGAACAAGCGGAAAATTTTTAAATCTACGATATTAAGATGTAAATACAATTTTTTTTCCCTTTTCTCACAAAAACGTATCCAATTTTTTTATATAAAAATTTTTTTAATTAAAAGTACCTAATATTTAACTGAAAACAAAATTACTATAAATAAATATATATAAATATATATATAACTAATAATTATTATTGCATAATAAAACCCGTTAAGTTAATTACAGTTGAAATTTGTTATCAAAGTGAAATAGAAAATAGAAAAAAAATAATAATAGATGCCAATGAAATTGTAGTAATGAAAAATAGTTCTACATTTTTTTTAATTGTTAAATATAAGTGACGATAAGACTTATACTTACCACTAATAGCAGCAGCGTACTTGTAACACAAATTAATATTAACGCTATTTTTCCGATTTTTGACTTTAAATTTAAATGGAACATTTTTTTGAAAATTTAATACATTTATGAATTCCATAATTTGAGAGAATTTAATTTTTCTATTTTTCGTTTTCCTTCAAAAATTAGCGTTTTCTATTTGTATATCAGGCATATTGTGTGTTGTGTTTTAGAGAAATAGAAATAGACTGAATATAATTTTCTATCAGGAAATTGTAAAAATTTATATTGCATGGGATTTCGATTTTATTGAAGTGTGTCATGTGTCGACAAAATCTTATCAAGTGTCACTTGCAGTTTACGAACGTTGAATGGTTGCCAATACAACTATTCAAGAGTTGTTTTTAGCCTTTGCGCAAGCTGGAAAAGGCTTCTTCTTCTCCTTTTTCTTATTTCTTCTTCCTTCCTTCTTATATAAATAATTACAAAGTCAAATTGCACCGATAATTACAACTAGTATTATATTAGTAATGTAAATATTATGAAAAAAACAGGTTTTTTCTGTATTATATATTGAATTACAGAGAATTCATTGTCCGGTATTTTTACACATTTCTCTCTCTCTCTCTCACTCTTTCTCTCTCAAAACAGGAAAATTTCTGAAAAAATGTTTTTTCCATCCGAAAAAAAACCAGGAAGTGAAATTTGATAATAAGATATGTAAATCTTTTTTTTCTTGACTAAAATTTCTTTTTTCAGGAAAATTTTTTTTCTACTTTTTCTTTTAACTTCATAGTTTTTTGAGAAAAAAATTATCTATGGACCAAAAGTAGTTAAAAAAATTAAAATAAATTTATCCTCAATTTATGCATTTTTTTCGTCACTGCACTACTGTCGGAAATCATTGGTACGTCTGCACGCGCATGGCCCAAAAACATACCAATTTTTAAATTACGATTTTTCTGTAGAAACAAATGTCAAAAAATTAGCAAATATACCATTAGAAAGCTTATAATATTCTACATCAAATTATATAGAATAGATAATGTTATTAAATTACACAAAGATTTTAGCAATCGATAAATTTGAAAAAAAAATTAAAAAATGAAAATTTTTTTGACAATTTTTTAAACTCCTGCACATTTTTTAAAAATTGTAGACAAAATTTAAAACTTATATTTAGGAGTTATTCTTGAAGTTTCATCTTTAATTTAAGACCAAAAAAGTTAAAAAATCTTATTCGGTTCGCGCGATATGATTATAAATGTCAGAGCATGTTTTTGGACAAATGCATTGAATTAGTCAACGCCTATATAAGTTTTAAAGTTTGTCTGCGTAATTATTAAAAAAATGTGCAGGAGTTTAAAAAATTGTCAAAAAAATTTCATTTTTAAATTTTTTCTTGAAATATGTGGATTGCTAAAATCTCTATGTAAATTATCAAAATTTTCAGTTATATATCATTTATCGTAGAATTTTATAAGATTTTGTAATTTCGTTCGCCATATTGAATCCGCCATTTTTAATTTCGATAAACCGACTTTAACCCTTTGAGGGGCACATTATTCATATAGACGGATTTTCTTTACAACTCATGTCTTAATATTTTTGGGGTCGCTGATTACGAATTTGAAGTTAGTTTTTAAAAATTCAAAATGGCGGATCCAATATGGCGGACAATTTTTTTTAATTAATCGGATTCATTAGAAAATGTTTACTCGGAGGTTTTTGGGGTCGCTGATTACGAATCTGATGTTAGTTTTTAAAAATTCAAAATGGCGGATCTAACATAGCGGTCAATTTTGTTTTAAATTAATTGGATTTACTTAAAAATTGTTATTTGGAAATTTTCGAAGTCACTGACTTAAAAATTTCTCCGCTAATTATTAACCCACAATCTAAATTTAAAAATAAACTAAACATTGGTAAACAGGGACTACAACAACCTTCGAATAACAAGTTTCGTGACAATCTAATAAATTTTTACATTTGTCATCTGACATATAATATTGGATCCGCCATTTTGAATTTTTAAAAACTGATGTCATATTCGTAATCAGCGACCCCTTCAAAGGGTTAAATTCGTAATCAGGGACTTAGAAAACCCCTAAATACCAAGTTTCATAAAAATCTAACTAATAATATAATATCTAACTAATCATATCTAACTAATTTTTATAATTTATTCCGCCATATTGGATCTGAATTTTGAATTTAAAAAATCTGGTATCAAATTTCTTACCAGAGACCAAGAAAATCCCAGGAAACCAAGTTTTATTAAAATCTTATCCATATCTTGTAATTTCGTCCGTCATATTGGATCGGCCATTTTGAATTTTTTATTACGCTCGTTTGTACATTCCGTAGATTTGAGAAAATATCAAGAAAAAGTTGATAAATATATGCATAAAACTTTCGATATTTATTTTCGTAAAGTAAAATTTCATTGAAATTTAAAAAAATTAAAAAATGCAAATTTAATTATGATAACAATTTTTGTATTTCATCTTTACTTTTGCCCTTTGTTTCCGGTGAGATCCAATAAACCAAAATCGATCCAATAATACAAGAAATTCCAAATCCAAAGAATAGGGAATATATTCCAATTGAATCGATGACAATTTGAAAGTATAATTTCAAAAAAAATGTAATAATCTCGTAGGAAATATTGGTACATGTGACACCTAAATATTTTACATCGTCTGCAAAGAGTTCGCCTTGATATACATAGTAGAGGCTACTTAGTCCAATACTGCCAATTACCTCGTACATTGATACTCCCAAAAGTGGTAGCCAAGTGATTGTGTGAATATTAATTTTCAGATACAGTTTGAGATAGAAGAATAGACCCACAGTTGCTTGTGATAAACCGGCAATGATACCGGTCGAGAGGAATAAAGATCTTCTGCCAAATTTTTCAACAACCACCGTTGAAATTAAGGAGGCGATTATTTTTAGTATGGCCAAAATTAAAGCAGCATATTCGGGTTTTAGTGATGCGCCACTGTATTCGAAAATTTGTTGAGTATACGTAACGACTACCATATGACCTGAGAATATATCGGTTAAGGCAGCGAGCATTATGATGATTAGAGCATTACGGTTATTTTTAAGTGTGAAAAGTTGGAGGTAAATTTTTTCTTTATGTACTGAAGTACTTGGTGCACTTGACTCTAACAATTGTGATATTTCCTCTTCAAATGTCTTGTTTTCACCCTGAACTGGTTCCATATCTGGTGTCAAAATTGTTTCACTTGTTCTAGTTAATAGTCGAATCGATTCTGCTGAATTGGAGTTCCTTGGACATGTAGTTTCTTTGTTCAAATCTAAATGTTGTTTCGAAAAATTTTCATCAAGAATAAGGGTGCTTGTTTGTTCGTTCAAGAAATCGATGGACTTGGATTCGACAACGTCCACTGTATCATTGTTCACTAAAACTATTGTATTATTTTGCAGAAGAATTACAGTATCTTCTTTTAGAATATCCGTGTTGGTCAATTCGGTTGGAACTTGCGAATGTTCGGTACAAAGAATCTCCGAATGTTTCTGTGTACCGTTTGTAATTTCTCTAGGATCCAAATGCTTACTTGTTCCGTTTATTACTTCTTCAGGATCATCTGAATGTTGATACAGATTTGCATTTTTGTCAGAATGACTCGGATGTTGCTCTGAAATTTTTGCTTTTGTAGCATCATTTGCAATTTTTGAACTATTTACAACATCTTCCATAAAACTATCTGAATGTTTCTTGAAATCGTTTTCAGTATCACCAAAACTGTTCGAGCCTGGAAAATATTTCTTTAAACCAGTTACACTTTCGGTACAAGGAACATTAGAATGTAATTTTGTTCCACTAGAAATTATTTTATTGTCTGAATGTTTCTTTATACCATTTGTAATTTCTTTAGCATCCAAATGTTTCTTTGTACCGTTCAACATTTCTTTAGGATCCGAATGTTTCTGTAAATCATTTATATCAGAAAACTTTGCCATACAATTCTGATCATCCTCAAAATCATCAACTTGAAAATCCTTAGCATCCGGCATCGATGAAAATGTAACAACAAAAATAATTGGCACCATCATCAATATCAAATTCATTGTATCGTACGAGAGGAATGCGCCAAGAAACATTGAAATAAATATACCAATATTAATAGACATCTTGATGAGTGTGAGAAAAATTCCCCTCGTTCGTTTATCACCAATTTCCGAGAGATAAATTGCAGTTGAACATAGGCCAGCACCATATCCAAAGCCACCAATAATTCGTGCGAAACAAATTAGAAGCCAATTTTTACCCAAGTAAATTACCGCCCATGATATAATTTCCGGTGCTGCTAAAAATATTAGCGTTCGTTTCGATCCAAAATTACTTATCAAAAGGGGATTGAGAAGAAATCCAGAAACTGTTCCACAACCAACTAGAGACGCTATCCAAGCACCTTGTAATTCCGTCACTGGAAAATTTGATGCCGAACCTGTTAGATGCGGTAGTGCCGGTGATGTCCACGAGAAAATCATACCTAATCCCACTGTTGTTATTGATACTGTAAAAAAAATTCTTTCTTATTTCTTCTGTTGTTCAAATATTCTTATTATATTTTTCGGATATTTAGTTAATTTTGGGGAATACTAAAAATGACTTTTGGTCATTTTTTATTACAGAATAATAAAAAAAAAAGTTTTAACAAGAAGCAAATAATAATAAAAAATTAATAATAATATTCATATCAACTCCCTAAATTTTTTACAGTGTTTTTATATTATTATTATATGTATAATAATTATTATAATAAAATTAATATTAAAAATAGTAAATTATTACTAACGTTAATAATGTTAGTAGAAATTTATAATTTTAATATTTTTTAATGAAATAATGAACCAAATGGAAAATATGTTTCGAAAAGTTTTTAAAATTTGGCGCCATAATTAGGTGGCGTTGTTTAACCCTGGTTTAACCCTTTCAGTCCCAGTGGATAATATATTGACCGCCTTTTAAGTTACCATTTTTTTTAAACATAACTTAAAGTAAAACTTTAAATAATTGCCTATTAATTATTTTTATGTTTCTACAATTAGTATTTAGTACGATTTTAACCAATTAATCTATATTATTTATGTTTTTTGTTATTAACAAATTTTTACACGGAAACTCATTATTTCAGGTTAAACTTGACTGTAATAAAATTAAATCAGTAACATATAATTTAAATTATGGTTTTTTTCTAAGTTCTCGGGTTTGCTGAATATAAATCTGAAATGAGATATGCAAATTGAAAATGGTGGACAAAAATTAAAAATTGAACAAATTTGCATGAAACTTGTCAAATTTGTTTAAGAGTTGTCACTTGGTTTTTTAAAATTTTTTTAAAGAATGATTCCAGATTTGTATTTACACACCCCGAAAACTTCTAAGAATCAGGCTTCAATCCTATATGGTCAATTTTTATTTTTTGACACCTATATTGTATCCATTATTTTAGAAAAACTGACTTCAGATTCGTAATCAGCGACCCCAAAAACTCCCGAGTGACTACTTTTAAGTGAATTTGTTTAACTTTTAATATTTTCGTCCATCATATTGAATTCTCTATTTGAATTTTTTTAAACTGATTTCAGATTTGTAATCAGCGACCCCAAAAACCCCCGAGTGACAATTTTCAAGCAAATTTGTTTAATTTTTAATTTTTGTCCGCCATATTGGATCCGCCATTTTCTATTTTTAAAAAATGACTCTTGATTCGTAATCAGCGACCACGAAAACCTATATCTATTGTAGATGTTTTTCAATTGTCCTAATAATTATGGGACTGAAAGGGTTAAATATTTTGTGTTCTAAAAATTTCCATTAATTAAAGTAATAAAAAAGTTAAATACAGCATCTTTGTTTTAATAGCAATTAAAACGTAATTTATTATTATATAGTAAAGTCGAGTTAATTTAGTGAATCAACAGAAAGATTATCAGATACAAAGAAAGATTATCAGAAGAAAGGGAAAGAAAAGGTAAGTTCCAAAAAAGTATTTTGTGGAAAAATTGAAGAGACAAATGTTTTCTTCATTTACAAAAAAATCATTTTGATAAAAAAGTGTAAAATTAGAAAAGTCAGCTTAAAAAAATCAAAACAACTTTTTTCAAATTTAAATGAAATAAATTTTTAAATTTAAAGAAAACTTTTTTAATTAAGTTTACTCACCACTAGTTGCAGCGGCGTATTTTAAATATGAATTTAAAACAATATTTTTTTTGCGAAATTTTATTTTTGTATCACTTTTTTGAAAATTCATTTTGAATTTTACTATAAATTTTATTTTTGTCTCTTTTTTTTGGTTTTAAAGTAATTGACAAAATTCATATAATGTAGAATAATTTTGTCGTAAATTATTTGCTTGTAGAGATTGAATATACACTGTTTGTCATATAAATTTATTTACATGAGTATGTCCCCATAAATCATTGAATAACCAAAAGCCAGTTGAACTGGTTTTTATAACATAAAATAAAATGTGACAGGTCTTGGTCAGTAAACACAGCTTCTATCTAATTTTATAATTAAATAACTAGATGTAATTGATTAGATTTTTTTAAAAATTTAAACGATGTATTTTTATATTTAAAGTTATTTTAATTGGACGATTTTTAACACTTAATTTTTTTTCATTTATCTTTTTCACTTGTAATTTTTTTACTTAAATTTTTACATTCTCATTATTTTATATACTAATTATTTATTTACTAATTATTTTATTTGTTATTAATTTGACAAGTTTGATTATTTTTCACTTGTTACTTATTATTTTTATTTATTTTTTTATTTGCTACTATTTTTTTCTAGAAAATTTTTCATTTGTTGACAATTTTTCTCTTGATATTAATTTTTAATTAATTTTTTGCCTGATATTTATATTTTAATGTTATTAAATTTTTTAATTGTCAAAATTAGTTTGTAAAACTGGGAATTTAGTATAAATTTATTTTTGTCTAGTCATTAATAATTTGAATAATTGACAGTTAATTTTAATGACTAGATAGTTGTCTTTATCGTTTCCTCACTGGTATCTTGTTGTAATTTACAGTAACTCAAAATTATTTTGAGTCCTTCAATTTTCATACTTATCTTCATCTTGATAATTATTTCTAATCTATTAAATTTAGTTCAGGAACAACTGAACAGTAAGTTATTTATATCAATAAAAATGCGAAAATTATTTTTGTTAATCAACTCTCTTTATTAATTAAATAAAATTAGAAAAATTTCCAAAAAAAATTATTATTGAATTTGTTTCAAGTTTTAAATAAAATACAAAACTGTTTTTTCTAAAAAAATGTTTTGAACTTGACATTTTAAACAAAATTTTAAAAATTGTTAAAAATGTTTATTTATTTTGCACTAATGGGCTTACCCATTAACCCATTAACCTGGCCTACCTGTTACACAGTATAGTTCCTTTTTCACGCAATTCTATCAACAATTTTTCTTGTTAATAATATTAAATGCGTTTAAAAATGTTTAGTTTAAATTACGTAATAATAATAAAAAAATTCAAAATATAAAATTAATGAATTATTCATCAAATAAGAAAAGTTAATGACTTTACGATCAAAATGACATCTATGAGATCATACTCAAACTTTCACACAAAGTTTTAAACACTATGATAATTCTTCGACGCAGTCGATCTGTAATCATCTGTCTATTAAATTAAAATTTTTCTCTGACAAAATAAGCCTTAGAGATGAGTTTTGATCGGTAAAGTCGTTAACTTCTCTTAATTGATGAATATTTACTAACCGATGATTTAGAATTTAGAATTAATCAAAAATTTAAAAAAAATTTATAAATCATAATTTATTATGTGAAAATTTTGAATCGAAGTTAAATTAAAAAATTAAGATATTTGTGCGTCGCTCAATACAGTCACACAAGTAGTCTGTGAAGGTGGCTTGTCTCATTTCGCACTGGCCTTCATGACAGAGGCATTCTGTGAGAAAAAAGTCACCCTAAAAAAGTTTTTTTTTGCAATGAAATATGTTAAAGTATGTATAAAAACAATTATGTAGAGTAGGTTTTTAGGTCTCTGTAATGCGTGGTTGTAATTTTATCAGGGGTTCAATTTTTTTGAAGTATAATTTTCAAATGGCAATAGCTTTTACCCATGTCAACGGATTTAAACGTTTTAAAAATGTTTTTTGTAGAGAATTTTTCAAACTTTCGAATATAATTACTGATTATTTAAAAAAAATTTGTCCAAAACAAATTTTTTTTTAATTTTTAATAATGCAAGGTGAAATACCTACTTTACATGTTCCAAACAATGTATTCTACTCAAAAATTCGTAAATTACATGTCATGATAAGCAATTTGAAAAATTGACTCTCCCTTTTAACGTCTGTTCTTGAGCTCCTATTTTAGCATTCGTATATCTTACATTTTTTCCAATGAAAAAAATTCTTAGGCTGCACTTGTGAAAAAATTAATTCAGTAAACAATTAAATAATTGTGTTATCTTCCACAGTACTATCGATTGAATTGTCAGATTATTTATTCAAACAAACAAAAGATGATGAGTTTACGTTTGTTACGTTCATTTAATTCAGCAAAACAATCATTAGTGATTTTATTAACATTAATTTTATTACAAGAACATTCATTCACTGAAGCCACTGAATTTTCCTAGGCGTCCAATCTATCGACAAGGTCGTCGATTCTTTCCTCGTAAGCTCCAATCCTGGTCAGGGCATCTAATTTACATAATGAACAACAATGCTCGATAACGATTTTTAAAAACAAAACAATCTTTTTAAACTAAAATTTAGATAATTAACGATTCAAGACAATCGATAACGATTTTTAACACAAAATATTCGGTTTTCGTAAATCTTACTTTTACTCTACAAGTATAAGATATTTGGGTACAATAAAATTATCAACGATGTTTCCGTAACTAGAATGTAATTCATAAGCTGTCAAGTGACTCAAATTATTTAAATTAAATAAAACGACAGTATCTGCATCAGTCAAACGACAGTATCTGCACTGTCATCCTTCTGAACGCTATAAGCGTGATACGTTTCACAATAAAATTTACAATTCCACTTCTCGCAAATAGCAAATGGATCAGAATCGTTTACAAAAATTTTTATAATTCGCATAAAGGTCGGAAGATCGGTCAATCTGTTTATATCGGTTACGATGAAAAATTCTTTTCGATATTTGTATTTATAATTAATCTCATCTGTGATTAAGATTTGCGATATTTTTAATTCGATGTTTGAAGATTCGTTAATTTTATAGTTTTTAATAAATTCAAAGTAATTCGTAATTTCACCAGAACTCACATTTAATTCGTCTTTAAGAGTTTTGTAATATAATTTCCAATGGTAGTACATAAATCGCTGATGTTGTTCGGCTAAAGTTTTACGTATATATTTTTGAAATTGTGATAACTGTGATATAACATTTTGAAATAATTGTGCTTGGCTTCAAATCACATTGACCATAAGAAAACAAGTGCACCCATTTCTTCAATAATTGCTGCATAATACACATAAAGTGATGCTTCGGAAGCAATTTCTAATTTAATTCCGAATTAGAAGGATCGTGATGTTCTTCTACTAGAAGCTTTAATTGAGCGATCATTTCCACACTAACAATAGACGAAAAAATAATGTCCATAATTTTGAGAAGCAATTCTATCACTCTCTATTTTTTATGATTTTAGCATAGGCACGATTGGACGGAGATAGAAGGTCTCCTATTATAAGATGTAAAAATCGCAGGAGACACCAATTTTGGGAAGCTCATTCCCCGAGTAGACAACCTAATTTTTCTAATGAAATGGGACAAGGTTTGTCCGATTTACCAATTAAGTCGTAAGAAAAAGATGCAATCCGATTATTTAGGTCTTGTACAGAAATTACTTTCGAATCTTCCACAAAAAATCGAAGAAACAATTTTAGTTCGTAAGGCCCGATACCTTCTAAAATATCGTGCATTATGTGCTCAGTAATGCTGTCAAACATTTTAATTCATTTAACTTTGATATAAATTTAATGCCGTATAAAAATTTTTTTTTCGACTCATCATAATATTTTTCGTAAGTAAGGGTGCAGTCCAATGCTAAACAGAAAACACAATGCAAAGCAGAATTTCGTGAGTGCAAGAGAGGTAGTCAGATATCACTATCCTTTCCACTCTCACGAAATTCTGCTTTGCATTGTGTTTTCTGCTTAACATGGGACTGTACCCTAAATGTAGAACGATGTAATTCTTCCTTATCGACAAACATGTTTTGGGCGTTTTCTTACGTAACAGTACAAATTTTACAATAATATTCAGCAATGAAAGATTTCATTGAACCTAATAATCCACTTCCTCCTAAATTATCAAAACTGAGGGCACCAATCGTTCCCTTTATTACCCTATCGTAGACTTTTATCCCAATATTTTCGAATATTTTTAAATCTTGTACTAAGGGTTCTAAAATTTTGTTAAAGCCGAAAGTTTCTAAATCGTAATAGTGAAATAAAGCAGCTAAATGAATGTTCTTCAGGTTAGAATTTACATAGAAAGGTAAATTTTGCTTCCAATAGGGTTTACCGTTTTGAAATTATCATAATATAATTGGATAACAATAGAGTTTTTCTCAGATGATAAAAGTTCGTTATTGGCAACATGTGAACTAGTTATAGAATATTTTTTTTGTTTTGTCGAATCATTAATGCTCAGCAGCTCTCGGGTAACTTCTTTTCCTAATCTGTTTCGGTTTTCAAACAATTAGTGATAAACGCGAACTCTCTAAATATGAATCGGCGGAAAATCGCTGATTCGGTAGCTATAAGTATGCAGCTCATTTAATCAGCGTATATAAGCTAAAAAATCAGTGACTTTTCGCTGATTCATTAGTGTATATACGCTGATTGAATCAGCTGCATACTTATAGCTACCCAATCAGCGACTTTTCGCCAGCCGCGTAGGAACGAATTATTTTTCGGAGGGGCAAACTACATATATAGATATATTTAACAATGTAATATGTAAATAACTGGGGGGGCAACTGCCCCCTTGCCCCCCGGTTCCTACGCCACTGCTTTTTGCTGATTTAAATTTAGAGAGAAAAGAGTCTCTCTACGGACAAATAGATAGCCTGAATTCCAAGATGGTTCCGTGTCATTCGTAATAGTGGTGTTCTTTCCACCATTTAAGAATGTCAGTGGTCCGTAGCGATAAATCTTATTTCAAATATGAGTCCAATTCAGATCTCCAGTTGTTGGACTTTGCGTTAAAATAATTCTTTTTTATCAATTTCTTATTTGAATCATCTTGTGTGTACAAACATAAGAAATCAATTTCACCATCTGAAGAATCATTAACCTGACTGTCTGGTATCTCTTTCTCAACATTTTCAACCGAATTTTCGCCCTGATCAATGTAATATTTATTTTTGTATATTTCCTGGAATTTTTTGATAGAAGACAATGTCATGTTCATCTTGTGTCTGAAGCTTCAATTCTGCGAGAAAACTCTGAACCCCTAAATTTAAATTTG